TATATAGTAGACATTTGATGTTTCCAAGTAAGAAATTCCTCCTCAAAGAACATTCTAAGTAGCTCACTTCCTGCCTGAGTGCCCATTTTCAAACAGAGTTCACATTTCCTACGATCAGTCTTAGTGTGTAGGTGCTTTGCAGCTAGCTAAGTTCTTCAGGGGAAGGAGCACCAGGGTGTATGCCAGGGAATCATGCAAATGCTGGGACCTGAAATTCCCCCATCCCTATGAACTTTTCGCTCCTCAAATTAGTCAGCCTCTTGTTCACATAACTAGTACACTTTAAGACTTTAACCACCAAAAAGGCTGGGTCCAACTTCCCTGCAAGGGGTACCAATAACTACAAAGAAAAGATGTATGTTTGGCAGGTTACCCTGGGTAGGCTAAGACACAGTAGCATCTAGGGACATTGGGGGGATGCTAAGGACCTCCAGAAGCTATGCAGTCTTGATACTTTAAACACTCTCATCAATCAACTCTCTGCTTGCAGAGCAGAAAACCCTTCTTACCTGACCTCCAATTTCTTGACTTTTTTTTTGAAGATGGTTCCAGAATTTGAACTCAGTGCTTCAAACTTGTTAGGAAGCACTCTGCCACTTGAGCCACACCTTCAGCCTGAGTTCCAATTTCTTAAACTCAAAGTATCACTCCAATGATGCACTGGAGGGTAAAGGTGGGACCTGGAGTACTCCACTGTGCAAACTCTCAAGGGACCTCAAGGTCTCAGTCATTTACTGATTGTGACCCCAAATACTATAAACACCAAACTGAAGCTTGAGGACTTCATTCCTGGCAAGCTCTCAAAAGATCACTTCCAACATCCCAGTAAGAAAAGTCGGCACCATGTGCATAAGACCCAACATCACCCATGTTCAAAGGAGCAGTGTTCTATTTAACCAGAAAGCACTTGGTAGCTGTCCATCCATTTTCCTCCATGAGATCCTTAGAAATACCTTGCCAGCTCTGACTGACCTAAGTCCCTAGGATTATTATAGGATACTCCCTCAGTATCCTGTATAATTTTTTTTTGAGGGGGGGAGCCTACCCATAGCTTGCACATGCTCAGTATGTACTGGTGCACTGCACTACATCCCCAGCCCAGTCTGTGCAATCTGAACTTAAGAGAAAGCAGGACTGGCTCCAATCCCTCTGCCTATGAGGAATAGGCTAGGCTTAATGCTCAGACTCCACATACTGGAACATAGTCGCTACCAGATACCCCCTAGGTCATCTCTAACCTCTAGGCAGTGCCAGGATGCTCCGTTTTTCAACTTGTCAAAGTCTGTCCTTTTCCAAGACAAGCCTCCTCAGCTACTCTGGAGCTGCTCCTCACAGGCCTGACTCATTCTTCATGCTAACTGATGCCTCCTTTGGTCTGGGCACCAGATGAACTGAGCTCTCCAAATTCAGAACACGAATTTGGAAATTTACAACAGCAAACTTATGGGCTATGACAGTCTAAACAAGGGTGGCAGACTAAGAGGGCTACTAGCGTGTGTTTGATGCTTCCTGCGTGTCAAAATGGCCAACACTGAGCCTTAAAGAATGGCTAGTCTAGTCAATTTTCAGTGTGTACATGTAGGTTATTTGGGGAGTGGAGATATGGATCAGAAGATGAACATGTTAAATGGAAAGGTGTCACAGAGCCCAAGACACAAGTCCATCAACCATACTTGAAGCTACAGGTACTTCAAAGAAGGGGAGGAATACAAGATGAAGGGAAGATCCCCAAGAGGCTGGGTTAGATGCCTCTCCTGTATTCCCTTGGTTGGCTCCCTACAGCTGGGCACTTCCCTAGCTCAGCTGCCTGGGGAAGCTGGAGACATTCTCTCAATCCTTTCCAGTTGCTTTTCATCAAAACTCTGTTTCTGGCCTCCAACTCAGTCCCTGTTTAGTCTTGGGCTCATTCAAGTCAAAAGTAGAAGAGCTGTAACAGTCATTCCCACAAAAGCCATTCCCAAAGTTAGACCATTGCTACAGGTCCAGTTGGCCAAAGAGCTTTCAGGGGAGCTAAATAATAGTGCAAAGCCCTAATTGTGTAAAGGAGTACTGACTCAGCCAGCCTGGACAGTCAGGTGTCCACCACTTAAAGAGACAGGAAGCATCTACAAAACTGGATGCTCTAGCTATGGTCCCTTCCACTTAAGATTTTTCCAGGAAAAGCTACTGGGAGAGGCTGGGAGGAAATACCTGAGAATTACTGCTTTGATTTTTATATAACCCTAGTAGTTCCTCTTCAAGTTCCTGGCTTCAGGCGGCCCACTCGTTGCTGACTACAATTGGAGGTACCAAGTACAACCTGACAAGAATGACTGGGAAGAAAGGCCAAAAGGAAGCAGACTGTGCCCAAGCACAATTTAGCTTATTAGTTCATTACTTCTGGGATGTGGATTTTGGCCTGTGCTGGGAACCATAGGAAGAGAAAGTAGAAAGACAATAAAAACCTTTTCCCTGACCAATTCTGGAGAGAGAGAGAAAGGAAAAAAGAAAAGAAAGCAAGCCCAAAAAAATAAGTGGGGGAAGACAGACAAATCTCCAATGCAGAAGAAATTCAACTAACTCATGTGTATACTTCCCCTCCTCATTTTGTTGCTGTGGTGGTGGGTTTTTGTTTTTTTGTTTTTGAGACAGAATCTATTTGCCTAGGCTGGCCTCAAACTTGTGGTCTTCCCACCTCAGCCTCCTGAGTAGCTGGAATTATAGATGTGATCTACCACACCCAGCTGATTGGTTTTTTAAAGCGATGTGGTCTATGTTGCCCAAGCTGGCTTCAAACTCCTAAACTCAAGCAGTCTTTGAGGCCTCAGCCTTCCAAATACCTAGAACTACAAAAGCATGCCACAGAGCTAGGCTGTCCATGGACATGGGAGAAATAGTATCCTTACAGTTGAAAACCTGACAAAGACTTCACTGGTCAGATGTTCAATATGAACATCAACAGTGCTAAGTTTTGTTCACAGTATTTGGTATGTGGTGAAAATGTCACTTTACTTCTGTGGTCATCCTCCCAGAAAATCCTAGTCCAAACATGAGAAAAATGAGATTCCAATTCAGGAATGTTCTAGAAAATCCCTGACCTGTAGTGAAGAATAAAGTGAGTGGTTGCCTAGCATAGTCTAGGTTCAATTGAAGCACTGGAAAAAAAAAAATAAACAAAACCTCCTGGTGGTGAGGCATGTCTATAACCCCAGCACTTGGGCAGTGGTGGCAGGAGGACTGAGTGGCCAGCCTGGGCTACAAAGCAAGTCCCTGTTTCAAAAAAAAAGGCAAGTCTGAGAAATTTTCACAGCTAAGCAACGTAAAGTAAAGGTATGCACTTTATTACTATTTGTTTCTCCCCACCTCTCCCTGCCTTTGCTTTTTTGTGGTGCTGAGGATAAAACCAGGGCTTTGTGCATGCAAAGCAGGTGCTCTAACACTAAGCTACACTTAGTGTACCATTTAGTGGCTGGAACCCCTACCGGTTTCTTTCTTTTTCTGGGGTGGGACTGAAGTTTGAACTCAAGACTTTATGCTTGCTAGGCAAGTAGTTCTTACCACCTGAAACACTCTGCCAGCCCTCTTCTTTTTCAGACAGGGTCTCAAATTCCTGTGCTCAAGTGACTATGCTGCCTCAGCCTTCTCAGAAGTTGTGACTATAGGCATGCCACCACTGTGCCAAGCTCCAGTATTTGTCTCAACTGTAAAAAACCTACCATAGTAATTTAAAATATTGACAACAGGGAAAATAGAATACAGAGTATATGGGAACTATGTACTACTATCACATTTCTCTGTAAATCTAAACTATTAAAAAGTTTATACATATGTATTTTTGCAATACTGGGGAATGAACCCAGGACCACACACATGCTACGCAAGCACTCTACTACTGGAGCTATGCCTATTTAAATTTTTTTTTTGTGGGACTAGGGCTTGAACTCAGGGTTTCATGTTTGTAAAGCAGGTGCTCTACCCTTGAGCCACACCTCCAATCCTTTGTGCTCTGGTTATTTTGGAGATAGGGTCTCATGGACTATTTACTCAGGCTGGCCTTGAACCTCGCTCGATCCTCCCCATCTCAGTTACCCAAGTAGCTAGAATTACAGATATGAGTCACTGGTGCCTGGCTTGTTCATTTACATTTTAAAGAAAGAAGACAGTAAATTTTGCACATGCTGATCTACATGATAGTCTAGCTGCAGGGTTTCTTTTTCTTTTGAGACAGATTCTCACTACATAGCTCAGTGCAGTGTAGCATGAACTTGAGAACCTTCTATCTCAGTCTCCAAAGTGCTAAGATTACAGGTGTGCACCACCACATCCAGCTTCATGCTCACTGACTTATATGGGACTCTGGCAATACTTAATCCTCTCTGGGACTCCTCTCAAAAGGACAATCTGTCTTCCTTTGACCCAATATCTAGGTGGCTGTGGCTGCTGACAAGTCTGTCTGCTCACTCCATGAGGACAGAAAGAAATGTTGGTAAAGCCAGTTTTATTGATGTTAGTCAGTACATCCCTGAATCTTCTCATCAGGGAGGGGACAACCATAGCTATATCTTAACCTCTGTCACCTTCCTCTTCTCTCTTCCCTTCCTGTTTCCCCAGAAGTGAAAATACAGGCATTTTTAAAGCAGGCTGCTAAGGCACAGTCTAAAAATAATCTCTGAGAACACATGTGACACATTAGAACCAAGGAGGTGAAGAAGAGGTTGGGGGATGGTGTGGGGTTTGGAAAATTGTTCCCCAAATCTTGTCAGGACTGTGCACATAAGTATCAGGAGCATATGACTTTATGCAATACTACAAGCTGTACCTAAAGAGCCAAAGAACTTAATTTTTTGATGAAAAGACAACTTTATTCTTACAGAATGCAAATAAAATGTAAGGGAACTTAAAACGCTCTGTATTCCCAGATTTCACCTTGGCATGCCACTGGTATAGAGTGAGTTGTAAGGGGAACATCTCCAGACAGGTTTACAGGGAGAGCAGAAGATACTAGCCATCAGGGTACTTACTTCCTGAGGATGATGACTGCTCGGCGTTCCTTGATGTCCTGAGGCCGTATGCAGTGAGTGATTTCGTCAGCAGCATATCCACTGGAAAGAAACACAGAACATGTCACCGTGAATAGCGGACAATCAAAATTCCTGGGGGCCAGAAATAGGATCCAACTCTTATGGCTACCTTCTACCTGTTATTTGCAAGTCTCAAGGATCTATGCAGAAGGGAAATACTATGTTAAGCTCCAGAAAACTTTTGCCCAGAAACCATTCAAGAAAAAACCTGGCTCCTATGCCACCAGAAAAAAAAAGAAAGAAAAAACCTGGCAAGAGGCAAAGAAGACCCACTGGTTTCTTACTGCAGAGGCCAAAGCAGAACTGTCCTGCACAGGAAGCAGGACTCTCCTGCTCAGGCCGGAAACATTTCTTGTAAAGAGCCCTTGAGGCTCAGGGTATACCTCAGTAGTAAAGCATGTGAGGCCCTGGGTTCAACCCTCAGCACTGTAAATGAAACAAAATAAAAGAATGAAGAACACTCAAAGAGGGTATACCTTTAGAGTATTTGGAGTAACTAGCGGAGACCATGGTGAGGAGACAAAGAGCTGCATCTCCTCATTCTTCCTCCCTTTCCTCCTTTCAGCACGCACAAGAAGCTAAGGCAGCCACTGACAGCACTGACTCACAGGGAGAACTAGGACCGCCAAGTTCCAAAACAAAATTTATCTACTTGGAAAAAAGCTTTCAAAAGATTCCTTTGGGGGAATCCAAAACTTTGAAGACAGCTGTGTTTGAGATATTTTAAGAATTTCCATCACACTCTAAGTTCTATTTATTTTCAACAAGTTACATGATTTTAAAACTGCTCAGAGGCCAATGAATGTGGGTAGATGAATGTCCTCTTCTCAGCTAGCATCCTTCTGATTTCAAACTCTGGAAGCAACTATTGTTCCTGTGCCCCTCACATGCTTTCACTGGGAACACAGCACCCAAGAGAAACCCCTAACCCAAGTTCCAACACTGAGCTGCTGCAGATCCACACAGTCATACACTTGTTTAGTCACAAGTCTAGCAGGAAGAACCTGCCTTCTCAGCTTCCCCACTTGCTCAGGATTTCTGGCTCCCCCTGGACCACAATACCTATCTTTCAATGGCTGCTGATCAGCTCCTTTTGAAGGACAGGCCTAGGAAAGACTTCTTGACATGCCAGGCTGGCCCAACCCAAGCCAGGCTGTTTCAGGCTCAGCCCCTAGAGGGAAGCATCTCTGACTTGGAAATCTGATTTGAGGCCATGCTGTTAGTAGAGGAGCAAACTTTCATTTTATAGACTCTCCCACTTGCAGCTGCTCCTAGATCAGGGTTCAGAATCTTCTGAGAGCACCATTCTCACAAGAGACTGTGGACAAATGCCCATAGTCAAGTCAATTTGGAGAATATCAAAGAATTTTAAGAGCTGGGCACTGGTGGCTCACACCTGTAATACTAGCTACTCAGGAGGCAGCGATCAGGAGGATTGTAGTTCGAAGCCAGCCCAGGCAAACAGTTCCACGAGACCCTATCTCAAAAACCCTTCACAAAAATAGGGCTGGTGGAATGGTTCAAGGTGAAGGCCCTGAGTTCAAGCCCCAGTACCAAATAAATAAATAAATAAATAAAAGTAGCATATAAAAAATCTGACAATTACTACAGCAAAAGAACCACTAATTTTGAGAACTGACCAAAGAACCCTCTCTCAAATAACATCTATTAATATATGTCAGCTCACAGTGAGAAATGCCACATAGGAGTTAGGGAAATAGAGAGATCTGAGTTCAAAGCAGAGCTTTGTTGGGTACCACCTCTGTGAACTTAGTTTAAGTCACAGGCTGACCCTGTGACTTATAGTTTCTTCAACTGTAGCAAGGACAGTGGTAGGTTCTTGGGTGTTCATTTTGTTATGTTTTATAACTCAGGTATTCATTTGGCATTACTACAAGATATTAAAAGGCAAACATCAACTCCTCCCTTCTAGGCAGAATCAAGAGTAAGATCACTTCCATGGTTGACACTCCTGGAAAGGGCTGGTGAGAGGCTTACTTGTAGGGTTGAGAATGAAGTTGGATAAGACAGGGTGCCTGGCACACCACTACCATTTGCTAAGCATCTGACACAGCCAGAGGGCCTAGACCATCTTGGGGCAAACTAGAGCCTTGGGTTCAGCACCTGCCAAGAAGAAACAATCTGAGATCCCCCTGCAGGGATCTGCCAGTAACAGAGGCATCCTGGGCTCCATTCTCAGGGCAAGGGGCTCTAAGTCTCATTCCAGGATCTTATATTCCACATTGATGACTAGATGTCTGGATTGCAAGATAGTCTCATATACTGTATATACACAGGACTTCCCAAAAGAGCTAAGTCCAAAGGCACATTTCAAAGGCCTGAATCTGCACTGTAGTGTTCCCTGATAATAACAAGTGTTATCAGTCTATTTGAATTGGCTATAGGCATGACCAAGGGCCCTGACTTCTCATCTCTAAGAACCACTTCCCTTAATGCAGTTCTGGAGCAAATCCAGATGTTTGTCAAAGCCTGACTGCCTAGTACTCCTATCCCCAATCCTCCAAACGGCTCTAGAACAAACAACTAGCCACGCCAGGTTCCTGTCCTGAGCCCAGGCCTCACAACTAGTGTGGCTCTAACTGCACAGGACTACAGAAATAACCTTGGGAATGACCCCACCTGGAGGGCTCAATAGCACTGGTCTTCTAGAACTTTCTGGCAGCTGTGACAGCCCAGTGACTATTCTTCAGAGTACTGGGTTCCTCTGAGAGCAGGAACTCAAAGTTCTGACCAAAAGATGGTCTCCTGGCCAAACTTTAGCAGAAAGTGCCTAGCAGATATCACAAGAGTATTATTTACTGCTACGAAACCTACTTACTACAAGAGACAGTAAGAGTCCCAGTCTGCCAACTTGAAACTTAATATGCCCCGAGTCCAGCCCTACCCTTAGCATGAAGGAAAGTTTCAGGGCCTCCTGCTCTTGTTTTCACAGAGAAATGAGAGGAGGAAATACCTTGTGTTATCCAACAGCCTCCTTTCTTCCTTGGCTGAGGCCCCACCCCCAGCTGCAATGATTAGTATGCCACAAGTATCAAAAGAGACAGGGCCTAGCTCTGTCAACCTCTAGTCTTTTTGGGGGGGAAGAGGGGGACAGTACTGGGGTTAGACCTCAGGGCTTCATCCTTGCTAGGCAGGCACTCTACCACTTGAGTCACCCCTCCAGCCCTTATCACCCACTAGTCTTATACCTTAGAATGACTGCAGGGAGCTAAAACGTCTACATCCTCCTCCTCTGGCAAGCTTTCCTTGAGTCCTCCCCCAGGCTGGGTCGTTCCTGTCCCCGCCCAACCACATCCTCTTGACTACATTTGACCTATAGAAATCATCTTTCCTGTAAGACAAAGCTCTTCAAAGGCCTCAACTTTGCACACACTGGACAAATAAATATATGAATAAAATGTCTATTATTTTGTTTTTCTTTCCCATGGTACTAGGGTTTGAACTCAGGGCCTTGCACTTCCTAGACAGGTGCACATCCATTAAACACAACTACTCTACCACTCTGAAGCCTCAGTTTCTACATCTACAAAACAGGGATCACAGCAAGCCCTTTCTCAGAGGACTAGATGCAAGTTAAATGAGTCTGAAAAAGTATAAGGAACTATGCAGGATTGTGTATTTCTCCTCTGAAGATGATCTTGGCAATTGAGAGAAGGCACATTTCCAAGATGGCCACCATCCTCACCTACTCCATGCTCTGTTTAGGCCAGAACAGACCGAAGATCATGGCCTGATGCCAGTCTTTCCTTGAGCCTGTCTCTGAAACTCTTAGGCTATTTTTTTTGGGGGTTTGGGGGATGTCCCGCAGACAGCAAGGCAGGGCTGTGAGCTCAAGCTCAAGTTATTTGCCAGACATGCGCCTCTAAAAGATGACAAGGCTTAACTTTATGAGAAGTCCTGAGGCTTTCTGGGTCCAGAAGGAAGCAAGCCTGTTGCATCCCAATTCTACACAAATCAAGGTATAGACAGGACCTAAACACAGAACACAGCTCATCTCCTGAGACACCTTAAGCTAAACTTCAAGCATTCAGCATTGACAGAGATTCAATCTTCTGTATGACTATATGGCATCACTGGCCCCAATTAACAGAAAAGAAAAACTGAGGCCCATAAAGGTTAAGTAATGTGCTCAATGTCAAATAGCTAAAGTGGTGGTGCTGGAATTTCCACCAAACTATTGGCTTTGGTGGGGAGGTGGGTGTTAAATAAGGAAGGTAGGAAGAAAAGCGCATTTGTGTTTCCTGATAACAGTTCTCATCTGTCCTAGGGGCCTTTGGCCTCATCAGAAGATACGCACATAACCACCAGTCCCATGGAAGAGGTCTGCAAAGATGACCCTGTGCTTCCAGAGAACTAGCATTGTTGTATGTACATCAACTGCCCAGCCTAAAATGGCCTGCCAACCAGCCTTGAAAATTTTATGGCCTATTTATTTTCTGCTTGCTCCAAGACTAAGAACATGGCTCACTGCTAGCTTCCTCTCCTTTGCTGTCTTCTGCCTTCTGGTCAGGTCTGACAGCACCAAGGGCAGCCAACCCTGATGATCACGAGTCCCTCCTAAAGAGTGCACAGTCCTGACTTCCCCCTCCTATGTAAACAGAAGAGTCCACTGTGGCCCAGGACCTACTTTCCTAACTATTTTAAGCCAGAAAGCTAAATTTTGCTTTCAATTAGCTGATCCACACTGAGCCCCAAACTTACAGGGAATGCCCACTCCACCCAATACTAACTGTTAACCAGAAAAGCTGAAGCTGAGCTCACCAGTACACACCCATGACTGGGCTAAACAATCATTTCCAGATCAGTGGCCAAGGCCTAGGTCTCTGGGCATGTGGCCACACACCATACAGCAGTGATTGAAGGCAGCAGCAAGTAAGCAATTAGCCTTGAGGTAATTATTCTAATTAATCCAATTGGAGTCTTATTTAATCTGCCCCATGCACTCAACAGGGACAAGATAAAGAATGTGGGATGAAATGACATAAACAGGAGGTAAAAGATACTTATTTCTCGAGAAAACTGTACAAAAAGTGAGACCACCTTGGCCTTTCATGTGAAAGTACCCTCCCTCCCCCCCAAATAAAACTACCAGTTAGGTTTGGAAAGGAGTATCAAGACACCTCCAGAAGGGTCTGTGTTCTTGCTCTTAATACCCAGGTTTAGACACTGCTGAGTCAACGCTTGCCACGCACCAACATCCCTGCTGACACTATTAAATATAAAACTGTATCCCTGCCATATTGCCTTGGACAAATACAGACATTATTGCCATCAACAACTAGAGACTCAGATCATAATTGCTAAAACCCCTCTGCATTTGCAGTTCATCAGCCCCTTCCTCTAAACTACAGCTTTACTGGTTAGCTTTACTCACCAGGAAGTGAAAGCACTGCCTGTTACTATCTTATATACAGGATTTGATGAAGAGTACTCCTAACAGCAGGTGGTTATTCCACCTGCATACCAAGTAAGCTGAGAGGGCTAAATGAGCAGGTGTTAGAAGATTTAAATTTGTGGGAGTGTCCAGAACCCTAGAGCAGTGGTTCTCAACTGGAGATTACTCTATCCTGCAACCCTCACCTACTGGGACATCTAGCAATGTCTGGAGTCATTTTTGGTTGTCAGAAAAAGTGTTACTGGCAGTTAGCACATGGAGGTTAGCAATGCTGCTAAGTTTTCTACAATGCAAAGACAGCTCACCCAATGAAGAACTGAAGAGCCCTGAATATCAATAGAAGCACTGTTGAGAAGCTCTAATCCAGCTTCACCAGGGCCCGACTACCAGTCTCTAATAATGAAGTCCATCTGCCTCAAATCAACACCTACCCACTTTACCTATGGTTATGCCCTGAAGCCACCGCCAAAGCCTATGTTGTGTGCCACTCCCACTTCTTTACTTGGCTAATACCTTTCAAGTTCCAGCTTACTTTCTCCCCAAAACTTGCTACACTCCACAGTGGATAATATGCCCCTTCAGAGTACTCTGGCAATAACATTCCTGGGCTGTGGCTATCTCTCTGTTCTGAGGCCTCGCTGCATTTGACCTACATGAAGGTTAGAGCCATGTTTTAGGATCCAAATCCCTAGCCTCTTCCCTCCCCATCAAGAGAGCAGGGGCTCATAAAGTGGTTGTATGTGAAAGCAAGCACCCGTTTGAGTGCCTACCCTGTGCCAAGTTCTACTGGACACTAAATCACCACATATAATCCAAATAGGCTTCAGTAGTTGGTATCATCCCCATTTACAGATAAGAACGCCAGCTCTGAGAACATACCCATAAGATCCCAAAGAAAATAGAGGAGTTGAATTTAAAGCCTGGGGCAGCACTTTTCAGAACATAGCTGAGCCTCCCACGCTTACTCCACAGACAAGTCTGAATCCAGGAAGGGTTGGAAGGGACTGGAAAAACTTTAGGACTTCACTATTCTAAGAAAAAGATGAGGACTTTCCTGATGATGCAGTTGTGTTGCTGACCACTAACAGACCTACACTTTAAGAATGTGAAACTTCTGAGGCTAGACGTATGGCTTAAGTGGTAGAGCACTGGCCTACAAGGACAAGACCCTGAGTTCAAAACCCAGTACTGAAGGGGAAAAAAAAGAATTTGAAACTGCCCTTTAAGCCAGACATGTTGCAAGTATGTTGGGGGGGGTGGGTAGGGCGGGGGAGGAGGGGGATTAGAATCGCAAAGTCACAAAATGCCTTGCGAGTTTCCCATTAAGAAGCTGACCTCAGCCAGGTGTAGGTGGCTCACGTCTGTAATCCTAGCTACTTAGGAGCAGAGATCAAGAGCATAGCAGCTCAAAGCCAGCCCCAGCCCCCGGCAAACAGTTCCTGAGAACCCTATCTAGAAAAAAACCCATTACAAAAAAGGGCTGGCGGAGTGGCTCAAGTGCTAACAGCGCAAGCGTGAAGCTTGAGTTCAAACCTCAGTGCCACCAAAAAAAAAAAAAAAAAAGGGTCTATGACTACATGCAAACATCTATCGAGACTGAAGGCCTTTTAACACGGAGAGCCTTCAACAGAGGAAGACCCCCAATCTGCCTTATAGAGCAAGCTCCCTGGAAGGGTCTGCTCTGGAAATTCCATCTTAAGAGGTTCTGTCAAAAGCCTTCTGGAAGCACTATGCAGATTGAGATGCTCAAAAGTCCAACTGGCATCTAGGTTTCAGATGCTTGAGGGAATCAAAAGTACTGCTTCTGCTGCCATCCCCAACATGGAAGCAGCTTCAGCTGTTCAACTCAAGTGAGACAGATGACCTGCCCTGGTGATATTAAGGGAGCTCCTGAGACCCTGCTTCTCCCCATAACTGTGGCCAATGGCACTGACTGCACCTCAGAGGTTAAGCTGCTCACAACAAAATCCTAGTGTGTTCTGATCCTGTACTTGGTGATGGTCAACCACACTGCTCTGGATAGTCTAGCCCTCTTAAGTTTTAAGGATCACTGAATTACATTACTAGATTTACCTTTTTCAGGGTTGGAAGGAGACAGTCTCTAAATAAATTTTTGTTTCATATAAAACAGCAAAAGTGTTCCAGCAGATGATCTTCCCTGGGGGCCAGGGCACTGAGCTCATTCTCAGCAGGATCTGGGGCCCCAAATAGGCCAAGAGCCTAAGACCTACTGTTCACAGAACTACAAGGCCAAATACCAGGTCAAGAGACCAGCTGTATTTTGTTTTAGTGGGTCTCAGTAACAGGTAACACGTTCTTAAAAGGGGTTTTTCTGCGACTAAGAGGGAGCAATTTTAAGAATAAGCTGTATTTTATTACTGGCTAAACCACTAAACTGTTCAACTAACTCCAGGTAAATCATTCTTCCTCTTGGGAATGAAGAATCTGTATCTAAATAAGCACTCAAGAGAGACCTCTGCCTGTATTTTCTGTTATAGAATTCATCAACATTTGGTTAAGAAAACCAAGCACAGCAGAACAGGAAAGCTTTTTAAATAATAAGCTCGACTTTTTTTTTCTTCCAAGCATAGATTTGGAAATGGAGGTCCAGAACAGAAAGTGATTTGCTTAAAATCATATAGGAAAAGACTCCTAACATCTTAGCCTTCTGGAAAGATGCTTTTCGGATTCTCAGTTAAGCTTGTGGATTATGTCAAACCTGCCTTCAGGTACAGAATTCCACAAGAATTCCCAGACCTGGGTTTTCTCACTATATTTATTATAAACACATGCCCCTTCCCCTGCTCTCTACAACCTACAAACAGAAGGACAGATTGGAACGGTATAAAGCACAGGCTTCTATTGGTCGCCGCCTCCTGGACCTGGGTGGGTAGTTAAGGCAGCAGAGTGAGTAAGGGCCGCCCCCTTTTCCCAGGTGGATTACCTGAGCACAGTCACGCTCCCCCTGCGCACCGGCAGGGAAAGCACAGGTTCTGATACCCGGATCGGCTTGAACTGGAACTTGCAGCCAAAGCACAGCGCCGAGTCGCTAAAGAAGGACACGGACACAATCGGGCGCTCAAAGATGTGGATGGGGTCCACGTGCGACACGATGCAGCCGCCGGGCTGGTAGTCGTTGATGACGGCGCTGTTTACGAAGCCCTCGGGGATGACGCGGTGCTCCACCAGCTTCTGGATCACAAGCTGGTGCACCCACTCGGGGATCTCGTCCACGTCGCCCGGCGGGTAGAGGCGCTCCTGGCCCGGCCCGCGCTTCTGCAGCTGGGCACCGTACGTGTAGCCTTCGCCGAAGAAATACTTGTTGCGCAGCGGGGCCCGGTCCACCGTGTGCTCGTTGTACAGGCCCTTCTCGGCGCGGGACACCACCTCGTCGATGCGGGCCTCGATCTTGGCGCACTCGTCCTGGCTGAAGAGGCGCATCTGGCGGATGCCGCTCTTCACCCTGCGCGCCTCCTCCTCCTTCTGCAGCTGCTGCTCCTCGTAGTCGCTGCGCTCCGGGTCCGAATCCTCTTGGTACTTGCGCTTGGTCCCGGACACCGGGTAAGGCTCGGCGGCGGCGGCGGCCGCAGCGGCGGCAGCCACGGCGGCGGCGGCGGCGGCCGCAGCCTCCCGACTGCCTGCCTTATAGTTGTCCCGGGACGTCATGGACTTGAGCTTCTCACGCAGGTCGGTGTAGCCGCTGGCGGCCGCCATGGCCCCCGCGACGTTGCTCTAGGGTCCTCCGGGGCGGGCGAGCATGGCTCTCGGGGGACGGGCCCGGGGCCCCCGGAGGGGAGGGGGTCCTCAGTGCCAGGCCCCCATGCGTGGCCCGAGAACCCGGCGAGAGACGTCGAGGGGTCTGACGAGAGGTCGAGCTTCAGAGGCGGCGGGTCATGCAACGGTGGCGTCAACGGGACTTCCTCCTCCTCCACCTTCTCCACGTCCCGGGGGGCAGGAGCGCTGGCAGCGCCTCATACCGCGGAGGGCTGCTGCAGAGTATCGGCCCGACTCCCGGCCAGACCCTCGGTCGCCCGGCCCGGTCCGCACTTTAAAGCGCTCCTCACGACGTCACGAGCTGCCCGCCCGACGTCCGCCAGCGCCGCTCCTTAGCGGGCTTCTCGGCGCGCACGCGCAGTGCCGCCGGCCGCCGCGGCTCCGCGCACTATGGGCATGCGCGTGCGTGCGGGCCAGGTCGCCAGAGATGCCGGCGCAAGCGCACACGGGGGCTTCACGCGTCGTCCGCCGCCCCTCCCCCACCCGCTGAAGGGCTTCGAGGGAGTGCTCTCAAGCAGCGACCTGCCTCCGCGCCGCGCCGCGTCCGAGGCCGAGGGGCTCCCTCCGGTGGGGTGCGCTCACTCTGTCAACACTGTTGCTCTGCCGCGTCATGGCATCGTCCGAATGCCCGTAGACGCCTCAGCCCCTAGCGCGCAATCACCAGGGAACCGCCACAACCTAGGCCTCCCAGTCACCGCCCCCTTTGGCGCCTCCACTTTTTTAATTGGACTGCCGCTCACGCGCAGGCCATGCCCAGACTGGAGTTTCCACAAGTCGATTGGTAATCATGCCTGTCAATCAGGCAGTCTCCTTGGCTACTGCGTCCATTATTTAATTAGCAACGGGGAGGGCGGCGAGGACCCATGAAGAGCGAATGGGTGGTTAAGTAAGTGCCTGAATGGAGACCCCGCGGAAAGAAAGCCTCCAGAACACCTAACAAAACTTTCGAAATCGGCGGAAACTTATCAAACTGCGAGACAGAGAGAACATCGAGACCCAGTTCTGAACCAGAAGGCGGCGGCCGCAAAAGCTGACCGCGCGTTGTCGAGGAACCCTGTACTCCCCACCGTCGCCGCCGCCGCCGCTGTCCCGAGTGGACGTTCCACTAGTCACGTCCCGGGGGTGGCGTGCGCGTGCGCAGGCGCGGTCACGCGCAGGGGGCGGGCGTGGCTCCTCCTCCGGGCTAGAAGGGGGTGTAGGGGCACAGTTTCTAGGGGACGACAAAAAATAACCTCGAAGAACAAGTTTACCACGGATAAGGCTAAACCATGGGTATTTGCTAGAAGACGGTTCAAAGTTTGGAAGCAGAGGGTACGGCGTGAACAAAGGCATGGCCCTGCTCGAGAAGATGGGCGGTTCCAGCAAATAGGGGTTCCTCCTCGGAACCTCCCAGAATAAAGTCCAGCCTCTTTGCTTGGCGCTCAAGGCTTTTGTTGAAGTCCCTTCCGGCCCATTTGCGCACACTCTGAGCTTCCGCCTCGCCCTTGCACTACCAAGTCTACAAACAGACCCGGTCCCTCCTCCTGGTCTTTGCCCAGGCTGTTTCTGCCACCCGGAACGCCCGTCCTTTTCACTCACGTCCTTCGTTTTGATTTGAGGCCCAGATCACCTGTATTTAGCAGCCTTTCCAGATTCTGGTTTGTAAGGGTGACATGAAGTCACGAATATTAAGCAGCCGGGATTGCTGATCTCCCGGCTCAAGTTTCCCCATCTGTAAACCGAGGGTCCTATCAATTCCTTTTGGAAAGTGGGGATTACGTGGGAGCTTGATAAGGAAGGTCAAGCCCGCAGGATCTGTGGAATGGGAAGGCAGGAGGACAGCAGAGACCCAAGCCAACCTCTCTCCCAAGCAGTGTGTGTGTGGTGGTGGGGATGGGGCAAGTACATGCACGATGCCTGGCTCCTGTATTTTCCTGGTGCAGCCTAGTGGGGTGCAGGTGGTAAAGTGGGGGTAGAAGGACACCTGTAGGTAGTGAAAAGGTGGCCAGTAAGTAAGGCCAAGGCCAGGTGGCCTAGAATCCAGCCCTAGTCCTGCCTGAACCACATTATGTGAACATCTGGCCTAGGCATGGCCTCTTACCTCTGATGGGCAGTTTGACTGGAAGGGTTTCAGAAGCCCAGTGCGATTGAACCTCTGAATTGCCCTTCATTATATGGGGGAGAGCTCACTACCACTGTACCCAGAAAGCCCTCACAGTGATGCCCTTAGGGTCCCCAGCTCTGCTATCTAGACAAAAATGTGAATCTCTTCTCAAGTCATCCCCCTCCCCCACACACACCACGTTGAAACTTCCATATGTTTCTTCCTGACTGCTTTTGAACAGGGGTCCTCCTCTGTCCTCTGTGAGGAAAAGCCAGGCTGCTTGGATATGAATCTTCACTAGGTCACTACTGACTGTGACCTTGGGCAAGTCCTTTCCCCTCTCTGGGCATTGATTTTTCCCATGTACACAATGGTGGTAATGATAGTTGCAGACTCATTGGGGTATTCTGAGGGTTAAATGGGTTAGTATATGTATCAGGCCAGGCACATAGTAAAAGCTTGGTAACATGAGCTTTTAAAACAACATGTAGCTGACAGAGTGACTCAAGTGGTAGAGGGCCTGCCTAGCAGTGTAAAGCCCTGTGTTCAAACTCACCAAAATACACACATACATACATAAAAACATGTCCGTCCCAGACATCCATTCATATCCCGTGCTAGGCATAATGATGACCTGATGACCCCTTAGAAAGCACTTGCTCTAAAGCCTCTGTCAGCACTTCTAGTTTATAAGGAAGGAAACAGAAGCTCAGAGAGGACAAGCAACTTACACAAGGTCACACAGCTAATCAGCAAACAGCTGGAATTTGAACATAGCCCTCTCTAGTCTCCTAGTGTGATCCTTCAGCCACCTGGCCCTGATTCCCTTAGGAGGCTAGCCTGGGCTAGAGGAGCTAGAGGTGTTAGTATGTGGACCTGGGATCTGGCCAAGCCCAGCTCCTGTCCCACGTGGGAGCAGCAGTGAGGTCGTTTCTGTTATTTTTTTCACTGCCCTGAATTGTTGCGCATCCTGCCATACCCTTCTGGACCCTGAGCCTTGAGCTGACTATCTCAGGCTCCCATGCTACCCAGATATTTTTCCTGTATTGTTCTCACCCCACACGGGGATGGGAACCTCCTTAGCTCTGGATTGCCCCCAATATCTGCCTGAGTTCCTCTCTTTTGGGGCCTTGGCCCAGATAGGAGCCCAGCATGGTCTCTTATAGTGTCTGGGAATACAAAGGGTCTGACTCCTGCCACTCAGGCCTCTTCCCACTCTCTGCCTTGTGCGATTGTCGCCTCCTCGTAGGAGGTCTCCACCTCTGTGATGCCACACCAGAACAACTGCTACAACATGAAGCATGGGCCTTAAGGCCCAGGGTCCTAAGATCTGAAAGTCCTGAGTCTGGTTAGCCAGTGCTGGATAACCAGCACCCCCCTTCCCATCACTTCTTTGGCTCATAGATTTGCAGTCCAGCTCCCTGTGGGTCAAGTGGGCCAACTCTACCTGGGGGATCCACTTCCAAGTGGTCTCTCACACAGTAGCCCACTTGTACTCTGAAACCCAAAGGTCTCTCTTGCTTTTGTTTTTTTGCTGTATCATCTCTCCCTGACTCTCATACTTGAACTTGACTGGGAGAGGGGTTTAGGACAAAAGTAGTTAGAATGCTTATCATTCCTCATCACAACCCTATAACATTTTGAGAAATGAAGGAGCAGAGGGAGGCCTCAGAGCTGCCTCTCCTTTGATCCCAGCACATTCTTTTGTGGGTCACCATACTGAGGTGGGCAGCAGGGTCAAGGGCAGAACTCAAGGGGCTGGCCAGGAAAGTCACCTGGAGCCACAGCCCCTGTGGCAGTGTAAATGTGACAGACAACATACTTTCTGGCTCCTCCCCTGCCTCCCTCACCCTGGGTCTGCTTTTTTCAGGAGCAATGGGGCAAAGTGGGACAGCCCTGAAGCACTCAGGTCGAGGGCTCCTCCTTTACCCTCCCTGTCCTAGGGAGGTCCTGGGTAGCCTGCCAGCTGAATCTTCTGAATCTCTCCCAAGTTATCAATTCTCCCCACCCCTGCTGCTTCTACCAAGACCATGTCAGAGCTTCCCAGTCCCCTAGCCCTCCCCAACCCCACCTCCCCTCCTTGGTCTTCCTGCTTCCACGGTGCTCCCTGCAGTCCCAGCAGGTTTCCCCAACCCCACCCCACTGGAAAACCTTCCAGGACATCTCGTGGACTTTGGGATGAGATCCTAAAACCTTAACAGAGCCTGGAGAGCCATATCCAATCCATCCTTGCCAGCCTCCCATCCTGGGCCTGCCACTGGTGATATCTAACTCAAGCCCCACATAAACTGTGCCTCGCCTCATTGCCCAGCTGGCTTCCACTCAGGGCTTGTTCAGTTATTTGACCATATACAACTCCTAGTGCCTGGCATTAATACTCAACAGGCATTGAATGACTGAGTAAACCAATCCTTCTTTCTAGAGTTAGGCCCCACCCACTTGTCCATTCTCCTACTCCCAATCCTACAGCTTCCTTCACCAAGCTTCTCAAAGCCAACACTTTCCATCCACATTCATTCATTTATTTATTCTTTCATTCATACAACAAATACTTTTATGGGCCTGCTCTGTGTTAGGCATCATCCTAGGCTAGCTTCTTTATCTGGGGATACAGTAGAGAACAAACAGTTTTCTCTATTTGGAATAATCATCCCTTTCCCTTCCATCTATTCTTAGCAAACCCCCACTCATCCTTCAAAACCCAACCCTAATATACCATTCTCTAAGAAGCCCTTTCCAGCCTTCTCAGGCCCCAGTCCTGAGATGAAACGTCTCCCTTTTTCTACTACCCTACTTTTTATTTTTTGGTAGGACTGGGGCTTGAACTCAGGACTTCACACTTGCAAAGCAGGTGCTCTACCACTTGAGCCATGCCTCAGTCTATTTTTGCGTTGGTTATTTTGGAGATGGGGTCTCACAAACTATTTGTCTGAACTGGCCTCAAACCACAATCCTATTGATCTAAGCTCCAAATTATCTACTATTCCACTCTTGAACTTTGCATGGATCATCCAGTGATGGGGGCCTAGGGTTGGGGTGTGGAGTGTGGGGGACAAGGGTCTGCAGAGATGTCTGCTGAAAATGCTGCTCACAGGCAGTGCGTCAGGCATGGTTGCGCCTCCATCTCCTGCCTTCTCTCTCAGGCCTGTTTTCTAGCTACTCAGCAACTCCACAGAGGATATGGCTGCCAGGCATACCTTTTATTTAGACAGAAACGATCAAGGGTCACAGATCCGGGCTGAGGGGCAGCACAGGTGGGAACACCTGAGGAAGACAAGTGGGAACTGAATATGAAGCTGGAGCAGATCTGAGTATCGGGCCCTGAGTAAACCAAAGGCAGAGCCCAGTGCATCTAGGCCTCTGGGATGGGGCTTCCTCTCCCCAGCAGGAGTCAGGGAAGGGTCTGCAGCAGGCATGCGATAGGAAGCCCAGGGTCCTGCTTCTGCTGCATTGCATTGTGGGCCAGCCTTTGAAAGTTCCTCTTGCTATCTGACCCCCGGTTGCATGCCTATGATTCTGTCCCAACTCTGCATCTGCCCTCTTAGGTTCTTGGGGACTAGGTTTGTTCCTTCTGCCTCCCTGGTCTTTTCTAAGGTTCTGGCCCCTGACAAAGGTCACTGACTCAGAAAGGCCAGAGACCCCCTTGAGGCCACACAGCAGGTCTTCTGGCAGGTCTGGTAACTAGGATCAGAGCAAGGTGATCTCACTGGGGGGCAGTGTGAGCCGCTTCTCCCGGGCACTGAGCAGGTTCTCCACATGCACGGCCACCACACGACACAGCTCCAGACCCTACAGGGGACACAGTGAGAGTCAAGATCACCTAAACCTCACCCAGCTCTCACCTTGGGGCTGGACATGCAGAACACAGGTGTGGCTGTGAAAGAGATGGAAGCCACCCTCCACTAAGATGCTAGGAAGAGATGTGGAGTTGGAAGACAGAATGGCAGGATGTAGGCCATGCAGGGAACCAAATGCATCTGTCAGCTTTGCTGCCTATGAATTGTGTGACCTGGGGTCAGTCATTTCTCTTCTCTGATCCTCAGTGACCTCATCTATAGGAGCTCAGTTTACCAGACCCTGCCTCGCAGGATCGTGGTAAGGATTCAGTGAGATTCTATTGTATGCAAATCCTTTAGGTTTTAAAAATATTAGTACATGGGGCAGGGGAGTGGCTCAGTGTCCACCACTTGTCCAGCATGTACAAGGCGCTGGGCTTGATCCCCACAGTTACCTCCCCCCATTAGCCCAATCAATAAATGGCAACCTTTTCTAACCATGTATTACCATGGTTACCCCTGGTGCCCACCACCTGGAAGGGGCAGTGATGGATCTACAAATGTGGTTCTCAAACCAAATCCAGTGTTGGGGTCCCCCAGGGATTTCTTGGGTGACACAAGTTATTCTGAGAGGGACAAAATGATGACAGCAGAACTTCCTGAGCACTGCCTGGGTCAGGCCTTGTCCCGAGAGTTCTGTTTAATCCCTGCAGTGTCCCTAACGCAGCACTGTTACATCCTATCCTGCAAGGGAGGAAGTTAGGGCCGAGGCTAGGAAATTGCTCACCCTACATCTCACAGCTGGTAGACAGCAGGTTCAAACCTCAGTGGAAAGAGGCCTGAGGCCACACTCTGAAGTGCCTTTGCCAAGGTCAGCTGTGACCACCCTGCCTTAGGGCAACCCCAGATAACTGAACAGTGTATGCAAGATAGGGAGTCCTGTCATGCAATGTCCCCCAGAGGCCCATGTGTTGGGGGCTTCATCCTTGGCTGGCAGATCTAATTACTGAGAGGTGATTGGATCCTGAGGGCTCTGACTTAATGAATGGATTAATCCACTGGTGGACTTATACTCTGATGGGATCATTGGGAAGTGGTGGAAACTAGGAGGTGGAGCCTGGCTGAAGGAAGCAGGTCACTGGGTGTGTGCCCTTGAAGGGTACATCTTTTTCCTGGCCCTTTCCTGTCTGATTCTGTCTCTCTGCTTCCTGGCTACCATTAGATAAGCAGCTCTGTCCCATCCATGCCTTTCTGCCACGGTGTTTCTGCCTTGCCACAGGCCTAAAAAGGAATGTAGCCAGACACCCATGGACTAAAACCTCTGAAACCATGAGCCAAAATAAACCTTTCCTCCCTTACGTTCATTTATCTCAGGTATTTTGCCACAGCGATGGGAAAGTGACTAACATACCTCCCCTTCAGTTAGTCTTTTGCCTACCAATAGGCTGTATTCACACCCAGCTTGACAGGTATGTAAACTGAGGCCCAAAGACAAGCAGAGATGCCTCATCTCACATAACCTGTCAAAGGCAGGCAAGACAGCGACTCAGGTCTCAATTGACTCAGTTGACTCCAATGCCACTACATTTAGAAATCACTTCCTCTGAGCCAGGTGCCTGTGGCTCATGCCTGTAATCCTAGCTACTCAGGAGGCAGAGAGCAGGAAGATTTCGGTTCAAAGGCAGCCTGGGCAAAAAGTTCTCAAGACCCCATCTCAAAAAACACTTCACAAAAAATAGGGCTGGCGGAGTGGCGCAAGGTGAAGGCCCTGAGTTGAAGCCCCAGTACTGCCAAAAAAAAAAAAAAAATCACTTCCTCTTAATTGCCTTCTAATTTCAGGTCCCCTGTGCATCCTCCCAGCACTGATCTTGGCTTATGGAGAAATTCTTCCACATCTGAGACTCTGGGCTCTGGGAAGGCCAGAGCTGCAGGGCTCTCAGTCACATCAGTATTCCTGTGGCCAGTGCAGAGCCTGCTCTACAGAGATGCTCAGTGGTTGTGTGCTGAGTGAATGAATGAGTGAATAAATGCATCCCTCCACATGTTCAGGACAGAGGTGGAGACCACAGCTTCCTCACTGTCGGGGCAGGGAGTTGTACAGAAGTAGAGAAACCAAAAAAGAATTTTATCCATCCATACATACATCTACCTATCCAGTATACACTGATACACTGTGTGTATCTTGCTATGGATGCAGCAGGAACAAGATGAGCAGATCCCTGCCCTCCTGGAGGTGACATTCTGGTGTGGGGGAGACAAACAATACGTAAACAAACACATTGAATGATTTGCAAGCTATCATGAGGGCCACTGAAGCAGAGGTGTGTCATTAGGGAGGACGGTCAGGGAAGACTTCTAAAAAGAGGGGCTTCTTTGTGATAAAGCCAAACAAAGGAACCTGCTTTCCCTAATTGCAATCCTAGCCCCATAATCCAGCTCCCATGCCTCAGTTCAGGTAAACTTCCTCTCACAGGGGATTTCCTTGTGAGAAATTAGGGAAGAGGGAACATTCCAGATAGAAAGAAAAGTGCATGTAAGGTGGGGCAGAGAAGGGAGGGCAAGCTCAGCACAGGGGGGGCTAGAAGAGGCCAGGATGGTGGATCAATTGAGCAGATGGGACAGGGAGGGAGAAGAGGCTACAGAGGTGATAAGGAAGAGACAGGGATGGTAAGTTGGAGAGACCTTCAGGTCTCCAAAGGAGATGCTGAGGGAGCCTGGAATTTAGGATCCAAGCAGGAGATAGAAATATAGGGGCCATCACAGTAGAGATGGTTTTGAAAGCCTTGGGGCCAGATAGGGGTCCCAAGGAGAGAGTCCAGACTCAGCAACATATAGAAATGGTCCAGGAGTGAAGGTGCCAGGAAAGGAGCCAAAGAACAGGTGCTGAGGCAGGTATAAGGGAGAACACCAGAGACCAGAGAGTGGATTCTGGGAAGCCAAGCAGACCTGGAACCTGAGGCTGCCAGAGGGAGGAGTAGGTAACGCTTGACAGCAGCAGGTTGGGGAATGGTGAGAAGGTGGAGCTAGGCCCTAAGTCACTTTGTTCTGGTTCTGTTCCTTGGTGGCAGAGTTGGCTTGGTAGAAGCCCCCTCTCTTCCCTGAGAAATCAGCCTTCCAAGGCAGGACCTGCCATGGGGGGACAGGGGTAGGGGTGCCAGGCCCAGATGCTCACAGGGGAGATGGCAAGCAGAAAAGGGAAGACATGGAGTGAAAACTCTGGGCCTTCCCTGTTTCCTAGGAGCTGTGAGATTTGGACAGGAGTCTAGAAGTTCCCCCATGCTATCTACAGAGCAGCCATAGTTAAGAAGACACAGGATAGGTGGGCCTTGTCTTCCTAACTATCACAGAGGAATCTGCTTTCCCTAATTGCAATCCTAGCCCCATAATCAAGCTCCCATGCCTCAGTTCAGGTCAACTTCCTCAAACCTCCTGTGTTCATGCCTGCACTCAACTTTCTATGGCTCCCAAGAGCCCTTAGAAGAAAACTCCAGATTCTTAGCTTAACATTCAAGGAGCTCCAAGGCCCACCTTCCCTTGGTGGCTCCCCCCTGCCCCTGCATCCCATCAAAAACCTTGCTTCTGTAAACAACATAGCCCTTTCCCACAGTTCCTCTGCCACACTGCTTCTCTGGAGGACCACCATGATGACTTGAAGTTCTTTCCCCTGCACTTGGGGCATGGCCAGACCTAAAGAGCCCAATGTGTATAATGAGGGAACCAAGGCCTGGTTGTCAGGCTGGCTGGTGGTGCGGGCCCCACCTGCTCCAGCTGCAGCTGCATGGTGCGCTGGACCGCCACATCCCCCAGCACGATCTCCACATAGGGGTAACTGGAGTTGGCCGTGGGCCGCTGGGTCCGTGTAGACTGGATCTCCTTCAAGGGGAAGTTCACCATCAGCTCCTGGGAGTGGGAGGAGAGGGGCTAGATAGACCTGTGTGTGGGGATGGTCTCAACCATGCCAGCCCCTTCCCTGCAAATCAGATTATCAGATCAGAAGAAGGCAGGAGTACAGTTCCCCTGGGCACTTGCTGTGTGACCTTGAGCTGTACTTCTCTGGACCTCAGTTTTCTTACCGGTGAAACAGATTCAACAAATACTGGTGCTGCATCTACAGTGTTCAAGCACTGCTCAGAATGCTTGATGTACTGGGGTGTAATGGATGCTGTTGGTGCCCTGACCTTGACATCAGAGTTGCTTCCAGGAACATCTTTATCATGGAGCAAATTAACCCCATGCAGGGAAAGCTGGAGCCATGGAAGAGTCAGGAAAAAGTCCTGACTACTTACCTGTGGGGCATGGTGTCATGGGGGTCCCCTCATCCCCAGGAAAGAAGGAATACCCAAAAGGCATGTTCAACACTGTCTCCTGGGTCCCCCACTGAACTGACCAACAGTCATACTCACTGGGAAGGTGGACTTTATTGCCTCTATCCCTTCCCTGCCCTACTTCAGTGTCCCTAAAATCACCTCCAAATAAACCAGCTGCCCTGGAATCCTCCTCTCAGGCTCTACTTCTGAAAGCAAAGACTAACAAAGGGGGTATCAAGTCCTATTTGTTCAAATTCTTTTTGTTGTGTGTGTATGTGTACTGGGGATCACACCCAGGGCCTTGTGTGTGCTAGGCAGGCACTCTACCACTTGAGCTACATTCCCAGCCTAGCAAGTCCTATTTGTGATGGGCTGCCTTGTGTGTCCGGAAATTCCTACATGAAGCTGAAGGCCCCAGTATTTTGAATGTGACTGACTGCATTTGGAGGTAGGGCTTTTGGACTTTTTTGGTGCTACTAGGATTTGAACTCAGGACCTCACACTTGCTAGGCAGACCTTCTACTATTTGAACCACGTCGCCAGCCCAGAGGTAGGGCTTTTAAAGGGGTAATTAAGGGGCTGAAGATGTGGCTCAGTGGGAGAGTGCTTGCTCAGTATGCACACGGCCCGGGGTTCCATTCCTACCACAAAAAATAAAAAAGTAAAGAGGTGACTTGTGGGGAGCAGAGTATGAGAAGCCTATGAGAACTTGACATAAGCACATCTATGTCCAATAGTCTGCAGGCTGAGTTGGCACAGCCCCAGCTACAGAACTTGCTCCACCTCCTTATTGCCACTGTATGTAAAAGACTAGCTGAAGGAGAATGCAGTAGGCTGCTTGCGAGGGGGAGGGCTGCTGTTGTGTGTCTGTGAGTCTAAGGACCAAGACTTTAAAGACTAGAAAAGAAGAGGCTTTAAAGAATAGAAAAGAAGTAAGGTTCTAAGGAATAGAGAAAAGAAGTAAGGTTTTAAAGAATAGAGAAAAGAAGGAAAGTAAAGGAAGAAGAAAAGAAGTAATGCTGCTGTTGTGTGTCTCCATCCAAGCACCCAGCACACCTGACCCCATCGTTTTGCATGTTTGTCTTCTATCTTTTGTCCTTTTTGCATCTCCATTCGCCCCCAGTTAGGTTCGTAGGACAAGCTTACTTAGGTCATTAGAGTGGCTCGGTTAAAATGAGGTTTCTGGGGTAGGCCCTAATCCAGTATCACAGGTATCCTTATAAAAAAAGGAAAACTGGGCACAAAGAGACCCCAAGGATGGGCACGCACAAAGGAAAGGCCTGGCAAGGATACATGGAGACGTGGTCATCTGCAAACCAGGAAGAGTTCAGACCTGGGACATCTTAATCTTGTACTCTCAGCCTCCAGAACTGTGAGAAAATAAACTAAATTGCGTGAGTCACCCATTCTGGGCATTCGAGTGCTTCACGTGGGCCTTGCCTCATGTCCCCTTTCCATATCCTGTAGGCCAGGTTCCACTACCCTAGTATCCCACTCTCCATTGGGGAAAGTGAGGCTCCCGGGGGCGGAGACTCACACACATGGTAAATGGTGAGGCTGGGCTTCCACAGCTGGCAATCTTGGCCCCCCATGAGGGGGTGGGGTCCAAAAGACAAAAAGGACAGGGGACAGATGGTCAGGGCCAGGCTGAGGCCACTCACATGGGTCTCAGTGCTGAGGAAGTTGAGGCCATTATGGTTGACAGCGAGGATGCAGGGGGCTGGCACAGCCACATTGCTGCAGCTCTGGATGAAGAAGAAGGAGGAGCCAAACATAGGAAAGGCACTGAGGAGACCTGTGGTGGGAAGAGGGTGTTACTGTGACAGCCAGGTTCACACACAACAGGATAACCATAGCCCAAGAACACCTGGCCCTTGACTTCCTTCTCTTCCCACCTCTCTGGCCTCCCCACTTCCTGCCTCTTCCTCTACCCATGCAGAAGCTCCCATGTACTGCTTTTTGCCCAAGGTCATCTTCAGCCTGGTGAGGCCTTCAGGAATGTGTTAAAGTCTTCTTTCCAGGTAGGTGGGTAGCTCGGCTAGCACCCAAAAGAAAAAGGTGCCTCTATCCCCCTCCCCTGGGAACCCCCAGCCCTCTGTGACCAACTATTACCTAGGAACTGGGCGCGGGCTTGGTGGGGGCTGAGCGCCTGCGCCTGCTGCCGGTGTTGGCTGACCAGGTTGAGCCAGGCCGCACCTGCTGTTATGTGGTAGAGCTGAGCTGGGATGTACTCTCGGCTTCCCGCCTGTGTGGGGTACATGGGTCCTGAGCATCCACTGCTGGATCCCCACTGCATGGTACATATGATGTAAAGTGGATGTCACTGCTACACCCCCCCTGAAAGACTAAATGCTGGAAGAGTGAAAGGGGAAGATGGGGTCATGGATGGTATGGTGCCTTGGCTCCCAGCAGGTGCTCAGTCACTGCCAGGGCTGGTACCACAAGGGTCCCTGTTTGCAGGTGAGGGAAGTGAGGCCCTGAGTTCCCCAAGGAGTTTACTACAGAGTGACTGCGGGAGTTGGTGCAGGACTTGAACCCAAGATGAGTGTCCTAGTGCCTATCCCCAAGGAGAAACCTACGCCAGAGGGGTGAGACGCCAAGGAGTGAAGGGACATTAGGGTAGGCAAAGCAGTGTCACATGGCTGGTCAGAGTATAGGGCAGAGAAGCCCTGGGCCTCTGGGCTGAGTCCCCAGGGCCAGCCACCCTACTCACACATTTCCTGTTCCAGCCCTCCTCCTCCTCCTCTTCTTGTGCTATTGGGGTTTGAACTCAGGGCCTCCTGCTAGATAGGTACTCTACCACTGAAGCCATGCCCTTAGCTTCTTTTGCTTTAGTTATTTTACTTTTTTGGTACTGGGTTTGAACTCAGGACTTCACACTTGCTAGGCAGGCGCTCTACCACTTGAGCCATTCCACCACCCCTGTTTTTTGTGTTGGATATTTTCAAGATAGGGTCTCACAAACTATTTGCCTTGGGCTGGCTTTGAACTTAGATCCTCCTGATCTCTGCCTTCTGAATAGCTAAGATTACAGTTGTGAGCCACAGGCATCCGGCTGCTTTAGTTATTTTTCAGGTAGACTCTTGTGCTTTTTTGACCTTAGTCTAAGATCCTCCTACCTCCACCTCCCACATAGCTAGAATTACAGGTGTCCACCACCATCCCTGACTTGTTTTGGGGTTTTTTTGGTACTACCAGAGTTTGAATTCAGGGCCTCCTGCTTGCTAGGCAGGTACTCTCCCACGTGAGCCATGACCCCAACCCCAGCTTGTTCTTTGAGATGGGATCTTGAAAATTATTTTTGCAAAGGCTGGTCTTAAACCTTGACCCTCCTATCTCCAGGGCTCTCAATCTGTTGCTCAGTCTGCCCTTGAATGTCCAGGTTCAAGGGATCTTCCTGCCTTAGCCCTGTAATAGCTGGGACTATAGATATGCACTATTACTTAACTACTCTACTTAAATTTGTGATTTTAATTTTTTCTCAGTTTTTAATACTGAATAGAGTAAATATAGCAATAGATACAACCTATGTAAACACAAGCAATTTGGGGTCTTATTTTTCTTTTCTTAGGTTTTTCTCAGTGCTGGGAATGGAACCCAGGGCCTCATGCCTGCTAGGCAAGTGCTTTACTACAGCTGGGTGCCAGTGGCTCATGCCTGTAATCCTAGCTAGTCAGGAGGCAGAGGATCACAGATCAAGGCCAGCCCAGGCAAACAGTTTAAGAGACCCTATCTCGAAAATACCCAACACTGGGCTGGGGATGTTGCACAGTGGTTAGGTGCCCCATGCTTCACTTAAATGTGGACAACCGTAGAGGGGAATAACTACAACTCAAAGGTACAAGTGATGTTCCACTTCTCCCAAGGAAGATCCCTCATACCTAAATAAATAAATAAATAAAAGATCCAACACAAAAAAGGTCTGGCAGAGTGGCTCAAGTAGTAGAGCACCTGCCTAGCAAGTGTGGGCCCTGAATTCAAACCCCAGTTACCTGCCCTCCCCCCAAAAAAAGCAATTGCTCTAACACTGCAATTACAACCTCTGTCCCCATCCCCCAACTCCGGGATCCTATTTTCAAGAGAGTTTTCGTCCTGAAACTAAAACATTTGGGTGTGATTGATTTACATCATGAGCCCATCACATCTTTGTGAACACCAGTGCAAAGACTATCTAACTCCTCACAATGTACTTTACAAATCCCCTGTTGTTGGATATTGACGTTGCTTCCAATCTTTTGCTGCTGTTGGCAGTGAACATTTTTTGTGGCTAAATCTGCATAGCCATGTGTATTTCCTGAACCACAAGGTATTATGTCCTGAAGCTTTTTTAGCGTTAATTTTGCTCGGAGCCACTAATACTAGCCAGAAGCAACTTATCGTTGGAGGGAGGTGGATGGGGTACTAGGTCCTATGGGAAGTGGGAAGACTTCAACTCCAAGTCCAGGACAGACCCTTCCAGTCAGCCTCCCTGGGGCAGAGGGCAACCTGGGATGGACAGCAGCAAGGGAGGTGGGGGTGGACTGCAAGGGTCAGACTGCCTGTCCTCCCCAGCTAAGACAGGCAAGCAGGCGCTCACACACTGGGCAGGTAGAAGTGGTCCTTGGCACGGTGCTGCAGTGAAGCCAGCTTGGACACCTGCTGCAACTGCTGCTCACTGGGCCAGCTAGCTGGCATGCTGCTGAAGAGACCCTTCAGGTAGTCGGGCAGGACCTGTGGAGAGCAGTCACATGTCTGAGGGACTGCCAGGCAGGTGCACACTTGGGCATTCCCTGGCCAGGGGCTGAAGACAGGCAACTGTAATACTTCTTTTGGGGTAGGATGATCTGTGGCTTTCCTGAGTTTGGGGAAATGATGATAGAGGCATTGGATGGGAAGCTGTGAAGGCTGTGGCCTTGAAGGCTAGGAGGGAGGTCCACAGTGACGTGGGAAAGGCATGGGCTGGTAAAAGCAGAACATAGACACTATGCTGTTCATTAGACACAGTTTCCCTAGGATTTGTGTCAGGTTTTTTCTGGCCCACAAGCCTCCTCCTTAAATTTTAACATACTACCCGATGGTGCAGGACTAGCCTTCAAATAGTGTCACCATGTGACCACAAAAGCTAAGTGGCTCTTTTTTTTTTGTATGTGGATTTGCTGAAGCTTTGGCACCAGCTCCACAAAAACGCAGCTATGGTATCTAAGGTGTCTGACCTTACAGTCCCCGGGCAGGCCACAAGGTCCAGAGCAGCAGAGGTGCCACATTGCTGACCTGGTTGTAGTGCATGGTCACGTACAGCTCATTCTCAAACTTGAGTGGCTGATCCCAGAGCACTCGTCGGAACCAGAGCATGTAGCCGCCTTCCACCTGCTCCATCTCTGAGGCCACATCAAGGATATAGGCTCTGCGGCTGAGCGGGCACACATGCTGGCCTGCATGGGGCAGGGAGGCAGGACTGGATGGGGCACACTTACATAAATGTGCTGACCCCGATCTGCCAAAGGCAAGGCGTCACCTTGGGCAAGACATCTCCTTGCTGTGAGTCACACTTTGCCCATATTTATGCAATAGGATGCCCCATGCTTCACTGAAATGTGCACAACCACAGGGGGGAATAACTACAATTCAAAGGTACAAGTGATGTTCCATTTCTCTCAAGGAAGGGACCTCAGGAGTGCCTAGGAGTACCCTGCTTGGGTCAGAAAGGCCCTTGGGCTATGCTCAGAGAAAGGCCAGCCAGAGGAGGCTGGGGACAAGAAGAAGCACATCAGGCCTCAGGCCACAATCCTTTCTGCCAACTTTCTTCACTAATGACTTGTTGCTGGGCACCTGGTGTGGGTGTGGATGTGGGTGGGAAGGCCTGGGGTCTAAGCCTGAGGGAGAGGTATAGATTTTCTTTCCTGCACTGATATTTCTGCCACTCATCTCACGCTTTTTCTTTTAACCAAAGAGTGGGGATCTGGCACGAGGAGAATTCAGACTCCTGCAGCCAGAGTGTGTGGTTCACATGCCCAGTGTGACCTTGGAGAAGTCACTTAGCTTCTGTGTTTGTCTAATAATGACCCCAGAGATGGTCACATCCTAATGGCAAAAGGGACTCTGCAGATGTGATTAAGGGTGTGAAGAAGGAAGAATGTCCTCAATGATCCAATGTAAACCCAAAGGTCCTTCTAAGAGGGAGGCAGGAGGCTCAGAGTCAGAGAAGTGAGAATAGAGCAGAGGTTGGAGCAGGGAGAAGAAACACTGGAAGATACTACACTGCCGGCTTCAAAAATGGAAAACAGGGCCATGAGCCAAGAAATGTGGGCACCGACTGGAAGCTGGGAAAGGGCAAGAACATGAATCATCCCCTCGAGCCTGCAGAAGGAACACAGCCCTGACCACACGCTCATATCAGGACTTCTGACTTTCAGAAGGGTAAGATGGTAAGTCTCTGTTGTTGGAAGCCACTGACTTTGTGGTAGGTTGTTACAGAAGCCACAAGAAACTAATACTCCCTCACTGGGTTTCAGTTTCCCCATCTGTTGGTAGCAATGATGATAGTCTCCATTTTATGTGTTTGTTGTGGGGATAGAGAGTTTATAGTTTATCTCAGCAACAGAGCACTTGCCTAGCATATGCAAGGCCCTGGTCTGATCCCCAACATTACAGAAAAAAAAAGGAGTTTATAGCACTAAATGCTTTTATCTGTGTCTGGGACATAATATATGCTCAATAAATATAAGTTATGAGGACCATCAGTCTCCATCCCCTTCCCCTATAAATTTTCTGGACTTGGCAGGTGGGGCTGAGGGCATGCTGTCTAGAGATGAGGCATCTTGGGGAAGGCTGGCTGGAGGTAGCTGGAGCTGATCAGCTGGTGGAAGGAAGCAAGATCAGGGGCTAGAGCAGGTGTTCAGCAGATGGAAGGAACTTTGAATAATGGAAAGATTCCTTAGGGTTCCAGGAGCCTTGGGGAAAAGGACTTGCTGAGACCTAGGAAGGGACTCCTGTGGCCATTCTGAGGCCATGAGAGTCAGGAGAACACGCTGGCACTTTGGGTTCCAGGAGTCTGGGATGTAAGCCCCTTGAGGATGTAAGTTCCCTATTGAGAAGACTCCAATAGGCCCTAAGGAACAGAGGAAGGAATCATGTCTTCCATGAGCCCCCAGTCAGCAGGTGAGACAGACTTATGCAAAATGAAGAGATAAGGGCAGGTGGAGGGTTCAGAGGCTCAGAATACATAGCGGTCCTTCCACACTAGGGTCCAGGGCTTCCTGCAGAAAATGGCCCCTGACTGGGTACAGGACTCCACATGGCTAAGGCCTGGTGATGGAAAGGAGCCCCACAAGGTCAGTTTTCCTGGCCACTCACCTCGATTAGTGACAACAAAGATGACATACTCATTGAAGGCTTCAGGGCGTGTCAGGGCCATCTCAGCACAGATCTCCTCTACCATGTCTAGGGCCACCTGGGGCAGAGCAGAAGTGGGGAGGCTGTACCAGCTGACCTGACCTTTGTCTTCCCAGCCCACCGGGAGCCTAGTGCAAAGCCCTCAGCCACTCTATGGAGGTGCAGAACCCTCCAAGGGCTCAGAGGATCAGCCTCACGTGAGCAGAGAGCACAGCTTTCAGACTTTGGGACTTAGGCTTCAATTCTGCCTTTGTCTCTTATTCACAGTACAACCCTGGGCTGGAGGCTCAGTTTGCTCTTATGAAAAATACATTTCATCCCTCTTTATCCACAGGGGACTGGTTCTAGGACCCTCTGCAGACACCAGAATTCAAGGGTGCTCAAGTTCCTTATATAAATTACATGGTATTTGGTGGTACTGGGGTTCCGCAGCACCCTCCCACTCCATTTTTTTACTTTAGTTATTTTTCGGATAGGGCCTCATGGTTTTGCCTGAGTCAGCCTCAGACCTTAGTCCTTCTACCAATACCCACCCTGTTGGAATCATAGGCATGTGCCACCACACCCAGCTTTTATTGGTAGAGATGAGGGTCTCGCTAACTTTTTGCCTGGGCTGGCCTCAAACTTTGATCCTCCAGATCTCCACCTCTCCAGTAGCTGGGATTATAGATGTGAGTCCCTGCAACTCGCCTTGATGGCATGATATCTGCACAGAACTCTATATTACTTTTTATAATATCTAATACAATGTAGGAGCTATGCAATTAGTTGTTACATTTACTGTTTAGTGAATAAGGAACAAGAAAAACATCTGTACCTGTTCAGTTCAGACATAACTTATTTTTCTAATTTTTCTTTTTGCAGTATTAGGGCTTGAACTCAGGGCTTATATCTTGAGCCATGCCACCAGCCTTTTCTGTGATGGGGTTTTTTGAAATAGGGTCTCATGAACTATTTGCCCAGGCTGGCTTCAAACCATGATCCTCCTGAACAATCCCTCCTGAGCAGGTAGGATTACAGGCATGAGCCACTGGTGCCCGGGCTCTAAATATTTTCAGTCTGAAGGTAGTTGAACCTGCAGATGAGTCTTGCCTAGGGGCTATGAGGGGAGCCTGTGAAGACCAGAACCGTTGGGGCTCACTCCACCCTCCTCTACCCCAAAGACTGGAGTATCTCTGCCCTTTCAGCATGTGTTTGCTAGAGGCATGCCCTCACTTACAGTGCACGTTTTGATTTTTAGATGGCGTTCGAGGCCTCCAGGAAGAAGAAAGAGCTGTCTCTTAGAACTGCGGCCTGCCTGGAGGTGACGAAACAGAAGAGGGATGAGAGGCTGGGCTCTGGGATCTGGGACAGCTGTTGTCCCCTGCCATGGGAGTCCCAGGGGTTCTGGGCTTCCTATGCACCTGGACCTCAGAGCCCCATCTGCACACCCTGAGCCTGAGCAAGGCATCTACACCAAGCAGAGGGGTCGCTAAGCAGGGCTGGTATCTCTTGCTCATCTTGGCCCCAGCCCCACCCCAGGCTTACCAACATGGCCCGAAGCTCTGTGCTGCTGGGGAGCTCCAGACGGCCCCCGAAGCGCAAAGTCTTCTGCAGGTTCTGCTCACAGGCCTTGGCGATTCCTGCAAAGGCACTCAGTCAAGGCCTTGCCCAAAGTTAGCAGTGGAATAAAGGGGCTCCTCTTGCCCCAGCCATGAACTCCCTGTATTCCTTCCATAACCTGAGGGGCAGGCATTTACGCCCTCACTTGACAGTTGAAGAAACTGAGCTCAGAGAGGAGCAGTGACTTGCCAAGGTCAGGAGCTGGAGTGTAAGAGTTGGATTTGAACCCATATCCAATGTGGTTATGGCCTTGTCTTGCCTTTGGCTACCTATCAGCCTGGAGATAGCCGTCACTTTGGAACTGGCCTCCAACAGCTCAGTAGCTGGGGTGATGTTGCTCTGAGCCTATCATCTGGGACCCCACGCCAACTGCCTTGTCTTGCCCAGAATCCTGGTGTACAGACCCTACCATTAGTGCTCTATAACCCTCACCCTGATGCAGAGAGGGGTTAAGAATTCTAAAGCAGTTGGGTGCTGGTGGCTCATACCTGTACTAGTTACTTGGAAGGCAGAAATCAGGAGGATCGAGGTTCAAGGCCAGCCTGGGCAAATAGTTCCAGAGACCCCCATCTCCAAAATAACCAGAGCAAAATGGACCTGAGGTGTGGCTCAAGTAGTAGAGCACCTGCTTTGCAAGCATTCAAACTCTAGTCCCACCAGAAAAGAAAATAGAGTTCTGGGGCATATTCTGCTGTCTTCTCCTATCTGGGAGCCCTTCTCTGGGGAAGCCAGGTCTGTTTATCTCTACATCAGGGAATGTTTGTGTTTGTTAAATGAATCAAAGAGAGATTCAGAGGCAGTGTGGATGAGCTCCACTGTATCTTTTTTTTTTTTGTCTTTTCTTTTTTGGTGCAGTGGATTGAACCAGAACTCTACCACTGAGCTACATCCCAGCCCTCCCCTATATACTTTATAATTGTCATTGGTACAGGATGACTCAAAGGGTCCTAGGCTTTTTCTTAGGATTCTCAAGGTTATTATGGAAACAAGACTGAGTAGCAGCTCCATCCTTCATACTGCCAGGGGCAAAGACAAGACCCTGCCACCAGTTTTTGGTCCACTGAAGATCCTGGCTGGTCCCAGCAGCCAGAGAAGCACCCCCTCCCAAAAAACTCCAGGTTTTTGCCATCCCCATTTCTGCTTCTCCCAAGTGCCATACACTCCTACCTCTAGGCCTTTACCTCTGCTTCTGCCCCTTAGTCCACCTGAAAATCCCTACCACACACTCACTACCTGAGGCAATAGCTCCTCCAGGAAGCCTTTCCTGACCTGCTTCACCATAAGATCAGATAACTCATTGCACCAACCCCCTTGGGATCTCTATGAATGTTTGGGGAACAAATTAATAATAGTTAGCATTGTCCAGGAGCCTGCAAAAGGCCAGGCTCTATGGGTTTTTCCACCTGCAGGCTGCCTGACCTGTCCCCCTGTGAGAGGCATACAGCCCAGGGTCACCAATCATGAGCTCCTCACCCTGGAAGGGCAGGCCCGGGGTCCAGCTCACATGTTGGAGGAAGCGGAGGAGGTGTGGGTAGAAGACCTCAGAACAGCTGTAGTAGGCAGCTACGATGTACAGCAGCCTCCAGCCTCGCTGGCAGCTGTCCCTGAAAACACATACATGTTGGGCCACATTGCAGGCAGCCACAGCACCTGGCTTAAGGATGTGCCTATGATGCAGGACTGGCCAATTAGAATTCAGATCTAGGTGTAACCAATCAGCACTCTGTGTTCCCCTAGCCACTATGTTTGGTTCAAGGATGAGCATGTGACCAGCTGGGGCCAAGAAAGCTGGGTTTGGGAATTTCTGCAGCAAATATTGAGTCATTCTTGCTTTTCCTGGGTTTGCTGAGCTGGGAAGATGTTCCCTAGAACTGTCACTTTGCTACTCTGTGAAACAGACTGCTTGGGAATGATATTAACACAAAGGAAAGCAGGGCCAAAGGATGGAGAAAGTCTGCTTCCTAATAACACCCAGATCCAGTTTGGACTGAAACTGACTTTTCAGTTGCTTGAACCAATAAGTTCCTTCCTTTGCTTAAACCATCCCAAGCTGGGTTTCTGTTCCTTATATCCAAGAATCTGAACTTAGGCATTAGCACTGCCACTTGACGTATGAGGAACCTGAAGCTCAGTGAGCAGAAGTGGTGTGTCCCAGAACATATGAACAGAGAAGAGTGTGAGCAGAGACAGGCCTGTGAGGAAGGAGGCTGACTATGGACACAGTGGTGGTGGTGGGAGTAACAGATGACTCACTGCTTGGAGCTGGTATTGTCCGTGATCTGTTTCACAATTTGGCAGTAACACTCATCTCGCATGACCTCATGATCCCCACAAAGCTGAAAGAAGGTGGGCCAGGTCATGTGTCAAGGCCACATCCCAGGTACATTCAGGAACAGTAGGGCATTTGAAGATAGGCCTGGTGTCCCTTTTCCCGCCCCTTCCCCACCAGCATTCCTCTTTGGCCTACTGAAGAAGCTTCCCATCCCAATGTCCTATCACTCTGGATGGCAGATGGGGAAACTGAGTCACCAAGCAAGAAAGGGAGCATGGGGTATGGTTGTCTGGTCTGACCTTCAGGAGGGTGCACAGCACATCCAGTTCAGTCTGGCCCTTCAGTGGGGCATCCCCCATGAACTTCATCACAGCTGTAGGAAAGACCTGCCTTGATCAGGCCACCAACATCCCAGCTGCCCACCCCAAGGGGCCCCAGGGTCCAGTCCCTCTCTGAGATATTGTGGCCACAGGCAATTGTAGGCTTCCATTCTCTTCAAGGTATTCTATGTCTGAGTTTGGGGAGGGGAAGACTCTGGACCACAGAGGAGAGGTGACAAGCAAGGGTCACACAGCACTACATCTCATGGGGTGGTGGCTGCAGTTCCCCTCTCCCCGCCCCCCCACCCACACACACCTAGGAACATGTCAGTGGCCATCCTGTTGAGGCTACTGTCTTTAAGTTCGATGAGGGATTCCTGGAGTGGGGTCTGTGAGGGGAGGGAGGGGCTGTGTCAGAATAGAAGAGGACCACATCACGCATCCAGGTGGTATTTTGACAGAAGAGCCCACATCACAAAAGGAAGTCCAACCCCAACACTGAGGACAAACTTGTTTGTCTCGGGGGCTAGGGAAGGGATTCTGGCATCATTGCTTCACAGATGCAGAAACTGAGGCCCAGGACTGGACACCTTGGTAAAGCAAAGCATGTCCTCCAGGGTTCTGGACTCCCGGTCCTCCTTGGATTTCAGCCTGAGGCCATCCCTGCAACAAGAGGTGGATGCTACAGACCAGTCCTGCCTCTCAGCCTTTGGAACACTCCCACGTGGGAATGTTCCTGACCCATCTCTCTGCTCAGTTTACCAGAAAGGAAGGTCCCCAGAGTCTGAGACTGCTGGGGACTCACACCTGAGCAGTCTCATTCGCCCGTTGGAAGTGAGGTCTCCCAGGCCGACAGCCTGCAGGTTGGCTGACTGCAGGAAGCCCCGGGGAGTGTGGGGAAGAGGGTGTGGGCCCATCACTCACTGGGGTCGCTTCTGAGGGTCTCGAAAATACTTTTGGGCAAACTCGAGCATTGTATATGGTGGGAGCGCCAGAGGTTCCTCCCCACGGTCAGCAGAGCAGGCTCTGACTAGGGGACCCTGAGGGAGAAGCAGAACTAGGAAGGCCCGTCGGCCATAACCCATCTCGCCCTCCTGTCAAAACTGATGCCAGGCAACCCCTCGCTGATCGCCCAGATCCTCAAGCTGCCCACCCACTCCTCTGGCCCCGCCCCCACCATCTGGCCTGTCCCTTTCAAGCCTGCAAACTCACCACTTGCCGAGATGACCCCGCCTCCTACCCCTACGTCACGCCCCATCACCCAACCTCTGCATGGGATTGGTTGCCTCGTCACAGCTGACTCCGCCCCCACAGTTTGACCTGGCTTCTCTCTGCAAATCCGCCCCCGCCCCATCACCTAGTTCCGCCCCATCCCAGGTCAACTACACCTACTGGCCTGGCCCAGGCTGGTCAGGGCACATCGCTCTGGTTGCAACCAGCTGACCCTTCCCTACCCCGTTTGGTTACACAGCCCACCATCTCTGGTCACATGCCACGCGACACCCATCTCCCTCCCCCATTCCAGGACTGGCCACGCCTCAAGAAACTGGCCACGCCCTTGACTGGCCTGGCTGGCATCCACCTTGCAGTAGAGCCTCATCCCTTGCTGTCTCCGCCCCATCAGCCTGGCCCCGCCCCCACCGGTCTCACCTCTCTCCTGCGGCCCACCTCCCGGGCAGCAACTGTAGAGGCCACGGCAGCTGCCACGGCCGCGGCCCGGCCCCGGCCTGGCTCAGCTGGCAGCTGCAGGAAGTCGGGGGCAGCGGCAGGCTGCACCAGCTCCGAGGGGAAGCGGCCCACGCGCCCGTGGATGGTACCAAACCTCCAGCCTAGGGGGCAGGTAAAGGTCTGAGGTAAACAGGAAGGGCTTGTCCCCCTTTAGGGATACTTGAGTACCTCCTTGGTCATTCCCTAGAGCTCTGAGAAGCCAAATCATCAAACCTATTTATTTATTTATTATTTTGCGGTGCTGGGGATGTACCCTACTAGCCCTTATGGAACCCATTTTACAGATGAAGAAACAGAGGTTTCCAGAGGGGAAAAGGTTCTCTTAGGGCCACAGGACCATAATGGGAGGTGGAGCCAAGTGGCAAAGCAGCACTTGTGAGCTCTCAGGGCAAGGTGAGACAGAGTCTATCACAAGCATGGAAACACTAATGGCTACAGACACCCTCAGCCACATTTTCAGGCAGAGGGCTGGATAGCCTGTGACCTTAGGAGCCCTGGCTAGGCCGAATAGCTTTGGGGCACTAAAAGATATTCACCATCATGAAGCTAGCATGAGCCCCGTTTGGGGCTCCAAGTTTAGGGAACCCCCAGGGTACACACCAAAGTCAGGGCCTCTGCGCCGCAGCTCTTCGAGGTACACCACCTTCTTGCGGACCACACAGCCGGCACTGTAGCCTGCAGGCCAGTCTTGCATCAGCATCTGCCCAGGATGCCCCTTGCCCAGCCGCCCCTTATCAAGTCCACTCCCTTCTTGCCGACATGGCACTGACCCACTCTAGGTGGCTCCAGGGGCTGCAAATGGATGATGTCGCCCTTATGGAAGGCCAGAAGCGTTGGGTCCTCAGGCAAGAAATTCCTCACAGCGACCACATAGTCGGAGTCCTGGGACCACCAGGAGTATGAGTGAGCTGCCCTCACCCTTCTCCCAGAGGCTTGGAGCACTCCCCTGCTCCTCTCATTCTCCCTAGAGCATGAAGGAAGTGAGCATTCCCTGGCTAGAAGAGGGAAGGGCTTTCCAGATAGAAGGAAGAGCCTTGTAAGGGGCAGGAAGCCTGAGTGTGATGAACACAGATGGAGGTTAGAGCACACATGCGCCTTATCCAACAAACTTTCCCTCTGAAGCTTCTTGCCAGGTGCTGGACCTGGGGGCTGCCCAGTTGGTGCTGAGGGATGAACAAAGACTGAGGTGCAGCGAACAGACAGTGCAGTGCTGCAGGAGGGACCTGAGAAAATTGCCAGAAACTTAGAGGAGATGCTGAGCCACGCTGCTGAGGCGGCACAGGTAAAGCTTAGAAGGAACAGAAGGAAGGTGAGAGGAGTGCCTAGTGGAAGGCAGAGCCCATGCAGAGGCCTGAAGGCATACGGAGGTCTACAGATGCAGTCCTTGCTGTACACACACGTGCACAGCACATTCACACTCCCCAAGCAGGGGTGGCTTGGATATATCTGGGGTAGGGAACCCACAACCCCAGGTGGCAGGGGGCATCTGTGGGGGGATCCTGACCTTCTTCAGCTCCAGAATGAAGTCATCCACCAGGGTCTTGACCTGGTGAGCTCGAGCTGAGAAGAGGATGACCTTCTCACTGGTCAGGTTGAACTCCAGCATGTTCTGCGAGGGCATGGTCACAAACAGGATATCCGCAAAGCTGGAGGGTGGGAAGGTGACATGAGGGTAGGACCCTACAGTCAGAGGGATGCCCTCCCCCAACTTATCATGCTCCTTCTGATCCTGCTCCATCCCTGTCCCCAAAGCTCAGCCCTCTACTAGCCTCCTGAGACCCAAGGGATTTCCTGCCTTTCCTCTCTAACTTCTGTCTATGGTGCTCATCCCCTACCACTCTTTGAATCAATGCTCCAGCTATTTGTCCAGCCTCACAGATTTTGCTCACACAAATCTATCTGTCACCCATTGGCCAAGTTCTCTCCACCTTTCAGACAACCAGTGATCAAGGCTCTTCCTGACCTCATGTTAGGAGAGACAAAAGGGACTCCAGCAAAGGAGGGAGTCTAAGCCCTCAAGAAGGTCCCAGGACCAAAGCACCAGCTCCCTTCCCAGTTGCCTCACCCTACTGCATAGTTAGCTCTAGAGATAAGGCAGCACCACTTTCTGCTACATGACCCGAGATACGCAATTTCTCTGAGTCTGAGTTTCCCCATCTCTAAAATGGACTTGATTAAGAGGCTTGGCACAGAGGTGGGCACATCACAGTACTTGGCAACCACATCTGGACAGTTAGGAAGTACTAATACCAGTCCATGCCCCAGTTTCTAGTCCCCCCACTCACACCCGCCTGGTAGTCACCTGTAGGACCGAAGGACCCGCAGTTGCCCGCTGGCCTCCTGGCCACCCTTAACCATCCTGAGGAGTTTGATGCCTGTGTGAGACACAGATAGGATCTGCACGCCGGTGCCCACACTACCCTGGGATGAGGATGAGGAGCAGGTGAGGGCCTTCTAGTCTCAGTCCTGAGTGCTCCAGGGAGGCAGGGAGGGGCAGACATGGGGCTCGTACCGTGGCAGGGAAGAGGCGGGAGAAATAGACCTCCCAGCTGTCTCGGGCGATACTGACCACCGTCCGCTTCACGCTTTCTGTTACCAGAGGCCTCTGTGTGTCCAGCTGGTTCTGGGCTAAGGGAGGCCAGGTCTGGTCAGGACTCTCTTCCCCTTCCCCTGCCAGCCTGCACCCCAGGAAGGTCCAGGAGAGAGAGACACCAGCAAAAAGGTATCTGACCAGCATCTGTACTGGAAGCTTCCCAGGATGAGCTGGGGCCATATTGCATGTCAGACCTTGCAGATGTTAACATGCAGCCTGGTGTAGGAAAGGCCAAAGCCAAGCAGGGAGGAACATGTCTGGTAGGCAAATGCAGTTGGCCATGTCCACCTCAGACTCTCTCCAGGAAAGGGGAGGCCGCCACTCTGGCTGGCTGCCCCATCAGTGCCCCCTCCCTTCCCCAAGATACCAAACAGGGCCTTCATCCTAAGCCGCTCATCCTCAGAGATGCGCAGACAGGCCTCAGACAGTGTATCATGCAGGATCTGTGGGAACAGGCTATAATGTGGGTGGCCCAATTCCCAGACAGGAATGCAAGTGCATGGGCTTGGGGGGGGGCCCTCTTGTGCAGCAGTGAGGTTATCTATAAGCTGGATTACCTCTGTAATTTAGATCCCACTTACCAGGGTTCTCTTCTCTCTCCTCACCTTCATAATTCTTCCTGCCCTTCCCAGGCCTCAGTTTCTTTTTGCGGGGGCTGGTACTGGGGTTTGCACTCAGGGCTTAGTGCTTGCTAGGCCAGTCACTCTACTGTTTGAGCCGTGGCTCCAGTCCCCAGGGCTCAGTTTCTGGGCCCTGCCTAGCTCAAACTGTGACTTTGATTAGATTGAATTGTGGGCTCATTGACCTTATTCATGAAAGTGGGGGATTTGTAGAACAACCTCAAGAACCCCAAATCCCAGAATGCACAAGAAAATGTGTAGACAGCTAGCTAGTCTATGTGCCATTGCCTCCCTAAAAACACTGAGGCCGAAAGGGAAGAGGGAACTCACCTGCCGGAAAAGGAGGTCTAACTGCACAGGGTGGCTGTAGCTGTCTTTGGGATAAAACACCTGCAGGGAAGTGGCTTACTCAGTGGGTACCCTGGCATTGCCCCTCATTTTTTTCTCACCAGGCCCCACCCTCTAGACACAGCCCTGCTCCACACCGGCCCCGCCCCTGTTGCTGACTCCGCCCCTAGCTGTAGCCCGGCCTACTCCGTTCTCCTGGGCCCGCCCCAGGGGCTTTTTTGGACTCCGTCTGCCCGCATTCTGCCCTTCCCCTGGCTCTGCCTGGGTCTGGCCAGGTACCTCTTTGCGCAGGAAGATCCGCCAGGGAGCGTCCTGGTAGCCGTAGAAGTTGGGGTTGATGGGGCGATGCAGCTGAGTCTGCACCGGTTCCTCCGGGGGCTCCAACGACCGTGAAGGCAGCGCTGAAGAGTACAGAGGGCAGGGGAGACATGAAGAGGAGCCTCTCTGGACCAAGTGGGAGAGGCAGGGCTAGTTGGGGAGGGGACCCAGGGCGTGACACACAACTGCTCACATGGGCTTACTCATACAATCCAGTCCTTTATTCAACACTCAAAGAGTGTTGAGGATGCGCAGTGAACAAGACGCCCAGGACCCTGCCCTTGACTTAGAGTGTCATGGCAAAGGTAGGGTGGGTGGGCAAGAGCATTCAGAAACAACAAAGCTCTTGGATGGAGCTGGGTGGAAGTACAGAGGAAGATTCAGGAGTCTGGGGTGGGGGCTGCTTTGTGGTCTAGGTCTCCCCTCTGAGGAGGTGACATTTGAGCTGGACACCCAAAGATTATGGAGGGGGAGTGTTCTGGGCAGAGGGAACTGCAGGCTGACAGGTTTTAGTAGGATTAGATGAGACCAGAGTGGGCCTGGCCCAAGTCAGTGTGATTTAAATGTTGGCATTACAATGACATAGTGTCCACACAATATGTACACATGGTCTTGGGGACATAGATCCACAGGCCACCCACAGACCCCTCTGTGCTCACAAACTTGCTTATATACTAGGACACCTGCCAACTTGCTCCTCCCTCCCTCCTGGTCCTCACCTGGAGTGGGCCCCATGGATGGCCTCGGGGCACTGGTCACCGGCTTCACCAGGGCCACAGTCTCTCTGGACACCTGTCCCACCCCAAAGAGAGCATTCAGGGGGCACCAGGTGGGCCCTGTGGAGAGGGTTAGCAGCAGGGCCATGGCTGATAGGGTGGCTGGCTTCTGAGGCCATCTTTTTGTTCCCTATTCCCCTGGACCCAACCCCACCCTGCCCTCACCTGGGTGCCAGGTGCTGCTGCCAGGTGAGTCATCTGCCCTTTTAGGATCATCAGAGCCTCCTCGTGTGGGTCTGGCCGCTTCCCAAACACCTTCCCACCGTCCTTCCTGGTAGGAGACCTATTGTGGGTTGGATACTGAGTCTCTCCTCTCCCCCCAAATTCCTACAACAGGGAACTTCCTCACCACCCCATCATTATAAGGAAGGACCCAGAGAGGAGCAGAGTCTGGCTTGAAGTCACACAGCACAAATGAGACCAGCAGCCTGGGCCTCCCTGGGCCCCAGGAGTTCATCTGGACCCATTGGCACAGATACCCTCTGCAGAGGAAGCTAGGCAGCATGAAGGATGACACTCTGGCACAGCGATGTGGCTGTTCCCACGGTGGGCCTGGGGATAGGTCGTTGCCCACCTGAGGGCCTCAGGGCGGCCTCCCCTGGTTGGCTGCTGGTACTGCCTGACAATGTTTCTGATCTGCTGCGTGGGCTGTGGGAAGTGCTCCGAGTTGAGTGTTGAGTACCGAACCAGTTCCGGGCAGGCTGAGGCTGTGAGTCAGGTGTGAGGGGCAGGTACAGGTTGGGGCTATGCTGCCCCCCCAGCCCTGTCTGGGAAGTCCCCAGGGTGGTGAGACACTCACTGGTTTCTGGAGAGGTCCGGTCCTGAGCTAGAATGGGGGAAGCCACAGGCTTGGTGGGGGGCTTTGGAGCGTTGGTCAGAGGTGCTGGAACAGAGGGCTGTGGAGTAGGGCGCAGGAGCACGGGCTTGGCAGGGAGGCCTATGCCAACAGACTTTGGCTGGGCCTCTGGTGCTACAGGTTTCTGTGGAGAGCAGGGCAGGAGGTGGGCCACCTGGGACACACCAGCCTGCTCTTAGGGACCCCATTTCTGCCCAAGGTAGGCTGTGGACTCCTGGGCTCAGAGAGACACAAGGATGCCCTGGAGCAGCACAGAAACTCTGTGCTCTTCTTCATGGTTTCCATCTCTAGGTAGACCCTCACCCTGGATGGGCCAGGCTCACCTCTAGGGTTAAGGGTCTCAGGTCAGGACTCAGGGGTTGCTGCTGGAGTGCCATGGCCTGCAGGGTCATCTCCCGGGCCTGGGGAAAGGTGGTGGGGGTGACCAGGTGGATCCATCACTACTGTCCCAACTCGCCCCCCCATCACTCACCAATAGCACAGCCTGTTTGTGGATGAAGGCTTGCTGCAGAGCCAGCGTGGAGGCATCCAGACCTGGGACTGGTATAGCCAGGTAGAGGGAATAGATGGGCACAGAAGGGACAGGAAGCTAGAACTCCCATGTGCCCTGTCATCCTCTCACTCCCCATGCCTCAGTTCCAGCACATGAAGGTGCTGGAGGACCAGCAAGTGGCCCAGGCACTAAACCCCAGGGAGGCACTAACTTGGCTTTGGCTTTGGCTCTGGGGGTCTCCGGAGGGTGTCTTTGGTACTGTTGCTGCTGCCTCTACCAGGCTGACCTCCACCTTTCATGCGGTAGGCGATGGCTGTTGGCTTCTCTAGGTCCTGGGGGCAGCAATGACTGCCTCATTGCTGTGCTCTTGAGGCTCCATGGCAACAGGCACCTGATACTGGTCACTTCCTCCACCCCCTGCCAAGTGTCTGCTATATGCCCAGCCTTTGCCCAGCCTGTCCTCCCCACAGACCCTAGCCCAACCCCCTGCCACAGAAGAATAAACTGAGGCTCAAAAACAGGCTGAGCCCTGCACAGGGCTGTATTCATGCCAGGGGCCACAGACGTTTCCCATGGCAAGAGAGGAGCCTCTTGATATCTGTGGCCAGGGGATCCAGGGGCCAAGGCCACACATTTCCATGGGCGGGGCTGACTTCCACCAGAGGTAGTAACAGGGGTCCTAACATCTACTTGTGAGTCCTTCTGGGGCAGCCAGAACCATGTCCAGATGCCAGGAGACCCCATGGTTTTCCCATCCCCAGCAGGGACCCGCACAGGACACACCACTCATGGCTCTGGCTATGAGAAGCTTTCAGGTCACTCTGGGACTCAAGGTGTTGCTTGGGATGTAATTTGGGGTATACACACCAAACCTTTCATTTGCAAATGTTCTACCCCATGCCTACCGCATCCCCGCAGGACAGTACTGGGTCGAAGAGGCTGTCCAGGTAGCAGTCCAGCCTCCTGGGGGGCACAGTGGGCTCTCCAAGGCTATCTGTGTCTGGTGAGGGGCACATATAAAGGTCAAGTTCATTTCTCCTGATAATCTTCACCTCCACAGCCCCCTAGGCTCCATTCCCACCAGAGACAGAAGCCATTGCTGGTTGCCCTTGGTGGGTCGCTGTCCCTCTCTGGGCCTCAGTCTCCCCATTTGTATCGGCCTCATTGTGGCTGCAGTACCCATCAGAGTCAGGCATTTTGTGTATGTGGCCCTGAGGCTGGGGCCTAGTGGGTGTGTCCTCATCTGAGTCCCAGCTGCTCCCGAACACCCTATGAGGGAAGGGGAGCACAGAGCAGCTGACCATCAGAAACCCACAACCTTCCCAGACCCCCCAGAATTGGGTATCTTTCTCCCTTTAAGAAGTAGTATTGCCAGGTACAGTGGTGCTCACTGGCTACTTAGGAAGCTAAGGCAGGAGGATTTCTTGAGCCCAGGAATTTGAGGCCAGCCTGGGCAGCATAGTGAGACTCTGACTCAAAAACCAAACAAAGCCAGGTGCAGTGACTCAAGCCAATAATCTTAGTCACTTAGGAGGCACAGATTGGGAGGACTGCAATTCAAGGCCATCGCAAGCATAAGGTTCCTGAAACCCCATCTCAGCCAAGGGGCACCTGTCATTTCCAGCTACTCAGGGAAGCACAAACAGGCGGATCTCCATCTAGTCTGGCCTGAGCATACAGTGAGACCCTGTTTCAAAAATAACCAAAGCAAAAAGGGCTGGTGGAGTGACTCAAGTGGTAGAGTGCCTGCCTAGCAAGTGCAAGGCCCTGAGTTCAAACACCAGTACCACCAAAAAACCAAAACCTCAGAACTCAGCTGTGTGTGTGAGAGGAGGCCTAATTAAGCAACCTACACTCTGGGGCCTCCCCTGCTGGCCATGGGCCCTTCTGCACCCACAATGAAGTAGGACTTCTGTCGTGGGAAGTCCCTGAGAAGCTCCAGATCTGACACCAGGTCCAACACGTAGTCGTGACCAGCCAGCTCTGCCCACTGAACTCCATTCTTCATGGCTACTGTCCAGCCCCGCCAGCCATCACCCAGTCCCCTGGTAACAGCATGAAGAGGAATGGAAATGAGGGAGAAAGCCATGAAGTACTGCCTGGGAGACCCGGGGACAGGAGTCAGACTTGAGCATGACCAGAGTGGCCCTCTGGGATGCCCTAGATGGCCTCCTGCCCCTCCCTCTTTCCCTCCTCACCAGGTCACAAGGGGTACTGGATAGGGTGTTCTAGGAGCTGACCTATGCCTCAGAATGTCTCCAGCCACTTCTTCTCCCGTACTCCAGGAGTGCACTGGGCAGGAGAACTGGTCGCCTGGAGCACAGCAGGTGTTCAGCTTAGTCTGGAACATCTGTAGGCTGGTCTTGCTGACTTCCCAGCCTGCTCCCCCAACCTGGACTTTCTATTTGTACCCTAACTACCTGACTTCCCATCCCCAATGCAAGTCCAGCCCCCACACACTGACTTTCCTGCAGAGTCACATCTGTGCAGGCCCTTCCCCAGCTCCAGGACCTCCTGTGGCTCCCGCTGACCCCAGTTTCCACCCCCGACTCCACAAGCAAGGGAGGGAGGGCAACACTAGGGTGGGGCAAGGCAGCATACCATTGAAGCAGCTCACATCAAGTGCCATGCTGGCCTTCTTGTGGGTGGCTATCCACTCTAGCTGGGTAGGGGGGAAGGTGCGGGCGGCCCCTGAGCCCTGCTGCTGGGCCCGGCCCATGGCCTGCATGAGGCGATGCTGACACACAGCCTGGAAGCCATTCTGCCCATAATCAGACACAAACCTGATGGGTGGGAGTTGGAGCCTGAGGGAGGCCCAGGCTGGCCCATAGCTTTCGGGTAAGGCTAAAACATCTCAGACTAGTTCAGAAAGGGCTAGCGCTTGGGACTACTGTAAAGGGATTCTAGGCTATCCTAGAGTTCTGAGACTAGCCCAAAAGGGATCTTAGGCCAACACAGATGTCCAAGTATAGCCCAAAGAAGTTCCAACTTATTGGAGCAAAATGTCATTGTCAGGTGGTGTCTGTAGCTGGGTGCGGACAAGAATCTGGACTCTGGGGGACTTTGCCCTCATTCTTTCTCCAGGCAGTCCTGGTGACTTGCTTGCTCTAGTCTCACCTCCTAGCTCTCATCTATAGGAGAGGTGGCTGTGAGGTTCAACTTGGTCCAGGACCAATGAACCTGTCCCTACTGGGCAGGACCTCCTGTGGCGAGGGAACCCAGAGTCACATCCACAGAAAAGCCCCAGACAGGAGACAGTGACCCCGCCCTGCTTCCACAGCTCCCATAGCCACCAGACTGACCAAGGGTGGTCACATTCTGCACATGGGCCCTAGCGAGGCTCTATTCACTCTCTGCAGCTCACAGCCACCCTGCTTGTAGATCCTTCTACCATCACTGAGTTATACGGGAGAAACAGGTTCAGAGAGGAGCAATGCTTAGCCCCAGGCCACACAGCAGGGAAGTATCAGAGCCAGAACTTATGTGGTCCTTGTAGCTCTCACTCTTGCCTAGGAGCATCATCACTACATGGTTACACCCACTGACCAGGGATGTCACCTGTGTTCATACATTTTGTCCTCAGAACAGCCTATAAAGTGGGTACTATCATTATCCCCACCTTATTGAGAGGAAACTGAGGCCCAGAGAAGTGAAGTAACTTGCCTAAGATCACACAGCTAAGCTGAAATTTGAACCCAGACTAAGTCCAGTGTCCATGCTCCCAACCCCCATTATACCTCATGATCTGAGCTTAGTGATCTTTTCCAAGTTCCCTGTTCCCTTGCCTTGCCCTGCTCTGGTTCTGCCAGTCCTTCATACAGTCTGTCCTGATTTTTCCCCTCCCCTGCCTTTCTTCCTGCTCTGGGCCCAGTGGAGAGCGAGTGCAGTCCTTGGCCACATCTGGGCATCTGGACCTGAGCCTTCCACCCGGAGAAGCCCTCCTGCCTTGACCTTTGCCTTGTACCCCTGACCCCGCAATGGTTCCACTCACTTGAGCAGGAACTTGTCGAGACGCGAGGAGGGTGTGAAGCTGCTGAGACAGGCAGCCAGCAGCAGCCAGCCCCGCTCGGCATTATGGGAGTTGTGATTGCGCCACACCTGGTTGGCCAGCTGAGCCAGGATCTCATCCCGCAGCTCGGGGGTCACCAGCCCCTTCTGTATGATGTAATTCCCGAGTATGGTCTCCTGGGCACCGTGCAGGTGGGGGTCGCCCATGAAACGCAGAATCTGGGCCACAAACAGACTCTTGGGCCTTTCAGGAATTCCTACCAGATCCCCATCCTTCAACATGCACCCATCATGTTCCTCCCATAGGTCCCCCTGCTCATATGATAATATAACTGTCATATTCTGTGCCAAATGACCAGACAGGTCACCCAAAAAGAAAAGTTAAGACTCAAAGTACATGCTGACTTCCTCTCCTGCCCATTGCAGCCTAGGCCATCCTTGTACCCCTGACCTCCGGCTGGCCCTCCACCTCCTGCTTCATCTAGGTAGGCCCAGATCTGACTTCATCCTTCCCAAGGAAGCACTTTCCAGATCCCTCTGCCCCATCTTTAGGGTTTGTGATCAATGGCTTGCTGGCCACTTTCCCTTGCCCTCCTGCCTCTCTGTCCTGACTACACTGATTTCCTCTCTGCCTGCTCCACTCTCCCTCTGGGCAAACTCTCCTCCACAGTGCACCCTCTTCCAGGCAGCCTTCTCTGAGCCTGCCTGTCTCAGGGTCCCTGCCTGAACCCTCATCCTCTATGCTTCCCTCTACATGTGCTTGTGCTCCTCGGTCAGGCTCAGGGACCACGTGTCTCTCTGACTGGGGGACCTCAGGAGAGTCCAGAGAGTCTCCCAGGCAGCCTTTTTTGCCAGGAAGATGACAGGGAGAAGAAAGGCCCCAGAAGGGAGGCCAGATCAGATCCCTCAACTGACATAAAAGTCTCTCCTCCCAGGAAGAAGCCTAGGGTTTGTAAGCCAGGTTTATAGAAGCCCAGAAGGACAGCGCTGGGGACCTCATAGGATGGCCTCATAGGCAGGGCTATGACTTTGAAGGTGGGCTGGAGAAGTTGCCATTACCAGCTTGAAGATGCTAACAGCTTCTGCATGGTGCTCAGCTGGCAGCCGTGTGAGGGGTGTCCTCAAGGGCACAGTCAGCATCCCAAAGGCAGGCTCCTGGGAACACAGGGCAGACTTGTGAACAGGTGGCTCTGGGACTGACAGGCATACCTGGTCCACTGCTGTGAGGTGGGCTCCTCTCTCCAGTACGTGGATGGGGAAACTGAGGTTGGTGAGGCAGACAGTGGTCCTTGGTAAGTCTGTGGAAAGGCAGGAAGAGTCCCACCAGGCCCTTCCTGGAAGGAAGGATATCAGAGCAGGGTGGATTGCATGGCTCTCCCAGTTACCCAATTTTCTTTTTTGTTTGTTTGTTTTTGTTTTGTTTTCAGTGGGACTGGTGTTTGAACTCAGGGTTTCACGCTTGCAAACCAGGTGCTCTACCACTTTAGCCCCATTTTTCAATATATTTCCAGACTGGCTGATAAACAGCCTCCCCTAAGCCCTAAAGGCTCAGGTCCCCCAGACTCCCCATAATCTAGCCACTGAGGAGCTATTCCTCATCACAGGAGCCTGCCTGGGGGAGGATTTGTCAGTTCTGATTGGCCAGGGTCCCTCCTGACTACGCCAGTCTTTACCTTGAAGTGACACCGGATGAACTTGGCCATAGGGTAGTTGTTGATATCTAGGGGCAGAGTGACACGGGGCTCAGCCTGGAGCCGGGGAGTCCGCACAGGGGCCACTTGGGGCACTCTGGTTAGCTTGAGGCCTGTGGAGAGTGGAGGCACATGGTGGCTGTGCCTTGTTCCTTGCCCTCCCCCTCCCCTGCTTCCCAGAGCTGATGTACCTGCTATTGCTTGCAAGAGTCCGGCCAGCTCGGCTGGCACCTCCAGATGTCCCACAGCCACCACCTCCCGCTTGCTCAGCTCCTGGAGGGACAGTAAGGAGTGAGGGCACAGCCACCATACCCCTACCTGCCGGCCTCCCTCCCTGTCCCGTGTGTTGCTACCCAGACCCCACACCCACCTCCTGCTCCCGTAGCCTTGCCTCCTCCACCCGGCGCCTCCGCTCTGCCCTCAGCTGCAGGAGAGCAGATGGTCAGGGCGGGCAGAGGTGACGCAGGCCCAGGCCCAGGGCAGGCTGAGCAGCTTGTGTGGGTGGGCGTGAGAAGCAGGGGGCAGCACCCTGCTGTCTGGAGCTACCAACCCACTTAATAGAGAGTGCAGGGAGGCAGAGAGATGGCCAGAGGGGCCAGAGGGGTCAGGAAGGAGAGGCAGTGGCAAAGGCTGAAGGGAGAAAGACTTTGGGGAAGAGACCCACGAGGAGGATTTCCGGGAAGCAGGTGAGCATGTGGGAGGTGAGCAGAGGGGACAGAGCCCTCCTCTGTCGCTGCACAAAACCTTCATATTGCTGAAGCTTTTATGCTACGTGATTCTTCCAAGCTTTGGGATCGATGCATCTTTGGTGGTTGACTTATGGGCCAGTGGGCCAAGCCCGGCACCAAGGTAAGAGCCAGGCCACATCAGGGATGTTCAGGTTGCTACACTCTAGTTGTGTCCTATTGCCAAAGCCCCCAGGGGAATCCCAGCACCATGCCAGACCCTCACATGCAACCTCTCCTTTAACCTTCTCCATATCCCAGGAGCAGATGGGGAAACTGAGGCTGCAAAGGGGCCAAGCTCACATAATTCAGGAGTGGCAGAGCAGATACTTAAGCCTGGGACTGTCTGAGGCCCACAGCCTCCTCTTGAGTGCTAAGAGCTTTCCCCTCCCTTCAGTCCCCTGACCCCAGGTGGCAGGACCTGTACCTTGAGGTGGCGGCGACGATTCACATATGTGTGCACCAGGGAGCGGAACTTCACCAGACTCTTCCTCATCTGCTGGTAACGTTGCCTGGGGGGGGACAGGGATTGGAGTCACAAGTGACAGGGTGACCAAGGGCCAGGAGTGCCTCTGGGACTTCACTCTGGGACTCTGGCATAAAGGGAAACTGGACCTCAGGGAGGGACAGTGACTTGGCCAAGGCCACACAGCAGATCAAGTGGCAGGAGCTGGATTAACCTTGTATGGAACCTGTATTTCCCATCAGGTCCCAGTCCCAGGGACCCTGAGACACAGGAGGAGCTCCTCTCATCTAGATTCCCACCTGCGAATCCAGAGGGCTTGGGGGGGGGAAGGCCAGAGACACTCCTTACTGCAAGACTGCTTTGGCTTGCCCGCCACCAGATGCCTGAAGGAACAGGAGCCTGGGAGCCCCGCCTCCCTCCAGGGAGCCTCACCTGGCCAGGTAGCCACGGGCTCGGCTTTGTAGCAGGATGATCGTGCGGCGCAGGGAGTGAAATCGGCGCTGGATGAAGAAGCCTCGGAGGCAGCGCTGCAGGGTGAGGGCAGCTCGGTTCAGCACGTGTTCCCGCATGCTCTCCAGCAGTTGGTGCAGATGTTCTTTAAGAAACAGCTGAGGACAGGGAACAGGCTTGAGATAGTTACGAGCCCTCTTTCTCCAGGAGCACACAGAGACAGAACACACAGGGCTGGGCTGGAAGGAGCTGTTGACTTTGGAGAAGTGAAAGCACAGGTGACAATGTATCAGGCAGCAGGAGCTGGATGAGCAAAGGTCTGGTGCTGGGATTAGCATTCCACATGCCAAGCTCATCTGGATCGTTTCCCGGACAGGAATTGGGACATTTCTGAACTTGGGGTCTTCAAGGGCTGGCTTTGGGGTAGGACTTGCCTTGCTGACCCCAACACGGTACATGTTTGGCATGACTGTGCACAGGTGGCTTAGCACTGACACACACATGTCCCCAGTAGCTGGGAGGTCGTGTTTGAGGGCCACCAGGCAGCGGAACCTGTGGGGAACCAAACTCAGCCTGAAGTCATGAGATCATCAGGTGCAGGATGACCACTGAGGTCCCATCCCCAACCCCTGTGTCCAGAAGACCCAGTCCCAGTGGTGGCTCCACTCATAGTATCTAATCAGCATGGCAGACACTGTCCTCAAGACTCTGGGTGTCAGAACACTGTGTAACAGGTGATTTTAGTAGAATAAGACACTTTACTGCCACCTGCTGGAAGCTTGTCAGAATTACTGTTAAAATCATCCCTCTTAGACTCAACACAGATATAATAAAACTACAAAAAGGCAAAACAAATATATTTACCATATAACAGCATAAGTTGTTATAGTATACAACTGGAGCAATTGTGTGTGGCAAATCTTATGCTGCCTGGGTTGTGTGTTCCTAGGGCCACAGGGGCTTGGGTAAGGGTCTGTGGAGCTAGGAACCACCCTGATGTAGGTACCTGTCGATGAACACCTGGAAGGGCAGTCGCACTGGAAAGCCCTCCTTGCGGATCCGCACAGTCTCCAGTACTCCTGAATAGCGTAACTGTGCCATCACCACATCTGGCTCAAAGAGACCTGGTTCCTGGAGGGATGCCCAGAGAGGGTGTTGCACATTGGGCCACCAGTGGTGAAAATAGTCCCAACACTGGGCTGGGCAGGTGGAAGTCCCTTGCCCAAGATCACACAGCACAGGTATAAGGATTTGGCTCTTACCTTCTTGTGGTTGGGCTTCAGGCAACGCACAAACAAGGGGTTACACCTGAGCAAAAATAGGAGGGAGGATGGCAGTGTGAGACCTCAGAGAAAGTGCTCGCCCACTGAAGGTCATGGGGTAGGCTAAAGGTGAGGCTGGGTGCTCTGTCACCTTGTCTCTACCCACCTCTCCATCTTTTCCACCAGATCCAGGAGCGACTGCTGGAACTTGGCAGCCACTGTGTGTGCCTTGTAGAGTCGGGTAACAGAGCTGCTCTTGCCCAGCCGCTGAGGGGCAGTTTGTGCGGCAAGGCTGGAGAAGAGGTGTGACACAACCTGGGCCAGGGGCAGAGGTCAAAGCATTGGAACAGGCGCCAGTCAGGGAAAACAGAGAGGTAGGGCCCAGAGAGAAAAACCAGGGCAGAGAGATGACAAGAGTTAAGTTGGGGAACCGAAAGTGTCTGAAAAACAGCCTCCCTCTCTGCCATCCTCCCTTACATGCTTCTGAAAACAGGGGCTCAGCACCTCCCAGGGGACCACCCGGTAATTAGGCTGCTCTTTCACAGTTCTTCTGGGGAGCACACAGTCACTTGCTGTGCTCCTGCCCTGCTATTGCCACTGTCAGGATCTCTGGGTGGCTACCCAGGAGGAGGGGTGCATTTGACTTGAGGAAATGAGGACCCACAAGGGAGGTGATCACCCCGGCCTATGTTACAGCGTCCGTCCTCTGCTGACAGTAGCGGGGCTGGGACAAGGCACCTCCCTAAGCCTTTCAAGGAACCCAACTCTGGGTGACCGCAGGGCGACATGACTGGACAAACAACTTGGGGATCAGTGGGCGGGTTCTGCGGGAACAGTGGCTCACCGCCAGTGGAAGCAGCTGGTGACGTAGGGAGCGGGGCCAGACTGGCAAATTGTAAAGGGTAAGGCTAAAGCTGAGTGGGTTCGGGGTTAGCCTGGGAGCGAGGCCTGGGCCTGGCCGCGGCTGGGGTGGGCCAGACAGCCGCACCAGGCCAGGGTTCCTCCCCATTTCCTGGACTGGAGAAGGAGTCAGGTTGGGGTGCAGCCGAGCCAGGAGGGAACGTGACTAGCTTAAGCTGAGATGAAGGTTTGTCTGACAGAGGGCGGGGCCACCCAGGGACTGGGCCATAAAGAGGGCGACAAGAGGTCGGGCGGAGTCAGGCTTGCTCACCCGCGTCCGGCTCCGCACAAACAGGTCCAGCACATCTTGGCGCACCTGGTCATGGTTCTTGTCCAGGAACTTGTGCACCTGAAAAAGGGGGCCAGCAGGGCAGCAGAGGATGGTCCTGCTCACCCCCATCCCTACCCTGGGATAGCCCAGTCAGAGGTTTGTTCCCAACCCCTAGGCCTTTGTTCTTCCCTCTGAGTCAGCACCTTGTGTTCCCTGGTGATCCTGGCCCTGTCCTGCCAGGCCTCTGTCTTCAAAAGGGACGGGACCCTCTCCTGTTCTATGGCCCCCTCCCACCCAGCTCCACCACCCTCATTCCTGGGGCAAGGTGCAATCTGGACCTCAGCCTCAATCTCATTGCCCTGTGTCAATTCTGCAGATGAGAAAAATAAGGCCCAGTTGGAGACAGCGGCTTGGAATCCTAGCCTGTGGTATCTCTGGGGCAGGAATGTGTCTCAGATAATAGTGAGAGGGTGACCACGGTGAAGTCACTACTGATAGTCAAATCTACCTTAAGCTTCTCACACCTACTTCAGATGAGTACTATTAACCTCATTTTCCAGATGACGAAACTGAGGCCAAGAGAGGTTAAGCAATTTGCCCAAGGTCACACTGTGAGAAGCTGCAGGCCAGAACTGAACCTGGTATCCAGGTTGCACTTCTGTCTCCAGCCTGCAGGGAAACTACAGCAGCCATGCTTCTATCTCCAGTCTCACCTGGTAGGTGACCTTGCCTGCATAGTGCTTGATGGTAAACTCGGGCAGTGGCATCTTCGGCTTGGAGTAGAGTGGATTGGCGCCATGGTGGTAGTGGCACTTCTGCAGGAATGTGTGGTCTGTGGCCTGGGAGTAGCAGGAACAGTGAATGGGCAGGGGCCTGGGCACCTGTCCCTGGCCAGGTGGCAAATTCTCCAGCCCTAACTGTTCCCCAGAGGGTGCTGGAGAGGAACAATCCACAGCTTTCAATGCCTGCCCATGGCCCTGGGTCCTGGCAGGTATCTCAGCCAGAACTAGGGCCTCAGTGGACCCTGTAGACTGGTGAGGCCGAATCAGCTCCCAGCTACCCGTGCCCTCCCACTATCCTCCAACCCTGTGTTTCACAATCAGGATTTGAGGCCCAAGCCCAGGTCACCTCTTCCAGAAATCCCTTCGAGACTTCCCAGGCTGATGCAACCCCTCCTCTGGACATCTACAGCCCCCATCCAGCCTCAATGAGAATGGTAGGATGGGTGTCCAACACCCCACTGCCTGCCCCAGGCCACAGCACAAAGGAACAAAGGACTCAGACCAGATGAGGACTGGGGCTGGTGGTGTGCTGCTCACCTGCGGAAAGCAGCACTGGTCATCCAGGATGCGCAGGATGCCGTAGGGCTTTAGTGAAATGAGGTTAATGCAGGGCTGGTTGTCAGCAAAGGAGATCTCCCGCCAGTCAATCTGCTCACGGATGTACTCTTCCTGCAGACCATGGTGCTCATCCTCTTTGTCTGCCCACCTCCCCCACCTCCCAGGCTGAATCATTTGAAGGAAGCTGACCAGGGCACCTTTGCTTGTGATGCATCCTAGAATAGGGAGCTCATCCCCTAACAGGGCAACAAGAAACCCCAGGGCCCTGCTGCTCCCTCTGCCAGAGACCGCCCAGCAAAGGATAAGAATGGCCTCCCAAGAGGACTCTCTCTGGGCTGAGCACCACAGCACCTTCCCCTCTACAACACAGGCCTGCACACGTGCTGGTACCTGCTTAGAATGCCTTTCCCTTCACATGTCTCCTGACACCCTTGGAATTGCCCTTAAAGAACCCCAGATTTTGTCTGTCTTCAAGGAGCCCCCTTGGCCAGTGAAGATGGAAATGAGAGTGTGGACTGGCTGCATACCTGCTCCTCCTGGAAGATGATCTTGTTGAAAAGGTACTGAAGATTCTCATTGGCGTAGTTAATACACAGTTGCTCAAAGCTGTTGAAACTCAGGTCCTGCAGCAGGGGCAGGAGGACTGTTTATGGGGAAGCTGGGCTTGGTCCCTCCTCAGCTTGCAGCCCATCTCTACCCACCTTGGGGTCTTCCTTCCTCCCCGAGTCCAGGCCCCAGGCCCCCCCTGTCTTTCATGGCTGCAGCTTCAAAAATGCAGGATCCTGACCACAGGCTCCATGGCTCCCACTGCACATGGGCTAGTGCCTGGAAGGTCAGGTCCTGATGTCACAGGTGAAGAGGATAAAGTTCCAGCTGCAGAGCCTTCTTCCTGGATTCAAGTCCTGGCTCTGCCACTTTCTAGTTGTGTGACCAACCTGTGCCTCAGTTTCCTTATATGTAAAACAGGGGTACTCAAAGGGTTTGTTGGAAGGCTGAAGTGAGTTGATAAGCAAGAGTACCTGGCACATAATAGGTGCCATGTGAGTGCACACTTTCATTTTTATTGTGAAGATCTTGCCCTGCCTCTTGCCATTTTTCCCACTGAACAGCACAGCAGTCAGCCCCACAAAGGACATCAGCTCTCTAGACACCATGGCCTGCCTGCCCCACCTCCTGGCCTTTGCATATACTGTTCCCTCCACCTAGAATGCCCCCCCCCACAGGAAGCCCTCTGGAACCCCCTGCCCAGCTGAGGAAAGGAGCCCCTCTCGGGTCCCCCAGCACTGGTTGCCTTTCTCACGCCTCTGATCACACGGGCCTATCAGAGTGTGTCCCTCACCCAGTCCCACTGGGAAGCTGCCCAAGGGCAAGGTCCTGATCTGGTCCTTTCCAGGGTCCCTGATGCTGCCTTAGGGGGTGCTTGAGGCTGAGTGAATGAAACGAAGGAGACTGGGCAGAGAATGGTAAAGGATAAGGTCCTTAATGGAGAGGTGGCAGGCAGGGAGCTGTGATAGGAAGGACAGGCAAAGGAAGGCAAGAGTCCCTGTGTCCCCTGCCTCTCACCCACACACACAGCCCCACCTCGAAGCCATAGATGTCCAGGATGGCAATGGACAGTGTGTCCTGCTGTGGGGACACCAGTGCGTTGACCCTGGCAATAAGCCAGCCAAACAGCAGTGCGTACAAGACCTTGGCGATAGCATCCCTGGGGCAGAAGCAGTGCTGAGTTGGATGGGGCACAGAGGCAGAGATGTTGGGGGTCTGAGGCCCAGACACGGAGGGGCGTGGCCTCACCTGGCATCCACAGCACTCTCCACTGTCAGGGGTGTGAATATCTTCTCCCGCATGGTCTCCTGGGAGGAACAGGGCCTTTGAGTGACAGCAAGAAGCCACTAGAGGACCAGGACTTAGGGGCATGGAAAAGGGAGACTGGAGAGGTAGTGTGACTGGTCTCAGGCACACAACTGACCAGACTGGACAGGATCCCCCACTTTACTGGTGGAGGTGGATGCTGCTGGTCTAATGGGGGAGACAGGCAAGAGCAGACACAACTCCACAATGGGATCAGCCCTGAGAGAGGGAAGGGCCAAGGGTCGTGAAAGCCCAGAGGAGGCACTGACCCAGCCAGTGGTCAGGGAAAGCTTCCTGGACAGAGAGCACCTGCACTGAGTCTGGCAGGATGAACAGGTGTGAAAAGAGGAAGAGCATTCTGGGCACATGGAACAGCCTATGCAGAGGCCTGGCGATGGGGAGCTTAGTGGCCTTTGGGGTTTAAGGTTAGCCCTCTCCAGGCCTGACCCACATGACAGACAGGGACAGAGAAAGGAGGGGAGAGGGAGAGGCAGCCTCTGGCAGGAAGATTTGTCAGGACTGGTGCCTGCTGACTCACTGTCACTTTGAAGGTGATGGCCCTTTGCAGGCCCTCAGGGGAGACCTGTAACAGCTCTGCAACAGCCTGGATCTCCCGAGCGCTCACCACAGAGGCTACTTCCTGTGCATCCATCTATGCAAAACACGAGGGCAGAGAGCTGTGAACTAGACAAGCTGAGTTAAAGTTCGAGTGGAAAACAGAAACAAGTAGAATTGCCAAGAAAAATCTGGAAAAGAAAAGAGCGAAGGAGGCCCTAAGAAGTAGTAAAAGCATCACAGAAATTAAAAAACATCCTGAAGGGCTGTCAGGGCTGCTCAGGGGCAGAGCACTTCTTAGCATGTGCCAGGCCCTGGGTTAAATCCCCAGCACCAAAATGAATAAATAAATAAAACAAAGCATCATGTCATACACACAGGATGTATAAATTGACTGTCTAATGACACTCATTACAAAGTCTGGAATTAGGCAAAAACGTATCTGGTAATTCAGTGGATTAGAAAAGTTGAGTAACCAATTGAAAAAAACAAACAAACTGGATTCCTGCCTCACACCTTACAAGGATAAATTCTTTTTCTTTTCTTTTCTTTCTTTTTTTTTTTTTTAGTAGTACTGGTCTTTTGAACTCAGGGCTTCATGTTTGCTAAGCAAGTGCTGTACCACAGCCCTTTTTGCTTTAGTTATTTTCCAGATAGGGACAGCCTTGAATGTGATCCTCCTACCTCTGTCTCCTGTGTTCCTGGGATTACAGATGTATACCACCATGCCCAGTCTATTTTTTAAGATAGGGTCTTGCTAACTTTTTGCCTGGGCTGGCCTCAAATCTCAGTCCTTTTATCTCCACTTCCAAGTAGCTGAGATTAGAGATATGAGCCACTGAGCTGACAGTGTGTGTGTGTGTGTGTGTGTGTCCTGAAACCTTATACATGTTAGGCAAGCACTCTACTGCTAAGCTACATCCCCAGACCTTGGACTTTTTAGGCAGGGTCTTGCTGTGCAGCTCAGGCTGGCCTCAAACTTGTGATCCTCCTTTCCCTGGCTCTTGAGTGCTGGGATTATAAACATTTACCAAAAATCCGAAGGGGGGTTGTTTCTTTGTCTGAGACAGGGTCTTTCTATGTAGTTCAGGCTGGCTTTGAACTCAAGATCCTCCTGGCTCAGCCTTCTGAGTACTGGGATTACAAGTGTGTGCTACCACATATAGCTAGGATAAATTCTTTTCTTTCTTTTTGGGTGGGACTAGGGTTTGAACTCAGAACTTCATTCCTGCAAAGCAGGCACTCAACCACTTGAGCCACACCTCCAGTCCATTTTGCTCTGGTTTTTTTGGAGATGGGATCTTGTGAACTATTTGCCACAGCTTGCCTTGAACCACAGTCCTCCCGATCTCAGCCTACCAAGTAACTAGGATTACAGACCTGAGCCACCAGTTTACCCTAGCCCAGCTAGGATACATTCTGGATGAATCAAATATTTAAATATTTAAGACTCCACAAAGCTGAGCGCCAGTGGCTCACGCCTGTAATCCTAGCTACTAGGGAGGCAGAGATCAGAAGGATTGCAGTTCGAAGCCATCATGGGCAAATAGTTTGTGAGACCCTATCTCAAAAAGCCTTCACAAAAAAGGGCTGAGAGAATGACTCAAGGTGTAAGCCATGAGTTAAAAGGCCAGTACTGAAAAAAAAAAAAAAGACTTCACAAAACCATAGAAGCTCTTCAAAAAAAAAAAAAAACTATTGGAGAGAGCTGTTATAATTTTAGAGATACATTTCTGTAAAAGTGAATGAAAATCCCAAGTTTATACAAGAAAAGATTGAGAAATGAATTGCTTAAAAATAATTTAAAAGTAATCTGCATAGCAACCCCCCACCAGAACAACAAACAACTTGTACAGAATCAAAGCAAAAATTAACATATATTTGCAATCATATCAGAAACAAAGGTCTGACTTCCTTAACATTATATAAAGAGCTCTTATATATCAATAAGAAAATGACCAACTCCAAAGGTGGGGGACAAAAAGAACACACGTGTGCACTGTGGAACCTAGAAGGGAAACAGATAGCTCTCAAGCCTCTGAAAAGGTGGCTGTGTCCCAGGTGCTCACTCCAGGCAGGCCAGGCACCCCTTACCTCATACTTCTCGAAGTAGACATTGCCCAGGTGCAAGATGGAGGCCAGGATGCGAAAGATGCTATCCTGGTCTTCACTGCTGAAGCCCAGCACCTCCATGGCGGCCAGGAGACGGCGGAAGTCGTCTGTGTCACTCTTGCCTGTGATCTCACAGTTCCCCCCCTGGGCAAGAGTAGGGATTGGGGTCAGGGAATGTCCTGGAGGGCTCAGAGTCCTCCAGGTGTTGTTTTACCCTGATGGATGATGTGGCTAGAGCTGGCCCCTCAAGCTCTGGTTCAATTCTCTGGGGCCAGGTGGCTCTGAGGGACTCAGGATGGACTTCACAGTCAAGGATGATAAGTAGTAGGGACTGTTCACCTTATAGCCTTTGCTGCAGCCCAGTGGTAATATAATAAAAACAGTAGCCGGTGTTCATGGAGTATGTGCTGTAGGCCAGAGATGCATTTTCTCACCTGTGCCTCAATGCATCGCTGCACAGTGGGGTTTATGTTGTCTCCCTTTCCCAGATGAGGAAACTGAGGCACAGAAAGGGGACATGTAGTGAGTGGCTCCAGGCTGGCTAGTTCTGTTCTAAGCTCTTGAGAAATGAAGGGTGAGGACCTGAAGATTCCTGTCCTCCTCACTGCCAAGAGGTGCCTTGATCCAAACTCACCCTCCCCAAACCTGTTTCCTTCTCAGGTCACTACAACGCCTCAGGTGGGCTCCCTTGGCCCACATAATATGATGGAGGAGAAGAACAAGGCAAAGGCCCCTCAGATACCCTTAGATGCTCACCTGGTTCAGGTAATAGTAGGTCTCAGCCTCCTGTAAGCTGAAGGCTTGCCGGAGCTGGGCAGGCAGCCCAGCCAGCAGCTCATAGAAAATGTGGTAATTCCTCTCGTTTTTGGCCTGTAGAGTGGGCAAGTGGGTGCAGAGAAGAGAGCCACCCACCTTGATGACCCCATTATACAGACAGGCTCACAAACATGCATGTGTGCACACATGTACACACACCGATGAGACCTAGCACCTCTGGGATGAGCAAGACCAAAGCCTTGGTAGGACCTTATTTTGTCTGGAGAAGTAGAGAGAAAGACAGACCATCTTCTCCCGTATGCATTGACCACACACCTACATGCACACATGTCCACAGCCCAGGCGTGCACAGGGAACTTTCTGATGGGTCCCTCAGCCTTCCTGACTGAGTGCTTGTGCTTCCTCTGTCCCAGGCCCTGCCCTAGGCCCTTAGGACACAGCAAGAAACAAGGCAATGGAAGTCCCTGACTTCACAGAGCCCTCCTGCTGTCTGGGGAGATGTACATTCACAAACCATTGGTTAAAATGTAAAATATATATCACATGGAGACAAGCACTTGGAAAGCATGAAGCACTGAAGGGTGGGAGTTGTAGGGTGAAAGGGATTGCATTTTCAGTGAGGTAGCTCTTCTCTGGGCAGGGGACATTGCAGGGAAGACTTGGAAGAGGTGAGGGGGTTAAGCTCTGGAAGCATTGTGGGAACAAATGCTCCTGGGAGAGGGAACAGTGAGTGCAAAGGCACTGAGGTGGAAAAGCTTAGTGGTGGAGCCAAAGTGGCTATAAGGGTGGGGGAGAAGAAGCCGTGGGGTCACAGGTTCACTTGTACACATGGATGTAGGCACACATGTAGTTTTTCATTAATTTGATATCCGCCCCCCAGCCTCGTTTGGTTCTCCCTACCCCAACCTCTGAGTGTCTGTGCCCCCCTTCACCGCCCCCAGGCCTGGGCCCCAGCCCACCTGAAACACGATCCTAGACTTCTCCAGAAGATATTGGGAGGTTATGGCACCAGAGATCACGCCCCTGGGGGAGCACAGATATCATGGGGGAGAGGTTGCTTGACTCTGGGTGGCTGCTGCAGGACATAGAGGCCTTCAAGGGCCTGTCACAGCCCCACTTACCCTTCCAGAAAGATCTCCACGAACTTCCCAAAGCGGCTAGAGTTGTCATTCCTGACAGTTTTGGCGTTACCGAAGGACTCCAAGAGAGGTGTTGCCTCCAAGATCTGGGCCCCAGAAGGAGAGGTGTGCACTGGGGGGCTTGGCCCTATTCTGGAGACCTGCATGGCCAGCATCCAGACAAAGGCCTCTCCAATGGCTCCTCTTTGTGAGGAGCAACTGTGGTGGATTCCTTATAGAACCCAGGTCTCCCTGGTGCCCCCCAAGGGCTCCCCTCATGCTGCTCAGCTCTTACACAGCAAGCCCTGTGATCCCCTCTCCCAACACACTATTCCCGATGCAGCAGCCTCTGACCTCAAGCCCCCAGCTCAGGCTAGGCCAGGCACTTGAATGGCTTCTCTTGTCCATCCTGCCTGCTGTATACAAAGACATAGACAGACAAACATGCATGCATGCTCACTCACTCAAATACCTTTATCTTCAAGAGTGCCAGGGAAGCAGGAGAAGGAATAAGGAACAAAAACAGAAGCAAGTCACTAACGAGATTGGCCCACCTTCCCTTTCTTCCCACACCCCTGGAGCTTGGACAGTAGAGGGATTGGCAGGCCCTTCTGGGCCCCGTGGGCTATAAACCTGTGACCTTAGAGACTCCAGTTGTCCAGGAATGGGTACTGAAGCATGCCTCAGGGTGTGGTAGTCTGCCAGACTGGTTCTGGCCACTACAAGGATTGTTCTCTTCTCCCTATCCCATAGCCACTACTAGCCACCCATTCCCCCCCCTCCATCCCCCACCAACCTCCTCCTTGACTCTGCTGCACTCTCCTGCTGTTCTTAATGCAGCCACCAGAGGGCTTCTTCAGAGACCTGCCTTAGGGCACTTGCCCTCCACCCCACCCCACTGGTTCTACCTCACCCAGCATTAAAGTCATCTTCCTTACGACCTCCAAGGTCCAGCCCCAGTTGACCTTCTCTCCTCCTGTTTCTCCTCCCTCCATCCAGTCTTCCTTATGGTTCCCTCTAGCTCAAACCCACTCCTTCCACTGGATTCCCTCCCTTAGAACCCTCAGTGCCTTGGCAAACTCATTTCCTTGTCTGTTTCCTTGGGTATCACCAGTCTCCCTACTAGAATATCAGCCCCATGGGCAGGAATCTGTCTCTCTGTGCACCTGAGTCCAGCCTCTGCCTAGGACTGGTGCATAGTAGGCTTCAAAAGTGTTTTTTTTTTAATTTGTGAATGAATGAAAAGAAGGAAGAGCATCTCTTGAGCAGAATCCCCCAGGATTACCATAGTTGAGCACAGTGACCATCTGTAAGCACCAACTATGTGCAACTCCCATTGCCTGAGAGTGCTGTTGCTAATGTAAGTATCCTATGCAGTAGTGATAATCTCACTGCTATCTGATAGACAAGGAAACTGAGACATGCTGAGGTGACGTGATGTGCCCAAGAACTCAAGTCTGGGGAGTGGGACCCCCCCATGGCACTGTAACAAGCATGTACTTAGTGTGCATGTGGCATTTCCTTTAGCTAAGGAATGAAATTTTGGGAAGAAGCAGGAGGACATGGTCCCCATAGAAGTGACATCTGTAATCTTGGGTGGTGTCAGCGCCCCATCTGTTTATCCCCACCATCCTGTTTAGTTCAGCACCTGCTGTGCCCATGGTATAAAGAGGGCAAACTGAAGCCCAGAGAGGGATGGGAGCTGGCCTGTGGTTGCTCAGTGAGTCAAGGCCTGACTGGGCATTGCTTTATACTATCCCTTAGCCTGGGAGGCCTTGAAAGGTACCAGAGGCTGGGCTGCCCCCTTTCTCAGTTCCTGGTGCCCAGAACAGGGCAGGGCACTCATGGAAGGAGCAAGCATTGGAGGAGTAGAGCTTGTGGCCCAGGCCTCAGGGCACAGCACTTCCCATTCTGCATGATCAGTTCAGGTGAGGACCCATGACCAAAACCTGTCTGATCTCTGGGACTTTTTCTGAAATGTTGGGAAGTTTTCTGAGTGTGGTACCATGGCACCATCTTGCTGACCAATAGAAGGGTGGAGCTAAGACAGGCACATTGTTTAAGACCTTAGATACAGCCGAAACTGACTCTAAATTTGGTCTGTCTAATAACATGAGCAGGGCTGACCTCATATTTACAGTGTGCCTACCCCAGAAACTCTTAGACCTAGCCATGTCCCATGCCCCCACCCATCTTCCTTGTAGTCCTTTGCTATGGACCACAAATTCCAGCTCCTCCACTGCCTTGCTTTGGGACATTGGTCAAGTCATCTCCCTTCCCAGTCTTCAGTTTTGCCACCTGTAAAAGGATGCAGGTGTACCTATTTCCCAGGGAAGCTGTGAGGCTTGGTGTGACAGCACCTCGCACTGTCCCTGACACAAGAAGGTGTTCAAGGCACGTCATTTCTTTCCCTTTGTACTTAGCCTATACTTCCAGAAATCTGACCTGAAAGGCTTGGAAAACCCTGCCTGGAACAAAGAGAAGATCTGGTTGGCCACCGGGGACCAAGCTGGAGTGGGAGGTGTTGGCAGGCCACAGCGAGCATCAGAGGATCTGGGCTGGGCTGGGCCTTTCTGGACTGCACAGCCTAGCCCAGCCCACTTCCCACTGAGGACTGGGAGCCCCCAGGATCTCCCTGCTGAGATCACCATAGACAAACCTTCACAGGCCCCAGAGCCTATGAATTCTGAGAGCCTATGGTTCTGGAGACTGAGCTAGTGGGCCAGACCCACCATCTCCAGAGCCCCAGACTCCCACCATCTCTGTGAGGATGCCTAGTGGCACTTCTCAGCAAAGCTGTTCTTCCCGCAGCCCTGCCATCTCCCTGCTGCCCAGACAAAGCCCCAGCTAAACACCTGGGGTCATTCTCATACTATCCTTACCTCACCTCTCTGCCTTGTCCTTCTGCAAGTCAGAGGCTGGCTCTACCCTGCACCTGGATGCAGTCTCACACACCATTTCCACTGACTGCCTTAGCCTGAGTCATTGTCCTACCTTACCTGGATTCCACACTGCATCTTTACTGTCCCTTGAATACCCCAATTACACTCACACCTTAAGGGACTTTGCACATGCCTCACCTTCAACCTCTTCACTCTTCTCCCAGTCAGGCTCAGAGCCTAATCCCTGCCCACTGTGCTTACAATGACAATCCCCAACGCTCCCCATCCTCCTCTCTACTTTTTTCTCAATACACCACCCTTTCCAATATATGCACGTTACTTATAGATACTTTTATTTTTTCCTTTCTGACTCCTCAACTAGAATGTAACTTCCACAAAGGTGTGAGCATTTCTGTCTGGGAGGCTGCTGCCTCATCCTGGATCCTGGCACACAGCAGATCCCCAATAAACCTTTATTGAGGGAAAGGATGAGCTTCTAATATTCCCAGGTTTGGAGGACTTAGCATTCTCCTGCCAGACTCTGGACTGTTGTCTACCGCCTCCCCTGCTCCATGCCACTGCCACACTTGGACCTGTCCTGTCTCTTCACCCCCAGGGCTACACAGGCTCTGAGTGTAAGAGTATGGTGGCCTTGGAAGGTCAGGCCAGGCCAGAGAGACACGCTGATTGCCCTTGCTCACATGGCCTCTTTCCTGACCTGGTCTGGGAGGCCTGGAACCTGGAGCTGCCATTTGAAACACAAGAGGGTGGAAGGGACTACCCATCCACAGACACATCCCAGGGAGGGGTGGGAAAAGAGCACCCCTGGGCCCTTCTGGAACTCAGCGTCCCCATCATGTGAGTGAGGGTAAGGAGCCTGGCCTCTTGGGGAGCATACACGGCATGTTCAGCAAGGGTGCTCGGCTGGGGAGCCTAGGGAGCTGGGCTGAACGAGTAATGGACTGACAGACTCACCTGCTGCATAATGTCCCGTTTCTGGTTCATGGCGGCCAAGTAGCGCAGAATCAGCTTCGTGGCCTCGGTTTTGCCAGATCCGCTCTCTCCGCTGGGTGGGCAAAGTGATAGAGGAAGCTTCAGCTTTTCTCTTTCTCTCTGGATCTGCCCTCAGCCCACCATGACACACAAGGACATGTTCAGTAGCTGGGAGTCAGCTCAAAGGTGCCTGGTGACCTTCCTGGTTTCACAGCAGGTCTGGCTAGATACAGACCTGGTGCCTGAGGTCCCGCCACTCACCTCCATCTTGAACGCAGTCTGGCTCACCTGATGATTATGCACTGGTTCTGTTTGGCATCGAGCATTTTGGCGAAGGCAAGATTAGCAATTGCAAAGAGGTGCCTGGGGAAGCAGGCACTAGGTGTTATGGGCCAGTCCTGCCTCTGAGGTCCAAGCCTCCCAGGAGCTAGGTGGGGGGTGCAGCTCTCTCCACTCATGCAGCCAAATCCTCCCCTCCCTCACCCTCATCCCAAGCTGCAGTGACCTCTGGAGGGGCCCATGGCCAGGCTGAGGGAGAGGCTGGGCTGGAAAGATGGACTGCCCACTCCCATCAGCCCCAACCCATGGCTGCCAGGGACCAAGCTCAGAGAGGAACCCCGGAAACCCCAGAAAAGTCACCTTCCCCAACCTGCGAACACTCACGGGGGATTCTCTCCTAGGGCCCGCCCAATGTACTGCTGCACCTGCTCTGGCCCGTAGATCCCGAACATTTGGTATGGGTTCACCGACACCAGGATGCTGCCAATGTATGTCTGCCGGCAGACAGTGGCCTCAGTGCCATGGCTCATCATGGACCTTTGTGGCACTCCCTTTTCTGCTCTGGGAGCCTGGAGTCTCTTTCCAGTGGGACTGATGTCTGGATGCCTGGCCTCATATTATCATCTAAAGCCCTCTATAGCACAAGGGGTTCTGTATTTTAATAGTGGGGTCTTTGGCACTGCACAGGCTGAGGGTTGGGGAGCTTTGGGTCAGGGAGATATGGAGTGAGCCAGGTCCCATGGCCATGATCCTGCCAAGATGGCTTTGTGGGCCACTGCCTGCCTTGTGTATTCATTGTCTGGCCTAGGCTCCAGGAGCTTCTGCCTCATCAAGGTTAAGCCTCTACTTCCTAAATCAGGAGGGATTCTGGGAGCCCAGGAGACCTGAGGTAGCCAGAGCCTTTCTTCATATACCTGCCTTTTGCTCTGTGGCTCCAGGTCCCTCTTTCTGTCATTCTGGGATGGGGGGGGAGGTAGGCGGCAAGTCCCTTCCACTCTTACCAATCCCAGTCTGGGATCAAGGTCTATGGATCCCAGGACTCTGTAAGTTTTATCTATTGAATACATGGTGAGGGAAGGCATCACATATTTCTGGATTCCCTGTCTCTGTCTCTGTGCCCACCATTCTTAAACTGTTTGAGGACTTCCAATTTTAGAGTTCCAGGCTCACACTAGAGGTCACAGGCCTGAGCCTAGCAAGAGAAACCTGTACTTGCGCCAGCCTCAGGAGGCAGCTGCCTTCTCAAGTGGGGCCTGGGCCGGCCAGCCCCAAGACTTACGTAGATGAGATTACGTTCAAATCTGGTCTTGAGGTTGGACAGCACGGTGGTCTCCTGGAGGTCCCTGGAAGGCCATAGAGTGGTTGTCAGTGCCTCCAAGGGCCTGACTGGTATGCCCCCCCAACCCAGTGCAGCCTTTGGTTAGGCAGTCCTGAATTCAAGGCCTGTTTCTGACACTAATCAGCTGTTAAGTCATTGGGCAAGTTACTTCACCTCGCTGTGCCTCAGCGAGGATAACCATTGTACCTCCTTTGCTGGGGGCTGAGGGAGAAGCAAGGCAGCAGACCTAAGGCTGAATTGCTGAGATCCGATAACAATGGCAATCAGCAGAGCACCCCCCCAATACCCAGCACTCTCACAGCTGCTGTCTCCCCCAACCTTGTAAGGAAAAATTGAGGCACAAAATGGGGAAATGGTCCCCCAAATGGCGAGCAGTGGGTCTGGGATATGAACCAATGTCTATCTGACTCACAAAGCTTTGACTTGCACACATTTGGTCTTTGGTGATACTTCCTGATACCCATTTTGCAAACAGGGAAATTGAAGATCTGAAAACATTCTGAGAGGTAGATACAGATAGTCTGGGGAATGCTATGGTGACCCCTCATTGGTTACACCCACTCACTCTAGCTGCGTCATGTCCTCCACACCATCCTCCCTGCACTGCTCACGGGACCTCATGGAAGGCAGATTTCGGATGGAGTGCATCTGAGAGAGACAAGGGTGGGGTTGGTAGGTTGGAAGATACCCCATGGGTGGCCTCTGGCTTGGACATGCCTGGCTCCTGCTCCTATTGTCAGAGAAAGAACCCCAAGACCAGGCCCTGTGGGTCCCACAGGCCTCCTTGCCTTAGAACAAGGTAGCCCCCAGAGCTAGCATGCAACCCTCACACACAGGGACATGAGTTTGCCCTCAACACCAAAGTGTCCCTGGGGAGAGTGCTCTGATGACCTCCAAGTGTCCTGCCCAAGCAGTGAGCTCACTCACGGACACTCATACAAATGCACGTGCAAAAGTGCCTACCCTTCCCAACTTCAACTCTCTCTGTGCCCATACCCTTCTCCCTGGCAGACCCCATGTATAGGCTTATGTGACAACTTAATGAATGCCTGTGTCCTGATACAGGGGGCCTCCAGGAGCACCGAGATGGAAACTGTTCCAGGACCATACCCCTGTGCCCATTCGGGGCACACGTGTGAACACTGCATATGGACCCACATGCAGTAGCATTTGCAGCTCTCACAGCACCCATCCACACTCCATGGTCTCAAAGGACGCTGTGGCTACCTATGCAGACCTGTGGTGCTTGGCTGGGGACACACACATGCGCGGGCCCACGCTTAACATCCACTTGGCAAGTACATGCGGGTGGACAGCTGGGGTCCTCCCACCCTTGAGGGGTCTTGAGAATGGGAGTCCTGATGCCATCTCCATGGCACCTGTGTATGTGTACACACATGCAGAGCGTGGGCAAACGACCCACACCCCCATGGGTGCCACATCTGCTCAGACTTGCCACATGCTTGCTCTCCTCATTGGGCCATGGTAGACGCTCATGCACACTCTGGGCACACAGGCACACAGGCCTGCAAGGCATTGCATAACTGCAAGCACACCCGTGTGCATCTTTGGCCTTTCCCATTCCAGCTGCACCCTCCCTGGGCAGGAAAGGAAAGGGGACACCAGGAGGGCCTGTGTGCTGTGTGCCCATCATTGGGCTGCTAAGTAGGGCACAGTAAGTATCACCCTTTAGGCCCTGGCCTCTGGCCCACCCATCTGCCCACGTGCTCACCAGTAACCACAGACCCTAAATAATTCAGCCACTCACGTATTCCAGGGTGAGGAGGGCCCAAGCATCCTTGCCTCTCACCCCCAGGCGCCCTGCGCCCCGCTCTCGCAATGCTGCAGCCCACACGGCACGGGGTACCCGTCGCCGGGGCCAGGGACCCCCTAGCAGCCAGGCTGCCCCGGTTGCCATTGCCGGGCCTGCCTGGCTGCCCACTGCACCGGGCACCGTCTGCAGAGACTGAGAAGCATGCGCTGCCTGTTTGCCCCGCCCAACCTGGGTGTCCCGGGGGAGGCTCTGGTGAACACCTGCCTCCTCCCAGGGCCACCCAGGCTCAGGCTCGCATTCCACTATGTGCATGGCAGCCAGGCACAAGCTGGGCACCTTTCAGATGGGCTGCCTGCCTGCATCCCACAGGCAGCCCAGGTAGACTCCTGGCTCAGCCTCCATCCACAGCGTGGTCTCTGGGTCTCAGTTTCCCCACTTTGCAATGAGGAGCCTGGAAAATTGGGTCTTGAGCCTCCACCCTCACCTAGTCCAGAATCCTTCACAGGGACTTCTTGTGCTAGGCATCCCCTCATTGAGCCTCCAGAGGCTCAGGAGGCCCAGACTATTCTCACAACCTAAGATGGGGACATTGAGTCCCATGCAGGAAGCAGCTGGTCGAGGTTGCAAAGGACTCCTCAGATTACCTCCTGCCCTGCTTCCTAGGCCAGAATTCCCATACCCTCCCTCTGACCTGTTCCCCCATACCTTGTTCTGCCAGCTTTGGGGACTAACCTCTTTCCGGGGGCCTCTGAGGGGTAGGCAGGCTGCTCCAGGGCCCAGGTGGTGGGAATGGGAGCGGGCGTGTATTCGTGGCCAAGGCCAATGGATGTCTGCTGGTAGCCAGAAACGGGACCAGCGCAGACTCCAGGCTTGGCACTCTGGGCTGTGCTGCGGATCCTGGGCTGGCTGTTCAGGGGGCTGCAGGATAGCAGGCCCAGCTGGCTGAAAAGAACTCAGCCCCCGCACCTGGGGCATAACCACAGCAAACCGCCCAGGGCCAGCCTGGGGCTGCTCACTCTCCTTGAACAGGGGCACTGGGACCCTGGTGGGTGCCAAGGGAGCTGGGACTCTAGTCAGTGTCTTCCAACGACGCCATGGCGGCCATGTGGCCTTTGTCTGGTCACATGTGGCTAGTGGGTATGAAAGGCTGCGCCTCAATGCCTTCTGCTTTTGGGGGGCATCCTTGGAAGATATTGGGGTTGGGGGCTCAAACTCTGCTAGTGACTGAGGGTCCCCAGACATGGTTTCATCTTCAGGATTCTTGAGGCTTGGGCTGGCTGACTTGCTGAGCTGTCCAGGCCCTGGGTCATGGTGTCTGCTGAGGAAGACACTAGTTGAGTCCAAGGCTGGATCCTCAGGCTGAGGAGTAGAGGGTGGTACAGGGTCCATGTGCTGGAAGAAGGGGTTTTCAGGCACAGGAGGTGGCCTGGAAAAGCCTCGAAGGCTGCCCACACCTCTTGGCCAGGGGGAAGGTGGGCGCTCAGTGGGAGGCAAGTCCACATCCCAGCTGGGGGCCAGCGGGGGCACTATCCAGGGTGTCCCCGAATCCTCTGGCTCACGCTGGCTCTCCTGGTGCTCGAGAAGTCCCATGGCCGCCCTCCAGGACCCAGCCCTGGGAGGTGCATGAAAGGGCCGGCGCACTTGTGGTTTCACAGCCCGAGTGGGTGGCTCACTGAGGCGCCGCCATGTGTGTGGGAGGTGCGAGGGAAGATTGAGGGACCGATGCCGCGGGCCAGGGCCCATTGTTGGGGGTGGCGAGGGTGGTCGGGGAGAACCCAGCACTGGGGAGCGGGGTGGGCCCAGGTGCCCAGAGGCTCGGTGTGTCCCTGGGGGCTCCCGTAGTGATCGAGACTGGCGAGGCCAGGGCAGGAAGGGTGGCTGGAAGGGACCCCTACAGAGGGACAGCTGAGGGGATAGGGGCCCCAAGGGTGAGCGATAGCCTGGACCTGGCAGGCTCCTCAAGGAGGGCTGGGGTGAGGGCAGAGGAGGCCAGGCCCGCCTTCTCAATGCCATTGGGGAGACTCTGGGGAAGCCTAAGGCTGCCCCTCGTCGGTGCGAGGCCCTGAATGAAGGGCGGGGTGCAGGATAGGCCAGCTGGTCTGGGGGAAGCTCTGGGCTTATGGGAGGGGGCTCCACAAAGGCCCACCAATTTGCCTGGGGTGCTAGGGGCACATGAGTGGGGGCAGCCCAGGGTGGCGGGTGCTGGTGGAGGGAACCATAGGGTGAGGCTGTCAGAGGCAGGCCAGAGAGAGTTGGGGAGAAGGGTGGGGCAGGCGGTGGGCCTGGCCTGGGGGGCTGCTGGGGTGCTGGAGGGGAGACGAATGCGCTCCAGTGGGCCAGGGTCCTGCGTGCTGGTGCAGGTGAGGGTGGCCGGTGGTGGGAGTTGTTGCGAGCCCGGGGTTGAGCCCGCCTCAGCATGATAGGCGTGTTGGGCCGGTCTGGGTCCATGCCGGCCAACTTGTAGCCAAAGCGTTTGTAGGCCGCCTCCCTGGCTGCAGGGCTCCCTGCTTGGGCCTTCTGGCTGCCTCTGAGGCGAGGGATGGGCTTCTTTCCTGACAGAGTCTTTTTGAGGAACCGTGCCAGTGAGGTGGCTGGGCGAGGCGTGGGGTGGCCAAACTCAGGGCTGAAGCCCAGGCTTCGACGGGCACTGAAGGCTGACAAGGCCCGCTGGAGGTTTCGTTGGCGTGGCGTGAGGAAGCCCCAGTAAGGATGGGTGTAGGGCACTGGGGGCATCTCCTCTTCTTCCTCTTCTTCCTCTGCATCCCCCAAGGGCAGTGGAATGTCCAGGGAGGGGGGCAGGGGCACCTCCAGCTTCTCCTTCCCAAACAGCTTCACCTGAGGCCTGGGGAACAGGCGGAACTTGCGGATGAGGGATAGCTTGGACCTGGCAGGCTTGTCCATGCCTTGCTGCTCGAAGAAGGCAGAGCTGGGCAGACGGAAGGAGGTGCTCTGTGGCTCCCCACCGGTGTCCTCAGGTTCCTCCTGCTCCGTGATGTCATCCATGGGGTGAGCATAAGGGTTGTGGGGTGACAAGATGGGCGGTGGCACCCAGGGATATGCAAAGGCTGACTCCTCTGGATAAAGGTAGGGCACTTCAGGGGGGTAGATGGCCTCGTCCCCACTACCATAGATGCCTTCGGAATAGGGGACGGTGTAGGGGACCCCATAGGGATCAAAGTAAGGTACGTTGTAGGGAGCATCATATGGCAGGTCATAGGGTGGGTACGGCATGTCGTAAGGTGCATAGGGATCCAGGTAGTAGCTGTATGGGTAGGCCTCGCCCTCAAATGTGTCAGGATAGCTGTATGGAGATGAGTACCCTGATGGGGGTGCGTATGGGGGTTCGTAATCATCATAGCCGTACCCATATCCCCGGTAGAATGAACTGCTGTAGTATTCAGGGTGGTAGTAGTCATAGGGGTTTTCGGGTGGGTACCCATAGTAGTGGTCGCCATAGGGTGGCCAGGCTGGGCTGTAGGGGCCAAAGCCAGCCAGGTAGGGCTCCTGCTCCTCATAGTGGTACAGCGACTGCTGATCATAGTAGTCGTCGCCCTCACGGTGGTAGTCATAGTACTCTCCCAGGTCCTGGAAGCCCTCAAGCCCGTAAAATGACTTGCGGGAGCCGGAGTGCTGAAACGGGGCTTCATCCTCGAAGGGCAGGAAGCCCACAGGCTCGCCGGATGAGTAGATACTGTGGCTGCGAGGAAACCTGCGGAGCCGGCCTCCCTGCCGCAGGATCTCGGCACCAGACGGAAAGGGCAGTTTGCGCGAGCCCATGTGGGAGCCCGAGCGCTGGAACCAGGCATCCAGCGTGGCCTGCTCACTGCCTGACTCCTCAGCCTTCTTGAGGAGGAATTTCTTGGTGAGCCAGTTGATGGCCGTGGACGCCTTGCTGAGCGACTGGGCGCGGGGCCGGAGGCGGCCATAACCGCGCCGGCCTGGGAAACGGATCACCATGAAGGATGGCTTCTTGCCTTTCATTGCCCGCTTCTTCTTGCCCATGCGCATTTGTGTCATGAGCTTGGAGGTGGACTTGAGCACCGTGCGGGCCTTCTTCTTGCGCTTGGTCTTCTGGGGGCCCGTATGCAGGCCCCAGAAGAAGGCCGATGCGCTCCGGAACTGGCCCTTCTTGGAGATCTTGGGTGTGCGGTCTCGGAAACCCATGAAGAGCCGAGATGTGCCCTTCAGGCTCCGTTTGGGTTTCTCTGGCTCTGGGGCCTTCTTCCCCTTCTTCCCTTTCTTGGCTTTCTTCTCTTCATCTTCTTCCTTCGCCATTGTGGCCTCCTGCTCCTATGGGGCCTGAGGCCTGTGTCACAGATTCAGGGACTTAGGGACCCACAAGGTCTTCTGCCTGCAGCTGGACCTGCGGCTTCCTTGGTCTCTGAGCAGCCAAGACTGGCTGGGGTGGCGTGGGGAGGGACAGGGCCAGCATTCTGGGAGGGCGAATCCATAATTCATCTCCTCTAGAGCCGCCTTAGGTTTCACCCTCACTCTGTGGTGGAAACTATGTAAGTGTTGTTTACTGGGTCAGGGAGCCTGTGAAGCCTGTACTGGGGAGGAGCATCCTGGCTTTAGAGTCACCATGGCAACAACTGTGCTGAACCTGCTGTGCCTCCTGTGCCTCAGCTGGCTCTATCCCCAAAGGGAGGGCTTTGGTCACAGAAGTGTCATAAAGGAAGGCAGAGCCCAAGAGGGGACGCCATCTGTCCCGGATGCCCATACACCTGGCCCCAAAGTGGAGCCGGTCTCCTGAGCTAAGGACAGGGTGCTCAAAGCCCATCAAGTCACCTTGGAGGGAGGTGGGAGTGGGCAGAGCAGGTGCCCAGGCCTGTGGCCAGTGTAATGAGAGCTGGCTTGCTCTTGGGAGCTGAATAATGCATTGGGGAGAGCCCCACTGTCGCCTCACAGAGTAAGGCAAGGTGGTGGTATCTCTGCAGGCTATGGGGAGGGGTGGGGAGCAGAGTTGCAGAAAGGGAGGGCAATTCAGCCTGGTTCTGATGCCCAACTCTGCCGCTGATTGGTTGTGTAGCCTCAGGAGAGCCCTTTGCCCTCTCTGGGCTGTGGTTTCCTCTTGGTAGAATAGGAGGGACAATTTGTGCCCTGTCTCTTTCACCAAGAGGGAGCCAGACCTGAGGGAGCTTCTGAGCAGTTCAACAGACAGAGGCCTCACAGTGGCTCCCCACTGAGGCCCCCACCTAGTCCTGTTCTCTCCTCACCATTCCTTCCCTGGCTGCAGGTTGGACACTTGACCCAAGGCAAAGTGTCCACTGTCTGGTGATGACCAGTCAGACTTACTTTTGAAAATCTGCATTATAAGAGGGCTGGGCCGTGGGTGGGGTTCAGGGGTGGAGCGCCTGCCTAGCATACATGAGGCCCGGGGTTCATTCCCATTAGGAATTAGGGGAGGCACAGAGTGGAGGGGGAGGTAAGAGCTACAGCTTGTTAGAGGAGGTTGAGGACCTGAAGCCTCAGAACCATATTCCCCACCCCTTTCCTTGTCCTCTTCATCCTACTCCTGATCCTCCTCTTCTTTCTCCTCCTTCTCCTCCTCTCCTTTCTTTTCTTCATCATCCTCTCTCCTCCCTTTACTCCCTCCTCTGTCTCTCTTCTCTCTGCCCAAGAAGCAGGATATCCAGGGTCCACCATGGCTAAAGACTCTAGTTGATTCCAGGCTGCCCACTCACTGAACTTCCATTTAGCCTTTAGGCTCCAAAGCTAATTATGTGATTACTGAAAAGTCAGTATAGAGACCCATGAGCAGCAAGGCCATGGCCCTGGTTCTGCCATTTGCTGACCCTGTCCCCTCAGGGGAGTGACTTCAGTACGTCAGCTTCCTGAGCTGTGAAATAAGGACAGCAAACAGCCTCCCCTCTCTCCACTTCTGTCTCTCCTCCTCTTAGTCCCTGCCTTTTCACTTTCTCCCCAATACTTGCTTCTCCTCTCTGAGACTCACAGGAGTCTGGGAGCCTTGAAACTGTTTCACAAGCTGGGGACCAGTCATGCAGAGGGGATGAACCACTCAAGTTGCTGTGGGAGCTGTGCACCAGGCACTGTCTAAATACTCTGTGCAGCTGTGCATGGAACCGGCAAAAACCCTGCCCTCATGGGGCTGTCTGTGGTTGGGGGTGGTCAACAAGGAAAATCAGTGGACATGGAATGGGCCAAGTGGTGCTAAGTGCAATAGGGGGCCGGAGAAGGCATTACTAGGCAGGGACAGGGGCCAAGATCTTTGGGAATCAGACCAAGGGAGCACTGTGCAGTCCAGAGGTGTGGCAGTGGGCAGTGAGGACACAGGTGGACTTGGCAGGAGCTGTGGTTGAGAAGGGGTGAAATTTGACTCATCTTCCCTCTGACTGCTGCAGGGAACCAGGCTGCAGGGCACAGGTGGCAGAAATAGGCAGGCCGGTGTGGAGGCTTGCGTGGTATTTCCAACTAGAGGAGCATGAGGTTTGCCCAGTCTGCTGCCTGGGGAGATGTGGAGAGGTAGCAGGACGCTGGCCTGTGTGGCAGCTGGAGCCAGATTTTGCTGAATTGCAGTGGGGTTAGGAGTGCTCTGAGGTTCTCTCACTAAACACAGAAAAGGTGGAGATGCCATGGACTGAGATGAGGGAGGCTGCAGTCAGAGCCGGCTGAGGAAGGATGACAAAAGTCAGTTTTGGACATAGTGACTGCAGGTGTATTTTGGCCCTGCTGGGAGCTGTCACAGACATTTGGGCTGATGACATCACTGTCCAGCTTGCATCCTCCACACTTCTGGAAGATCACACCAGGGAATGAGTGTCATGGAGGAGGAACCCAAGGACCAAGCACCAAGGAGGCTAGAGTGAGCAGGAAGGAAGCTGGGGGATGGCCTGCATTGGGGTCCTGGGGCGCAAATGAGAGTTTCAGAGAGGAGGCAGGCAGCAGAGGATGGAGAACTGACCACGGGGTGTAACTACTTAGCTACAGGAGTGACCGTGACATGGATGCTCCCAGTGGAGAGGTGGGACACGGGTAGCTACATCTGTTGGGAGGTTTAAGAAAGACAGGACTGTGGTGGTCACGGGGTGACTGTGAACATTGTAAATTCACCACATTGGACACTTTAGCAAGTGAGTTGTATGGGTTTATGGACTGTGTCTTGATAAAGTAGTCACAAGCGAGGACAAGAAAGGAGGGAAGACAGGCAGGGAGGGAGGCAAGGAGGGAGAGGGAGAGGAAGGGAGGGAAGGAAGGAGGGAAGAAAGAAGGGAGGGAGGAAGGGAAGAAGAAAAGACCCACCAGAGAACATCTGCTTCACATCCTGTGTGCACAGGGGACAGCAACGCTACATGTGGCCACAACACTCCCAACACATTCTGCAATGGAGCCACACATGGTTATGGGAAGAACGTGGTGGTGTCTATGTACTGCTAGGGAGGGAGCTTCAGATCTGCTCCTAGAGGAAGCAGGGTACATAGCACCCTGTTGTCCACAGCCCACACCATGTCCTTTCTTTCTTTAGGAAGGTGTGAGTGTGCATTGGGTCAGGTAATATTAGGTCATATTTGCTTTTATTTATGTGTAAAAATACTGCAAAAGATATAGAACATAAGACACGAGGGAGAATGGTATCTCACTATAAACTTTTCTCCATCAGTTTGATTTCTGAACCATAAAAATGCATCCTAATTCAAATGAGCTGACAAAAAAGTAATTTAAAGAGAAAGTAGGGGAAAAGACATGGGAGTAGGAGGTAGATACACCCATTTAGCGTGGCTCCCAGGAATAATGTGGAGGTCCCAGTCCTGCCTCCATCTAACATTAGAGGAAACCGAGGCAGAGAAAGGTCAGAGACTTGGGAGGAGAAGTGGGGCAGGGCTGTCCCTTTGGTCTCAAGGACACCTCCCAGAGCTTGCATGCCCAGTGTGGGGGAGGGGTCCTTGGCTGCCTAGTGTTTGTTCATGAGAAAAGCGGAGAGACTCTCTTTATCCAAGGTTCCCCCAAGTTCTGCCACGAACCGTCTGGCAGGTATCTTTGTGCTCCAAAGCCTTGCTGGCCAGATGAAGAGACTGAGGGGTCTGTGGCACTCAGAGATGCAACCCAAGAGATGTGCCTCCCAGGGGGCCCAGAGGTCAAGGTCTCCTTCCAACCCCATTACCCCCATTTCTAACCCATGCCTGATCCTCATCAAGTCCTGCAGCCTCTACCCTGGGTTCTCTTCAGCTGTGAGTGTAGATGTCCCAGAACCTCCTCCTCCTGGGGCTAATGGGAGACTAAATGAGTAAACAGAGGCGGGCATGGTGCTGGCACAGGCTGTGATGTTGCTTTAATGGCCAACATTGTTGTTACAGCTGACTGCCCCATATGTTCTGGGGTGGCCTAGGAGACTGCTGGCAGGAAGGCCTGCCACCTGACCCTCCAGGTCTCTGGGGCCCAGGTTTCACCCCAGGCCAGTACCCAGCAGGGCTGTTACTTTTCTGGTGGGTTCTGGGTCTTCTAGAGGAGGCAACAGGAGCAAGGCTCTCATTCATTCCTCAGACATCGGCTGTGCACTTACTATGTGCCAGGCACTGCCCTGAGAAGGTCAGAGTGGAGTGGAATCAGACATGGTCTCTGCCTGCACATTGCCTAGCATCACAGGCTTCAAGCTAAGAGCTACACCCTCAGGAAGAGCTGTGAAGGTCAAGGCATGACCCGGGCAGGTAAACACCCCAGGTGGATGTCCAGGAAGGCTCCCCTAAGAAGGTGACCCTGAACTGAAATCTCAAGATTGGGAGGGAGCTAATCACACTGAAGAGGGAACAATGTTCCAAGGAGATGGAACAGTATGTGCAAAGGCCAGGTGGTGAGCAGGGCTTAAAGGAAAGTCCTATACCTGGAGTGGAGTGATGAGGGTTGTGTGGAATGTGAAACAGCCACAGGATGGCTGGCAGCGATTGGTCACATAAGGCCATGGAGGTTGGGAAGCCACAACAGGTTTTGTTTTTGTTTTTTTCAATACTGGGGTTTGAACTCAGGGCCTTGAGCTTGCTAGCCAGGCATTCTCCCACTCAAGCCATACCTCCAGTCTTACAACAGGGTTTTAGCTTTGAGGAATGCTCTAAACAGATTTGCATTTTGGAAATAATAGTACAAATATCCAACACTGCCAGGTGTTTACTATGTACCAGACTCAGCACGGAATGCTTTCCTAGAATAGCTCACTAAATTCTCACTCATGTGAGAGTGAATTCTTCCCATTTGATAGATGAAAGGTTTGGTCTTTGAGAGGGTAGATCACTCAGAGAGAGGAAGTGATGGGTCCTGTGTCTCTGACTGCAGGGGCTGGGTTCAGAACTCCAGCCACACAGAGCTCATTCAAAACTCATTACAACCTCCTGAAGTGGGTATGATTATTTCCCCATTTTATAGTTGAGGAAACAGGATCAGAGAGGTTTAGAGGTTTAGCAAGTTTCCTGAGGCCACATAGCTGGAACTCAGATTTGAGCCCAGGCAGGCTCAGGCTGACTCTGGAGTGTCCATGCTTTCAAACCACTGCCTCACTTTTCCTTTTTCTTGGAAAGAGATTTGTAAAAACACTCTAAGATGACTGTGGGAAGGTTGGGGAGGGGATGCACCATGCAGCAGGGGGAGGGACCAGCAGTTTGGCTAGGATGGAACAGCGCTGGAATGTAGTGGACACAATCAGAAAGTAAAACAAAGAGCCCCTGGGGAACTAGAAGGGGCTGAGTGATGGTTCAGCTAGGTAGACAGGATTGGGGTGGGCTTGGTACAGCTGGACCAGCCTGGGATTGCTGAGGTGAGGGGCAGTGTGGGAATACATGTCCACTCTGGGACATGGTGAGTTTGCGTGGCAGTGAGAAAATGAGACAGAAGGTCAAGGAGGTGTTTGTTCCCAGACCTGGAACCTACAGGGATAGTGGGTCAGGCAAGATGGAGGCAGAAGGTGAAGGGCTGCCTAGGAGAGGGACAGAGTGAGCAGAAGGGGCTGAACAGGCTCTGTGCCTATGGGCTCTGTGTCTGAGGAGAGGAAGGAGGGGAAGAGGCAGAGGAAAGGGAGGAAGGGGAGGTCAGGGAGCTGCAGCCAGCCATGCTGAGCCTGCTAAGGTCAAGAATATATGACTTACAAGTAGTGGCTGTTTAGCTCAAGTGTTGCAGAAAGTGAGGAAGGCGAGCCTGGTAAGTTAAGCCATGAAAGAGAGGTGGCAAGAGGGGAACCTGCCTGGGGCTCTTAGAGAAAAGGCCACCTGAGGATACAGCCTCCTGGAGTCAAGGGGGCTTCAGGGGAACCAGCCCTGCTTACACCTTGATCTGGGCCTTGTGGCCTCCAGAACCATGAGGAAGAACCTTGTTGTTCAAGCCACCCGGTCTGTGGTGTTCTGTCACGGCAGCCTGGCTGACCAAGACAGATTAGCTGGCAAAGCAACCAGACAGACCCAGGTGTAGAAGAGAACAGAGAGAGAGAGAGAGAGAGAGAGAGAGAGAGAGAGAGGTCATCATGGAGTATGAGGTCCCAGGCCATTGGCCACAGCCTCTTCCATGCTGGAGGAAGAAGTGAATGTAGTGAGCTGAGGTGTTTGGGGAAGACAAGTTTCTGGCTGGGATTGGGAGGTAGGGGAGGGCTGCATTCCCGACTCCAGGGGAACCTAAGCATTGGCACTCCAGGGCCAGGGGTGTCCAGTTCTTCAGGACAGATGAGCCTGGGGTTCCTGGCAAAGGAGGGTTCTGAAAAGAGGAAGCCTGGAATCTAAGTTGGAGAAGAAGGGATTGGAGAATTAAGGCACACAAACACCAGACACCCAGGTGGACATTTGTCCCCTTTCTCCTCAGATGCAGGCCAGGCCGCTCTCCACTCCCTTGCCACCCTAAGGCTGGGTGCAGCGGTGCTGCCTCGGTACAGGCCTGAGGGAGGTTGCAGACCCCTTCCTGTGGTGGCCAGGTGAGCAATGAAAGAGAGGCTGAAAGGAATAAGGCCCAGCCCTAGACTTCACCCTGGCACTTATGTCAGGGGCTCTGAGGGTGCTTAGGGGATTCCCTAGCCAAGGGGCACCATGACCTGCCATTTCACACTGACCTGGGTGAGCACAGCTACAATCCCTTTCTTACATGCAGGTTAAACCACATGATCACAGATCCAGACAGCCCAGGACACATAGAGACAGTCTGAATCCAGACATACAGAGCCAGCCAGTAAACAAGCCATCCACAGTTGGAGCCTCAGATCTGAGCCCTCACTATCTGAGGCCCCTGGACCTCTGACTGGCCTTCTACCCTTTCCTAGACAGCCTGGGAGCCAGAACAGGCCTGGATTCCACCCATGGCCTAGATACAGCCTGACACCCCAGAACCCAGGGCCTTCTTGGCCTCTCCCTGGGCTGAGGCCCTACCTAAAAGATGAGGAGTAGGAATGATCATCACCCAGGTTGGTACCCTCCCTGAGGGCCTCGTGGCCAGGCCATGAGGCACTAGGAAAGAAGCCGAGGCAAACTAAACCTTTACTTGTCTTGGCTTCCCTCAGCTGCCAGGGGACTACAAGGCATTATGTCCATTTTATAAAGGAACTCAGAGCGGGGCCCCACAGGGAGTCAGGAAGGCTAAGGCCCAGCTCTGCTGCTGTCCCTTTCCCTCTTCTCTGCCATCTGGGGGGTGCAGCAGACCCCAAGAATCCAGGGCCAGGGTCCCTTACCTGGGTCCCGTGGTCTGCTCCCCATCTGCATGCTTCCTAATGGGGGTCCTGCATGTGGCCCCAGAGCCTTCAGCCAGCAGAGAAGTTGTGGTGGGAGCGAGGCCCAGCCCACCACGCCAACCACCTGGGGCCCCATGCATATTTAATGACATCTATTATTCTTGTTTTGTCTCTGGAAAGGCATGAGCAGCTGACAGGGGAGCAGGAAACAGCCTGGAGAGCCAGGCTGTGGGCCTGCTCCACATGCCAGCCTGGCTGTGGCCCCAGAGCAGCACAGAACCCATGCCATCTACCCCAAAAGCACCCTACTCCCAGGAAACCTTCCCTGGCCTCTGTGCCCATAGCTGCACTTTTATTGTCTCTCATGGACAACAGGCACAAACCTTGGCCTGCAGTAGGCAATCCCACCTGGACCTGAGCCTCAGGAAATGAATGTACTTGGCCACCCTGCACTCTGAAGAGCCTCTCTGCACCCATCACAAGGGTCTCCTGGGATTATCACCCACCCGAGCAGCTGGCATTGGGAGGGGCATGTCAGGCACCTGCAGCCCCTGGCCCACCTTCCTGAGCCTGTCCTGTGTCAGGTAAGACCCCCACCTCCTCCTTGCCACCCAGACTTGGGTCTACCCCGACAGCCCAAGTTATACTCACTCCCCAAGGCCAGATTCATTGCTGATCCCACCTCCTATCAGATCAAGCAATACTCCAGCAAGTTTATAAAAAGTTCCCTTGGTCCATCAGGAATTACTTTCCATCCTTTATTTCAGAAAGGAGAGCAAAGATCAGGGGGCTTAGAGAGGAAACAGAGCCCATACTCAAGACACCCCTGCCTGGTGGGCAGGTCCAAGGTCCTGGTTTGTGTGGGGCAGGTGGTGCCCTGAGAGGGGCCAAAATGGGGAGGCACTTTCGGACATTCAGGCTGTTATCTGGTTTCCACCATAGGCAGCCGGTGTGGGAGGACCTGCAGGGTTTTGTCATGGGCCCTCCTCCCTCTAGCATCAGAGAAGCTGGAAGGCCGAGGGAATAAGGTGCCCTGACAGTAGCCAGAGCCTTAGGGACCCAGGCAGGCCTGGCTCCCCATCCTGAGTCTGCTATCAGTCTTAGGCTGTGGTTGGGAGTTGGTAGGTAACTTGCTCCCTCAGTGTTCAAAAGGGTCTAGGGGAAGGACAAGGATGTAGGCTCCCACCTAGGAACCCTATCAGAGGGATCAGGCTCATGGCATATGTCCCAACAGAGCTTAAGACCCCAACCTCACCCCTCAGCCCCAACAATGCCTACTGAAGAAGCTTCTGGAGACAGCAGACTCAAAGGCCTCCTCCTGGGTGTGTATTTGTTTTTCCTGTTTGGGTTTAGTGTCCCAGTGGGTCCAACTCCCCAGGAGACAGGCAAGGCTAGTGGATGGAAGGGCAGGAGCTGGCAGGTGGGAGGAGCCACTACTTCTTCACAATCTGGATGACGTCCTCATGCTCCATGGTGTGGGTCAGGCCCACCCGCTGTGGGCTGTACTTGGTGCTGGTGCCCTGGACAAGGGTGAGGGCAGATGGTACATCAGCCCCTGGACTGGCTGAGGCTGGAGAAGGCAGGCTAGGGATATGTTGGGAATCAATGCCAGCAAAGAGGGGGTCTAGCATTACAAAATCCTATGGGTCCAGACAGCACGCTATCCCATGATCTGAGGTGGGGAGGCCTATTTCTAGAGTGTGTCACACACACACCCAGGACAGACAGACATGAGGGTCCCCACACAGAAAGACAGAAATGCTGCACTTAGGTGTGAGAATGCTTTGTTTTCTGAACCTAGCCCAGGGGCTGCTGGGCCTAGGCTCCCAAAACCATCCCCAGCCCAAACTCACCCACACCAGGGCGTACTTGAACTGGCTGGCAAGCGACCGGTGGATGCGGTGGCACTAGGGACAGGAGAGTCAGACAGGAAAATGAAGCCTTGCACAATCCAGCCCAAGTCTGCTCGCATACCCAAAGCCCAGGGCTCCAACCAACAAGTAGCCAGCCGTTCCACAGCTGGTACTCTGATAGCTCAGGCCACGAGTCAAGGAATGCCACATGCCTCATTCACATGTGGCCTCCTATTCTCAGCTACAAGTGGTTCTGACATTCCCACTTCCAAGTCTGCCAAGAGCTGTGGCCCCACCCCCAGTCAGGAACGCTCCTTACAATTAGGCAATTGTGCCCTCTGCCCACCTTGCCTGAACAATCTACAAACAGATGCTCCTTCCGAATGTACAACAGGGTGGCTTTTCAGGACATCTTCCATGGCTTGGAGTCACAACTGTTTGGTTACTGTCTCTCACACTTCCCTGGCTCCAACTGTGACCTACAGATCCCTGCACATCACAGCCTACCCCTCATCCCCATACTACATTCCTCAGAGCTCCTAGGTCATAGGAATCCCAGCACAGCCAGGAAGGTGGAAGGAGACCTGGCCAGAAATTGCCCCAGAATGTGGACCCCCAGTTGCCATGGTGATGACAGCATAGTGGAGGTGGAAGGGAGTAGACTATGCAATATTGCTTCTCTTCCCATTGGAGGTGGCAACTCTGAACCCTAGCTAGCTCTGCCACCAGGCGGGAGGGCAGAAATGAGGCCAAGAGTCTCAGCTTCAACCCACTACAGAAACTCAACCAACAACAAACACCAAGGATGGCAGCTCTCCTGGACCAATCATTGGAATGACCAATGGCACAGCCCCCAGGGTCCTACAGCATTGGCACCTACCCACTGCCAGGCACTGAGCTGGGGTGAGCTCTCATTCAGCCTGACCTTAACCACCCAAGGAGGCCAGAAGCATCACCCCATTCCTCATCCCCTTAAAGGAGAGGGGCAGAAGTCACACATGCGACTAGGAAGAGATTGTGTGGCCTTGACCCTGGCCCATCTTATCTAACTCTGCCTCCTACCATGGTTGGGCAGAACAGAGCTCACAGGGCTCTTAGAGCCCCAGCCCCTTGTCTGGACAGGTCTCAACTTACCACATGCTCCACAGAGGCCCCTTTCCGGAGAATGATAGCATCTGTGAAGTCTGGCCTCTCTGAGGAGAGAGATGTGAGACGCATCAGTCAGTTCTGGCTTGTGCTGATTTGAGATTCCTTTCCAAAGGGTAAGAAAGCACTGGCCGCAGAGGCTCTTGTGGTCTCCCAAGCCCTGACCTAACCTTGCCCCTTCCTATCCAGTACAACTGTTTGGTGCCTTCTACAACCTTGACCTTATCACAGAAAATCAACCAATCAAAGTTGAGGATTCACATGCCTGTCACGCTGTCAGCCATATAGCACCTACAGTGACAAGCTACTTGTTGGAGCATCTGGACTGGAAGGGCAGAAAATGGCTGCTGGAGTCTAGATAGGAAAAGCTGTAGCTCTCTCCTTGCTGACAAGGCCAGGGTTGATGCAAACTTCCCAGAACTGGGACATTGGGTCCCAGGGGCATGAGAGTGTGTGTGTACAATGGGGACAAGGGAAAGTACCTCAAGCTCCTGATGTAGGATCTGCCACTGTGGAGGAAGGTTAAGAGGGCAGGATCTGCTGTGGTCACTGGGGACCATGAGGCAGCGAGACCAGCAGCCCCAGAGCTCAACATTCTCTGCCATATGGTCTCAGGCCAAGATCCCCACCAGCCTGGGGTAGAGGGCAGTGCCCTGCTCTGACAGACAAGCTGGGTCAGGGCTGGCAGGCCTTGGGGGAAGGAGAGGTTCAGCCACTTCTTGAGAAGAGCACACCCAACTCACGTCCTCTCTTTTTGGTGTAGATACAGGTCAGGGCCAAGTACTCCCATAGCATCTCCAGCAGGTAGTCAAGGTTCAGCTTCATGCCACAGCTGCAAGGAGGGACATACCAGTCAGGTAGGGCCCCAGGGCTCATAGACCATGGTCTCGACTTCTCACCATTGGAGAGGGCAAACTCCCCTGGCCAGGTGCAGGCACCACGGGGAATCAAGCCCGTTATGGTAATGGCAGTTGATCCTTCGGCTGCCAGTGCCTCCCTCCATTCACCCACGATGGTCATGCCCAATAGCTCAGTATCTTCCTGGGAACCAGCACAGATGTGCTCTATATGGGCCCACGGCATCTGTGATTGACACAGCCTGTTTTGGAGAGACTGGCTAGGCTGTGAAAGGATTGTGGGCAGAGGCTGGGAACTCTGATGCCAAGCTCACCCCTCTCAGAGTGGAAAGGGGCTGCCCACAAGGATTTCAGCACACATATTGAAGATCCCAGGTTTGGGGAGCAGCCAGGCCTGGGTGGACTGACTTGACTACAACAGTGTGACCCTGAGAACTGTGGTGAGCACAAGCAGGCAAAGGTATCCCACTCCCTCACACCCTGAGGATAAGCGTGTTCTAGATAGCCTGAGGGGACTGGGATACAGCAGGAGGGAGGGGAGAATGGTCACACTACAGGAGGGATGCTGCACTTTGCAGTGGCTACATTGCATTTGCACGGGGGCAACAGTCCCTGCCCATCATTTGCACTGGCCACCCCCACGTGGCCTTTAGCATCTTGCTTCCACAAGCCATGCCTCACTGGGAAGCCAGAGCACCTGGTTTGAGCCAGGAACCCAGAAAAACAGAGGACTCAGTCCATCCTCAAAGAGAAACCCTGCAGGGCAAGGCAATGAGTAACAGCCATCAGCCAGAGCAAAGGTGACATGAGTGGCAACCTGAGGATCCATCCAGCAAAGGGCAGGCAACAGTGGCCAGGGGTGGACGGCATCCATATGAGCTGTGGTCAGAGAGAAGCCACACCTTCCAGGGAACCAGCAGAGACTATGATACTCAGGACTTTCTGGGGCCTGTGGTTCATTAAGTAAGCTAAGAAGCCTCTGAACTATTCAGTCTTGGGGTTGAAATCCCATTTTCCTGACCAAAGCCCACCAGAAATCAGGACAGCCAGCAGCCTCAGCAGCTGCTGGGAGGCCTTTCCTACAGAGTTCCTGGGCCTCATGAGTTCACAAGCAGCTGGAGGTACCTGGTACTCCCCGAGGTGGAGGTGGTGGGAGGCCTGTACCCTGGGGTAACACAGAGAAAGCAGAGCGCAAGATGTTTGTGCCTCACCTGATGACCACACTGTTGGGTTTTCGGGCCAGGCGGTCAACTTCTTCCATAGAGATCTGGTCAATTTTGTTATACACCTGAGATTGAACAGGAGGAGGTGGGTGGTGGGGAATGAAAAGAGCAGAGCAGTCCAGGATGAGATCTCACACCCTGCCTGGGGGATCCTCCTTGCTCACTGCTTCAAGGCTGGGGAACGCAGAAGGGACTTGGGAATAGCCAGTTCCCCCAGAAGTAACCCCAGGGTTGCAACCCTGGTTTCAAGCTCTCCATGTCTGTAAGGGAGGGATGGGGGAGCCTCAGCTGAAGTTGAAGCAGCCACAAGCGGTCATCTAGGTCATTGGTGCTCATCATATGCATTCAAAGGAAAGGTCACGTGGCCTGGGCCAGGGCACCCCAAGTGCTGTGCCACTTACATACAGGCAGGGCATGTACACCCGGTTGCCCACGATCACATCAATGAACTCATCTGGGGAGCAGTCATCTCGGAAGAGCACTTCTGCATTGAAGATCTCTGAGGGACTCAGATTAAGGGCAATCTGTGTGCTAGTATCCATGTGCTCCTCAGTGGACAGTGAAGCAGGAAAGACACTAGCAAGAAGGGCCTTGGTCATGATCTGCTTGTGAGGTTTTACAAGATTTTAAAGCTTGAGGAGTCCTCTCATTTTTGCCCCCAAACTGTAATATATAAAGGTTTCAATCAACAAATAATTTAAATCTTCACTGTCTGGCAGGGAAAAAATGTACTTCTAGAACCCCCAAAGCACTTCACGGAACCCCAAATTACAGTTTAGGAGCATCATGTGGATGGTGTGATGCAGCCTGTGCCACCCACCCTCAGGGGCTGTCCAGCCTTGTCAGGATTGACTCAACAGGTCTCTCCATGAAAGCTCCACTCTTCTGAGGCCCTGGCCTCTCCTCTATTCCCATTAACAGGTGTACACACAGCTCCTGCTTCTTTCAGAGGCTTCTGCAGGCCAGGGACCTCCAGTCCTCAGTTCCCATGACATCTTGCTGCATGTCACCTGGCCACTAGAGCATCCAGAACAAACTGAGGGAGCCAGGAACCCACTGTCAAGTGTGTGGCTTGCACTTCAGCCCCAGCACGCTGGTATAGCCATGCTTGAGCTTTCCTAAGACTTCTCAATGGCTCAGGGTGGCTGGGGGTGACAGTTATCCCCAGGTGGCCTGCTGTCCTAGGTGCCCACCCTTCTCTGGAAGGATACTGTATTCATGCAGGATGAGCTGCACCAGCTTCTCTGAGCACTGCGTCAGCGTGACCGTTGAGTTAAAGGAGATGCCACCACCTTTCTTGGGCTAAAGCAGAAGAAGGCAGGAGAGAGCTGCCGATGAAGGGGTAGCAGAGACAGTGGTGCGGCCTCCCCAAAGGCCACGCAATACCAAGCCAACACTTAGAGTGGGGGTTGGGAGAAGATAGGGTCGTACCTTAAAGTAGATGTTGGGCTTGTGCTTGTTGAGGCGGATGCCCACAGACTCCAGCTCCTTCTCTAGCAGAGACCTAGGAAAATCCCACGATCCCTCAGTGGCTGGCCCCTTAGCTGGCTGTGTGGTCTGTGTGTGAGTCCAGCAGCTCCTGCCTACCCAGAGACCAACTCCTTCCTCTGGTCCCTTCCCTAGCAACCCAACAGCCCGAAGCTGCAGTGCAGCCTCTAGCCCTCTGCTACGACCAAAGTAAGAATGGACCAAGCTTACAGTCCATTCTTACTGTCATGCTGGTTTACAGTCAGCATGCACAGGAAAGTGGCATAAGGTCCCAAGGGTGCCTGGGTGAAGGTGCTGTCCCTGGCTGCAGGAGGTCGCTGCTACAGAGGCAGGCTGTTGTATCCCCTAAATGGCAGGGTGTGGAGAGGACCAATGCTTCTGCTGCATGGGGCTGGGCTTCTGGCAGGTTCTGAGCAGTGTCCAGAGCACACAGACCTCTGTGGGCAGAAGCTAGCCATGCCTCTGTCCCCTAGCCTGAAATGCCTCTGTGGCTGGCTAGACACAGCCTGGAGGGGAGCATGTCCCAGGTCGGGTGGTGCTGGGTTAGCCACAGTCAGTCCTGCTAGGATTCTCACATGTAACAGGGTTGGACACACACAGAATGTCCACCATGAGCTCAGAGAAACAGAGGCCCTCCCCAGACACATAAGCCTGCCCCCCTGCCCCACCGCGCGGACCTCTGCACCTCTCCCTTGGTGGCATCCAACATCATGATGACGACGTCCGCTGTGCGTGCCACAGCAATCACCTGTCGGCCTCGGCCTTTCCCTGGATGAGCAGAAGGGAGGTGGTTACACCTTGATAAGGCACAGCCACATAGGCAGGATCTGTGTGGTTTCAACCCAGCCTGTGACCTCCTGGACTTCCGTCCTTTACAGATACACCATGGTCTCCACTAAATGCCACCCTCATTCTGTGACTTCCTTTGCATTCTTCCTTAATCCACAAGCTATTTTACTTATGGAAACTGGTTTTATTTTATTTTTTTGAGACAGTATCTCACTATGTAGTCCAGGCTGGCCTCAAACTCATGATACTCCTGCCTCAGCCTCCCAAGTGTTAGGATTACAGTATATTCCTCCACACCTGGCTAAGACTGGTTATAGAAGTTACCAACTTAAGTGGAGTGACAGGATAACAGTGGTCATCTTCCCTGCCCCTATCTTGCAGCAGGCTCAGGCTAGATGCATCATGAACATTTCCTTATGTAATCCTCAACATTGCTGTGAATTCAGTGTTACCCTGCCCATTTCACAGATAAGGAGACTGAGGCTTGGCTTAGAGACATTCACTGGCCGAAGATCACAAAGCTAGTGTGGTATCAGGATGAACTTGAGTTCTGTTATAGATTGATCTCCACGACAGCCACACCCAGCTTTAATGCTCAGTGACAGGGCTCTGTCCTGGCTCCCACCCACCCATCCTGCTCCCACCTTGTGCTGCGCCTTCAATGATTCCAGGAAGGTCCAGGAGCTGGATGTTGGCACCTTTGTACTGGGAAGCAGAAGACAAGGGTGAGACAAGGCAAGGCCAGGCCCACCTCTCACTGACGTGAATAGTCCCTCACAAATAAAATTGCTTCACCACAAGATCACAGAAACTGCTGTCCAAGGCAAGCATGGTTTGAGGCATTAAGGCTTTACAGGGGACAGAAGGACCAGCCAACCAGCAGTTAGGGACCAGAGCTGAAATTGTGGGAAGCACAGCACAAGAGAGCAGCAAGCAAAGCTGCTGTGCGCTGGTTCAATTTTCTGGAACAGTCAGGAATCCAGGCCAGAAGGTACCTCTCAGGTCTCCAGAAGTCCAGTGGTTCGGGACAAAGCATCTCCTCCCCCAACAGGGACACCCACCCTCAAACTCTCAGACATACACGATCTGCACAAGTGCAAACAACAGCAACCCTTTCCCCTTCTGGGGCCCAGCATACCCCACTTACTTCAATGACTCCAGGGATGCACGTCAGGGTGGTGAACTCGTAGGATGCAGCTTCACTGGCCGTGGAAGTCATCAGACTTAAGAAGGTGGACTAGGAGGAAAAGACGGCCACTGCACTGAGGAGTCTTGTCCCAGCCTCCTGGGAGAGTCCCCAAAGGGTTAGGGGCAACAGGAAGAGTCTTCCTCACCCTTGACCTGGGAACTTGGTATGAGGAGAACAGGTACTCAAGCCAGAAGCTTCCTCTGGCTCTGTGAGGATGGATTAGTACCAGGGCACATGTTCCTTGGAGGCCTTGGGCCTGTGTCAGGTGAACACAGGGGACCTGGTTTCTAAGGGGCTCCCCACATGAACCGGGAACCCTTCCCTGGCCCCACAACCTGCCCCTCAAAGCCCTCCTACCTACACAGTATTTGTTAAACCAGGACTTGGGAGTTCACTGCTGTCCAGGGTGGGGTAAAGAGAGGTATGTATGGATAGAGAACAGTCCCAAGAGCAATGGCTGCCTGGACAACCAAAAATACTTTGGGAGCCCAATCTTGGGGATACCCCTACATGTCTGACCTGTGGGTAGGAGGTCTGAGCAGGGCAGGTAGGATCTGCCACACAGCCCAGACTCAGAGGGCATGGCCCTTGGGTAACATAGTAGCTTCTATCAAACATATCACATCAACTACACAGGCAGAGGGTGAAACAAAACAAAACACTGCCCAGCTTGTGTGCTGCCCAGCCTACACCAAGCACTCAGGAAATGTCACTTCTCCCTCTCCCTCTGCCTGGCCCAGAGCAAAGGATTCCACTCATTTAGTGAATGGACTCAGAAGGTGCCTCTCCCTCCTCATCTCACCCCTGCTACAAGTCCCTGTGGGCTCCTATGGTCAGCATTTGAGCAGCCTCCTCATTGCCTCCATGTGTCCACCCTGTCCTGCTCTGGCTATTATTGGCACAGCAGCCAGTGATTCTGCTAAAAAGTAAGTCAGGGCCCAGATCGTGGTCTCTTAACACCATTCTCCAAAAAAGGAAGCAGGGCTCCTTGGAAAAATGGTGAATCCCAGACTGGGGCAGAGACTAGATGAGCCTTAGGCACCTTGTGTCAGAAAGTAAGGAGATACTGGAAAAACACAATGATGGTGCACATCAAAGAAGCTAAGTGAAACAGCCTCAAAGCTGGAATAATATGAGCAACAACAGAACATGGTATGGGCCTAGACCCCACAGTCCAAAACAAATACCCATTGAGTCCATACTGATCAATTAATGATGGAATAAAACAAATGTAGGGTGGGGAGTGGGACTCAGAGATATAGTATGTACTTAGCATGGGCAAGGCCCTGGGTTTGATCCCCAGCACCCAAAACAAACAAAACCCCTCAAAAAATGGGAAAGAAGAGACAACTCTCCCAGGCAAGAGAATTTCACATATAACTTATTTAGATCTCCCTCTGGCAGTGAAGTTAGGACCCAGACCACTTAAGTATAGGCTGTGCATGGTGACTTCCCTCAAAGGTATATTAAGGAAGGGGAGGAAAACTGAGCAACTGTGCAGTGAAGAAACCTGACACACACCACCCAGGCCAGGTGGTCAAGTCAACATCAATGGTAAGGCATGTGGACAGTGTACACAATGTGATAAAATGGCACTTGGCCTCTGTGGGCTTCATCCCTAAACCAGAACCTCAGCATAACCACAAGAAAAACAAGTGCCCCCAAGTGAGGGACTTTCTACAAATACTGGACTGGCCCTTCTCAAAAGTGTCAAGGTCACCAATTTAGGCATGTCAGGCTGGGGGTGTAGTTCAGTGGCATTTGTGAGGCCCTGCATTCCATCCCTAACACCACAAAAACAAACAAAAAATCAAGGGACATCTGAGAAATTGCCTAGAACTAGGGGGACACAACAATTGAATGTGATGTGACTTGGGGACAGCAGGGAGAAATTAAGTAGGGGCTTGGATTGGTGACAACAGCTACACATTGACTCCAAGAGCTATTCTCTAGCAAGATGTTAACGACAGGGAAACTGGGTGTGGGGTCTATGGATCCAACATTATTCTATACTTAAATACTTATTTAAAAAGTCAGTCAGATCATGTATCTTTTCGGTTTAGAACCCTACAATGGTGCTTAATCTTACTCCCCACAGAAAACATAATCAATATGGATTTTACACTAAACTGAGCAACTCTCAGAAGAAACCTTCTAGAAAACTCTGCAGCTGTTCCCACATTGCTCTTCACTCCAGGCCAAAGTACTTTCAACAGCTCTGAAACCCTCATCCTCTGACTCATCTCCTCTCAGACCCAGCTGCCCTACCCCACCTCCCACTTACACAGTTCCCCACAAACAGCCTCTGTGCTCACTGTTCTTCAACCTGGGATGTTCTCCACCTGGTGCTCTGCAAGCTCTTTTACTTCCTTTGGGCCTCTGCTCAAATAGAGAAGTTTCCCTGGCTCCAGCACACCTCAGGGTCAGGACCTCTGCCCTCACTGGGTGGCCCTAGCTCACCACTAGATACACCCCATCTGTGTCTGCCTCCTGTCCTTTCTGCCAGAGAATGGGAGTCTAGGGCAGGCAGGGATGGGACAGAACTCTCATTCCCTACTGCATCTCCAGCACCTGGCACAGTGCCTGGCACAAAGCACACACTCAATAAACATCTGTGCTGATTGCTAAGTTGGGAGGCCGAGTGCAGCTATTCCAGCTAGTGAGAGGGAAGAGCATTCTTCAGATTAGGGTGACAGAGGGGTGAGACCTGGTCATGGGGGGGTGGTCCCTGAGGCTACACAGAAAGGCAACGAAGAAGACTATTTGTTTATAATAGCTTCCTGCCTTCCTTCCCAGGACCCACACTGACCATCACTGACCTTACCCACAGAGGGAAAGCCAATCAGTGCTACACGGGCATCGCCAGACTTCATGACATCAAAGCCCTCTCCTTTGGATGAGGCTGATTTGGATGGTTCCAGGAGCTGGGCCCGGTACTTGGCGAGTTTTGCTTTCAGGAGGCCCAGGTGATACTCAGTAGCTAAAGGATGTAAAGCAAAGCAAAATAAGTGTCCAAAGTCTCCACCTGGTGGGTCAGATAGGGCAGTGCTGACTGGGAACATCAGAACCAGATGGCAACCACTGCAACATCATCAGGAAAGAAACCCACCTCCCCTTCACCCCACCCCCACCTAAAAGGCCCCATGGCGTCTCACTTCATTTAGAGTAAGATCTGTCTCCTTGGGACCTCACCACCCTTGTCCATGGTTCTCAGCAGGGCCAGCAGCACTTCTGGTCCTGGGGACAGCCTGGAACCTGCAGGGGATGTTTCCCATTCACTCTGATGGCAAAATCCTCAAAAGCACCTGTCCAGCAGGGGCCAGGGAGGCCAGCTGCCCTTTAGAGTGTGGGTCAGTCCACACAGCCAGGAATTTCCCAGGCTCCACATGACTTGCCACATCCCAAAGACATCAAAAGACAAAATCTGGGTCAGGCTCTCTTGGGCCTAGAACCTGCCTCTACTTCCACAGAAAACAGAGCCATTTTCTGCACTGTTAACACACCCTGAATTCCAGAAGTGCAACTACCACGTACAGGAAGGGGAGGCTGCAGCTCGCTTTGTGTGGACCTTCACTGTTCTGAAATGCTCTGCTGCCACAGCAATACTTTGGTGGGATACCTAAGTGGCCACACAACTTACCTGCACAGGTCTGCATTGTGGTTGTCACCTGGCCAAGATCCTACCTAGAGGTGTATGCATCTCTCTGATTGCTTATGACCCTGTAGCCTGACAGCCCCAGCATTCATAGTGAAATAAATACTGTTTTCATTATAAATGATTTGCCGAATCCTCCTCCTTTACATAACTATTTCAACTTCCGTGGGTATATGTATATTTTTTTTTGATGGGGGGAGGGAGGCAAGGTTGAGACAAAGTCTCAATATGTAATCCAGGCTGGCCTCAACCTCCCAAGGGCTGGGATTGCAGGCATGCACCGCAATGGAAATTTCCATTGTTATGATGGGCGCCAGTGGCTCATACCTGTAATTTTAGCTACTGAGGAGGCAGAGATCAGGAGGATCATGGTTGGAAGCCAGCCCTGGGCAAATAGTTCACAAGACCCTATCTCAAAAATACCTAACACAAAACAGGGCTGGTGAAGTGACTCAAATGGTACCTACCTAGCAAGTGCAAGTCCCTGAGTTCAAGCCCTAGTACCTCCAAAAAGAAACAAATTTCTATTGTTACAAAATCTTTGCAATAAAGAGGGCTGTGGTTGAGACTGAGACTAGGACCCCATGTGACCTGGCCCTCGGCTCCTTCTCCAGCCATCTACTGCTCTCCACTACATTCTAGACAGTGGCTTTCTTTTCTTCTCTGAACAAGCTGACCTCACTTCTGCCTCAAGACCTTTAATTCTGTCATTCCCTACATTTCAACCACTCCTTCCCCAGTACAGTTCCAAAGTCACTTCCTCAAAGAGGCCTCCCCTGCTCAGTCTATTATACAGAGGCTGAGCTCCTCAAAATCCCACCCTGCCATTACTGGCTATGTCACTTTGGAAAAGTTATTTAATCTTCTTATGCATCAGTTTATCTGCAAAACAGGGATGTTGGCAGCACCAGCAGCACCAACAGAATTTGGCTATTGTTATTATCTACAGCCAGTCCCACCCCTGCCTAGGTCCCTGCTTCAAGCCTCTGTTTAGGTCTTCACAGTTCTCGTCACTGTTTGAAACTATCTTGTTTCAATAGGTAGGAACTGGGGTAGTTGTATCCCAAGCTTCCACACCCTGGTGCTCAGGACATGTTTGAGCAACTGAGTAAGTGAACGCATGGCAGTGAGAAAGGGTCAGAATTGGTTTAGCTGGAGGAGTGGCTCAAGCAGTAGATCACCTGCCTAGCAAGAATGAAGCCTTGAGTTCAAATCCCAGTAATGCCAAAAACAAAGAATGAGTTTAGCAGCTGGGTGCCTGTAATCCTAGCTACTTAGTAGGCAGAGAATCAAAAGAATCTCTGCCCTGGTCCCTAACCGCATAGCCCAGATCAGAAGAATCAGGTTCAAAGCCAATCTGGAGCAAACAGTTCACGAGACCCTATTTCAAAAAATACTTCACAAAAAAGGGCTGGTGGAGTGGCTCAAGGTGTAGACCCTGAATACCTAGTATCTCAAAAAAACAAAAAAAACAAAAAAAAAACAAACAAGAATGGGGTTAGCATCAGTTGGGTTCAATGGTCCTTCTTGTCATCTCAGCTCATAGAAATCTGAGTTTCTCTTAGGGAAAGGATTAGGCCTTAATCACCTTTACATCCCCCTCATCCACCACACACCAGTGACACCTGTAGCCGCCCCTAGACCTCACTGCTATTTTCTTTGTGCCTTACAGATGACACTCCACACAGCAGCCAGAGGGAATTTTTTTAAAACAGAAATCACACCACCAGTTTCTTCCCTGCTTAACACCCTCCACCAGCTCCCACTGCTCTGAGAACACAACCCAGCCTCTTTTTCCAAAGCCCTGCATGACTGGCCCCTCCTCCCATCAGTGCAGCCCAGTCCCAGACCTTTTTTTTTTTTTTTTTTCAGTACTGGGGCTTGAACTCAGAGCCTACACCTTGAGCCACTCCACCAGTCCTGGTTTTTTGTGTTGGGTATTTTCAAGATAGGGTCTCTCGAACTATTTGCTCCAGCTGTGATCCTCCTGATTGCTGCCTCCTGAGTAACTAGGATTACAGGCATGAGCCACCAGCACCCAGCTCAGCCCCTTTTAATCCTTGAACATTTGGAGTTCATTCCTGCCTCAGGACCTTTCAACTAGTTGTTCCTTATGCTGGGAACAGTCTATCCCCAGATCTTTGCATGGCTGGTTGATTCTCTTGCAAGTCTCAGCTCAAATGCCCCACCTCACTCCACCTAAATAGGGTCAAACTGTGCTCTACAACCCTGCTTTGTCTTCATAGCATTTACTGCTGGCTGAAGTTATCTTGCTTACATGATGACTAGATGACAGGAAGGTCAGCTCTAGGAGGGCAGGGATGTGCCTGCTGTGCTTTCACCACAGTGCCTAGCATTAGTAAAGGCTCAGAAAAGGTGTAAAGAATGAAAGAATCATGGAGGTTCATGACTCCACAGCCTTCAGACCTAAATGGAGTCAGTGGGCAGACGCTGAGAACAGCCACCCCACATTTCTTGCTTCCTGCTCCTCCAAGCCAGCGCGCCACAGGACTGGCCAGTGCCATCTCCCATTACTCCACACCCCACTTCTCACTGTCCCAGAAATACAGCACGCTAACCAGGACTCTTTCATTGCCTTTACCTCAGCAGTGCCCCTTGCCTAGACACCCTTCCAACAATGGATGAGTCCTGCCACCTCCTGGTGTTGCCCTTCTCTCATCTTTCTCTCCTGAGCTTCTCCAGCCCTTCTGATTTGAAGTCCAGAGCTGATGCTTCCTTATGTGCTATCTGTGAATGCTCACCTCATGCCCAGTGCTTTGCAAATGCCATCTAATTATGAGCTAAGATAGACCAGAGAGTTTTCCCCATTTCCAGATTAGGGCATTGAGGCTCCAATGTTGTTTCATAACAAATACGGTTGAACTAGGGTTCTGAACACAATCCTTCCAGATTTCAGAGTCCTGATTCCCTCCACACCACTTCGCTGGCTGTCTACTGGGGTGAGGATGTTCCTGAAGAGTCATTTCTTGTCTTTCCCAGCACAAGAAGGGAGAGCACGACCTCCCCAGGCCCTGCCATTAGGAGATGCCCCTCTCTGGGTCAAATGCTTGCTCTGTGAACTGGAATTTCTCGACTTAGTCACCCGGTCCGGCACTGGTCTCTTGGGGGTATTGAGACCCGCGCCTGCCTGGCCCTGCCTAGTGCATGGTGAGGGGGCCTTGACACTTCCCTGTGGTCTCTGAGTCGGCTCCAGCTATACCGCTGGTGCTACTACCCCATTTTACAGACAGGAAAACTGAGGCTGGCCGAAAGGGAGGCCCTGCCAAGCCGGCCCTTACCCTTGTTCTTCTGCGTCCGAGCGATTTCCTTCTCGATCTCCGAAATCTTCTCCAATATCCCCATGGCTGCGGCAGGGACCGGCGCACCAACGGCGGCAGCGGGAATTCCGGTCCGACTGCGGAGACAGAGCCGCAAGCGCCCGGAAGCCCTCGGAAAACAGCGTCCTCGCTGGCGCTTGGTGTCCCTGGATTCAGAGTCCGGGCAGGCGACGTAGAGCGCAGTTCCAGATACCATTGGTTCCGCCCTTTGAGCCTGCTGGGCTGCAGACAGCTAGCTGGGCCCGGCCGGGCCTGGGCTATGCCGTTAGGGACCAGGGCTGAGACCCGCCAGAGCCCGCGTGGGAGAGAGAGGTAGTCTAAAGTGATGAACCCTGAACGGGAGTCGCTGTTCTATTTGCTAGTGTAAAGAAAAGGTGCTGAGGCTGGCGCCTGTGGCTCACGCCTGTAATCCTAGCTACCCAGGAGGCAGAGATCAGGAGGATGACGGTTCGAATCCAGCCTTAGTTCACGAGACCCTACCTTGAAAATATGCAACACAGACAAGGGACTGGTAGAGTGGTTCAAGTGGTAGTGAGGCCCTGAGTTCAAACCTCCAGCACCACCAAATAAGAAAAAAAAAAAATAGAAAAGGCGCCGAGATGAAAGCCTGGTGGTTCAATTTGTACTCTATTAATTAAGTGCTCCAACTTAGCTCTCCTTGCTGTCTGATGCCTCCTGATGTGATGCAGTGTAGACAACGTCTCCTATGTGGAATTCTTGCCAAAAAACAGTTTCTGAGTTTAGTCATGAGGAAATATCAGACGTGGAAAGTGGGACGTTTTAATAAGACAAGTGGCCTGGACTCTTCAAAATTGCCCGTGACTGGGTGAAGACAGGGAAAGCAAATGGACTGTTCTAGATTTAAGAATATTGCTGGGCATTAGTGGCTCATGCCTGTAATCCTAGCTACTCAGGAGGCAAAGATCAGGGGGATGGCGGTTCAAAGCCAGCCTGGGCAAATAGTTCTGCACAGCCCTAACTCAAAAAAACCTTTAACAAAAAAAGGGCTGGTGGAGTGACTCAAGGTAAAGACCCTGAGTTCAAGCTCCAGTACCACAAAAAAAAAAAGTACGAAAGAAGCTTTGAGAAGACAATCTCGAGGACAACTTGAGAATTTAACTAGAATATTGAGTGTTAAGATGCTGTTGCTAATTTTTGGCGGTGTGATTACGTAGGAGAATGTCTGCGCTTAGCAGAAGCACATGCAGTGCTTGTCTTAGTCTTCTCTGACTGCCATAAAATACCATAGTTTTGTTGGCTTAAACAACAGAAATTTATTTTCTCACAGTTCCGGATGCTGAAGTCCTAGATCAGGGTGCTAGCCTGCTCAGGTTCTGATGAGGGCCCTCATTCATCCTAGTTTGTAGAGGGCTTTTTTTTCCACAGTACTCCTGGCGTTTGAACTCAGGGCCTTATGCTGGCTATGTAGTGCTCTGCCACTTGGAGGACTGCCTTCTTGCTGCAGTCTCATGTGGCCTTGTCTTGGAGCTCACTCTCAGCAGAAGCTCTCTGGTGTCTCTTAGGGCAACTAGTCCCATCACGAATAGTGCCCTATACTTCTCAACACCTGTAATGACCACCTGTAGTCCCTATCTCCAAATGCCATCTCACTGAAGGTTAGGGCTTCAACACATGAATTGGGGGCAGGGACAAAAATTTCAGTCCGCAACAAGGTTGAGAAGTCATCATGTCTGTACCTTACTCTCATATATATTTACCAAAAACATACTAAAATAAATGTGGCAGTATGTTAGCAATTGTTGAGTCTAGGGGAAAGGTATGGGGGTGTTTACTCAATTACTCTTTCAACTTTTCTGTATGTTTTTGTCTTGATTTTTTTTTTTCCAGTACTGAGGCCTGAACTCAGGGCCTACACTGTGAACCACTCCACCAGCCCTCTTTTTATGACAGGTTTTTCAAGATAGGGTCTTGCAGAACTATTTGCCCAGGCTGGCTTTGAACCAAAATCCTCCTGAGTAGCTAGGATTACAGGCATGAGCCACCGACGCCTGGCTTTCTGTATGTTTTTAATAAAAGTTGGGAGGGGAAGGCAGGTCCTTGAAAATCGTACCCATATTCAAATTCTAGATTCATATTATATGAGTGTCATTAAGTTTCTTAACTTTTCTGAGCCTGTATCTGCAATTAAAAATGGGAGTAATGTGATTGCTGTAAAAATGAAATAAGATGATGTCTGTGGAATACTTGATATATAGTTTACTGCTGATAAGTTCTCCATAAATACCAAAGCCACTGGAAGTCATTTCTTTTCTGTGGGTCTTACATCCCTCCTCAGATTCAACCCATGTTTATTGAACACCTACTATGCATTAGGTTCTGGAGTAGGTAAGGGGTTTTGCAAGCTCTGAGCTTCTCATTATTAACCATTTATTTATGAACTGAGCTTATGAGCCATGTCAAGTTCCTGGCCTGGTGCTTGAGCTCTTGAATGGCAGAGATGACAACTAAACTTAGGGCTAGCAACTCTAAGCCCAATGACCTCCAAAATAACATGGTAGACTGTAGGCAGAATACATTCATATGATGTTTCTGAGAGGTTTCAAGAGAGTTCACTTTGGGAACTGGGGAGGTCCATGTAGTTGTGTGGGCCTAAGGAGTCCTGGCCCAGAAGAGGGTCTTAAAGTCCTTTCTGTTTCCAACTTCATCAATGATGTGTCTGTCAGAGGCTTCTTTATCACCACCCTGTGCCCAGATAGGCCTAGTCACTTCCAGGTTATGGTTGGGGAAATGGAAGCTTTGGAAAATTGGAGGAGGCACTGTTTTTTCACTCCCTCCCTTGTTAGAGTGAGCTTTCTCTCACACTCCTGGTTATTACCGAACCTAACTGGGCTTAACTGGGGGGCCGACTGGAGGTTTCAGATAAGACACAGGATAGACAGACAGTGTGGTCAGCTGTGCTGAGCACTCCAGTGGAGACACACAACCCTCATTGTTTCTTTTCTCTATCTTAATTCTTTAAGGCCTTACTCCTTGCAGTTCTTTAAAACCTTCTTTAAAACCTTGCCTAAAACCTCTTTCCTTGGGCTTGCACTGTTACATGTTTGCTCTTAGCTTATCTTTAGCTTAATCGCTCTTAAAGTCTTTTGCCCCCCAGGCTTGCACTGTTCCATCTCTCTTTAGCGCTCTCAAAGCCTCAGTGCTCAAACTTGCAAACAGCCAGGCCTACAACCTGCATATGCTTAACTCTTAAAGTCTTGGTCTTTAGACTTGCACTGTGCACTGTCCCATGTTCTCTTTGGCGTTTCTTTAGCTTGGCTTTCCTAAGGCCTATGTATGAAGTTCTTTCTTAGCTTTGCTTTCTGAAGCCTATGTTAAAGATCTCGGTGCAGACTTTATATCAACCCCTCTTTAGCCATTCTTTTTCCTTCAGCAATTTCCCTTTAGTAATTCTTTTCCCTGCAGTAATTTTTCCCTTCAACAATTCTTTTTTCCTTCCAAAAGCTCCCAACACCAAAAAGCCCAAAGTAAAAGAATCAAGCCAAACCCAAAAAACCCTCCAAACCCAAAGCCAAAGGCAAAAAGCAAAAGCCCAAAGTAAAAGCTTCTTCCCCAAAGCCAAAAGCAAAAAGCTCAGCCAAAAGCCCAAAAAAGCAAAAAGCCAAGCAAAAGCCCCTCTTCCTCCTTCAAGAGTCTTTCATAAACAGCAGCAAACAGGGCGGAGCAGGGAGGGGCATGACATTGCAACAGGAGAAAGCTGCGTTCTTAATTCTCTGAACACAACTTAGGAGAAGCAGCTGTTCTGCTTTCCCCGTTTTGTGGCTGGGGGCTGTGCCTAGCTTTTACCAGCCTACACGTAAAAGCAATTAACTGCATCTTGCTTTGCTTGTGTCCGGTTCTTATGGGGCTTTAATCCATTCCCCACAGAAAATGACTCACCTTCCAAGAATCCTGACATCTTCACTGCTGTGTCTGCTTCCATAACAATCCTTGTGGGCCTCCATTTCTTCAATAATAACATGGGAAATGGGCTTGCCTCAAGATCAAGGGAGATGACCAAGCATTAAGCTTTCTCTAGGCATCTGGCCTTTTGAAGGACAGACCATGGGAAGTCAAGGAGACACTTCTCCTCCCTAGGAAATGCCCATTTGCATCTGAAAGGCATCTCCACCATCAAGCAATGCTAAAAGGCTATAAAACCCACTCCCTACCCTGACCCATGAGATCACCGGTTTCCAGGTCCCCCTGCATTCCCCAATATGCAGTCTTTCTCTTCTGTTTTTTTTAATTTTTACTTTATTCATATGTGCATACAATGTTTGGGTAATTTCTCTCCCCTTTCCCCACCCCCTCCCTCTCCCCCCTACCCCCTTGCTACCTGGCAGAAACTATTTTGCCCTTATCTCTAATTTTGTTGAAGAGAGAGTATAAGCAATAATAGGAAGGACCAAGGGTTTTTAGTCTTTCTCTTCCCTTCTCTACAAATAAATCCTCTACAAATAAAATTTTTCCAACCTCTGCTGTTAGGGTCTGTCTGTGCTTTCATTCTCAGAGCAGGCTCAAGAACCCTGAGCACTTGAAATTCCTGTGCGTGTCATCTGTGCATCATATTTGGCGACCACGAAGGGACCAGCCATTACCTGAGGTCGATATAGGTTGTGCCAAACTGGGAAAGGCTGCCTAGGAATGTGACCGTGAGCATCCAGCACTCCGGTGGAGTCTATTTTCCAGGAGAGACCCCCCCCCCCCACCACAGCCTAGTGATGATGGAACTCTCAGGTCAACTTTTTCTCTCTCTCTCTCTCTGTCTTGTTAAGGAGGGTTTCTCCCTTGGGAAACTGAGGAAAATCTCCAAGCCCACTACAGCTGTACAGCAGGCAATCTGAGGAAACTCGGATGCCAGGTGGGGGATTATACCACACTGCCAAGGCTACGTGGGCAGAACCCGACTTCAGTGCACCAAGGCTTTTTCTTTTTTCCTCTCCTTAAACGCTAACACTCTCTTTCAAGATCTGACCTGCTTAAGGGGAGATCCAAAAAACAGCCGGTGGGAAGGAAAGTTTGTCTTCAAGCCAAAAAAGGTGTTCTGGCTGGGGCACTCCTCAGTGTCACCCAAAGGCTGGAGAC